CTTAAGTAAGTCACATCCCTTCTGTCATTTCAGAATTAATATGTCAACAAAAAAACGATAAAAGCCTCCTAGTTGCATACTGCATTCACACAACTACTCCAGAATACTAACCTCCTCCAGCAGTTTTATCAGATAGTTGTCCTGTATACCTGATACCGTAGCCATATCGCTAAGAGTGAAAGATGGCTTGTGAGAAAGTTTCACCAAGTTCTACTACTGTTTCCATAACCACCTGTTATTCGACAGATTATACACATATGAGCGGAAAGAGAAACACACTGGTATGATCTAACATCAGTTCTTAATCAAACAGGATGTTAAGAAAAAATGAAACAGTAATAAATTTTAAGACAAGGTTCAGGATATTCGTACTCTTGAATTGTAAGGTTTCGTCACCACAAGTTCTTTGCCTGGTGTTGAGGATACTCGAGAACTTGAAGCCACCGCCATCAGTTCTTTCCTCCAACCCTCCTGTCATTTGTCATTTCAGATACAAAGTCTAATATGTCCACAAGCAAACCAGAAAAGCCTCCTAATTGCATAGTGCATTCCGTATAGACAAAGGATAGAACAAATTCCTCGCCTCTACTTCACAGCTTACTAATCTTTGTATTCCTAAACATACTGAGAATAAAAAACTAAGGGCTATGTCTAACCTCGAGCAGTTTCAAGCTTGGAACTCGCTTCACTTGGGCATCCTCTATAGCCGTAGCCATTTCATGAACCTGGGGAACAACAAACACACACGGCAACACCACACATCATTATCAGTCGGTCATCGTCCAGGGAATCAATCAAACACATCATATCAGTCGGTCATCGTCCAGAGAATCATATAAACTTCAGGAAAACCTTTCTAGTACCTGTTGCAGGTTTCCAACGCTCGTAGCCTCAGCAGGGAACACATCATACGTATCAGAGGAGATGGCTCCAGTCGAAGTCCAATCCTTGAGCAGTGGCTCTGTAGAGCTAGAATCGGCCGCATCCTGAAAGAAAGAACATTTAAGCCCTGATTCTCAATGTCTAATGTACACACAGTTTCTCTTTCAAAGGGGTTGATTAAAAGATTAATAAACCAACACAAACCTGATCATCTAGGGGGTTATAATCTGGATCTCCAACCAGATCGTCCTCTTCCTCCAAGTCTGATTCACCCTCTGCTTGGTTACCGACTTCTTCATTGGCATTCAAGTCGTCCGCCACATGACCACCGTGATTCTCTTCATCGTCGTTTTGATCATTAGCAACTTCGTTTTGGTTTACCACTTGAGGAGGTACATCAACGACCCTATAATGCACCATGGCAAGCCCCGGATGATTCTGATTTGCATCAATTTTGGCGTGATGAGTTCTTCTCTGGAACTCTGTAACAGGAGTCAACGTAAGGATGGCCTCTGTATACCCAATTCTGGGATAAGTGGAGTTGCCCTAAAAAACGCCCCAATTAGAAAACCTAGAATTCAATTTCAGATAGAAACAAAACAAAATGAAGAAAAGAACCAATCTTTACCAACTTCCGCGAAACGCAATTACGCCTGCGCACTTGATTAACATCGCGCCAAGGGTAATCATCAACGTAGAAATCTTCATCGTAGATGAACAAACCTTCAACAAACGGCGCTGGGCCTGGGGTTTCTTCGGATATGGGGAATTGCTGAACGGCATGTCGCTGATACAGAGCTATCAGGTCTTCCTTCTCTAGCCACTCCTCCATGGATCGATTGAGGATCTCGATTATAGGGTTCTCCAAATTCGGATCCAGATTTACATGCTGAATATTCTCCATGATGCAGATGCGGTAGATTCCAGAAAAAAAAAAAATCGAGAAGGGAAGTGTAATGCGAGAGGAAAGGAAATCGAAAGAAATTAGTCGACTGTTTCGATTTTAGTTGTAAAGGGAAATTTTGTTTTGATCGAAGACGGAGAAGAAGATCATATATGTATAACTTAAGTGAAATTTGTCGCTTCATTCGAGGGTATAATGGGAAACTAAGATTCCATTTCCCATTATACCCTTCTCCGCATAAGCGAAGTTGGCATAAGACCGAGGGTAAACACGTCAAAGACTCTAATTTACTAGATCCAGACGACACGTCAGCACCACCCAAACGTTTTATTTCCCCGGTAAAATTTAATTGGAAGATTTTGTTTTTTTCTTAATCATTTTCTTAACCCAAAATAAATCAATAAGTTTATTTGTGCCGTTTTTGACATAATCAAAACAAATGCCAAAAAAATGAGTTTTATAAAGCGGAAGTGTGAAAGTGAAACTCCCTCACTTTCTATTTTGTTTTCTTTATAATCAAATAAATGCTTAAAATGATTACAAAATTTTACTCTTAATGAAAGCAAAGCAAGATTGGTTTGCTATCCTGATAAATATATAAATATTTCCGGTCCTCTCTTTGCATAATGTCCTAGTCCAACATGATCTTTCGGCCAAATTTTCTTTTTAGCTTATGGCCTTCATAAGTTCAGGGACAGCTCTGCCACTAACCATTTTTTTTTTTTGGAAATATAAAATCTTTAATTTACTACTACTCTCTTAAAAAAAAAGAATTTGCATTTATCTTCAGATAGTTTCCCTTTCAAAACATCACATATGGATACCACTTGAAGTCCTTAACTAAACCCATGTGTTGCAACGCAAATCAAGCATATGCAAATCAAACACAAGTAACAGTAAAAAAGAATGGAATGGCTAAAAAATCAAAGATGTGATTATGTGAAGTAGAGTGAGATTTGTTTGTTTTGCGTTTCTTCATCATGATTGATATTATTGGATTTGGCAAAGTCAGAGTCATAGAGTCCACCAAATCTGAGCGTCAGTGATTCTGCTTTGAGTTATATGACTTCGTGATGTGCATCAACAATTATTCAGCATTTTTATCGACCAATCAATATTCACATTTTTGTATGTGATTCTTTTGGTGTCATACCACTTGATTTTCTTTCTTGGACTCAGGAAATTTCTTCTTCCCATCTTAACGCATCGAAAAACGTTTTTTGTGTGTTGCTTCTTTTTATGTCAAAATATATACACCATCGATCCAACATGTTTCAAAGCTTTGTCGTTAGTTTCTTAAGTATGTATATCAATTGTATGTATATCTTCTTATTTATCTTTCGTATTGTATTTTAAATGGTATCCCTCCTCGGAAGATGAATAAATAAAGTTAAAAAAAAAATGTATATCAGTTGTACAACTGTAAATTTTACCAACGATTTACAATTGATGTAACCATTGCCGATAACCAGTAACTCGGTCTATGAAGCCTGGTTAGGTACTTGAACTCTCAAAGTCTCAAGAACTTAATTTAAATGTAATGGAAAGGCAAGACACCAAAACGATATTTTATCTTCATCTTCTGTTAAAAGATATTATGTTATAAACAATATATGTAGTTATTTAATAATAGTGTTTGAGTTTTATGGATTATGAATAGTTTATAGTTAACTAAATAATCTTACGTATAAATCTAAAAAATCAAGCAGTTTTCTTCGAGCAACAAACAAATGTATTTCATTTTGCACATTTTATCATTCCCTGTCAATCATCATTACGATTTTATCAAGAAAAGGTTTAAACCATTATAATAACCCATGCATTTCACATGTCGTGGACTTGTGGGGAATACTACTATTTTTGCATTTGTTATTAAATTTGCCATATCTCTTTAAATTCTTTCTTCCAAACTTCAACTTAAAAATAGAATTAATGTAGTTCCCACCACATGGCAGGTGCTTTAATAATTAAAAACCTACAATTAGCATGATGCGTGTTTTCTATATTGTGAGTCATAATTAGGCACTCGATATGGAAGGTACAAAGTTCCTTAACTGTTTCCAAAAGCTAATATTTAGTTTCTTAATCATGTTTTGGTGTATGGTTAGATTGTCTTCTCACTTTTTTAAATTGTAATATTTCTTACTTATATACACATGGATAAATTGTGTTCTGCTGATATTTAGTTTCTTAATCATGTTTTGGTGTTTGGTTAATTTGTCTTTTCACTTTATGTTTGGTCATTTTTATGGATGGTTTTTTAGTAAATAATACTCAACTGTGGATGGTTTAGATGTGGATGATTTTCAACTCATAATAACTTATACTATGGATGATGTGATATGGATGATTTTGTAATCCTTTTTACATTACATATGCACATACTAAATCAATTTTTTGGATGGTTTATTTGTGGATAATTTTATATATTATTCAACAAAACTTGTTTACAAACTCGTCTTTCTCTCATATTGAATCTTATATGCAGGTTTACAAACTCAGTTTGCATAGAAGATTTGAGGTTGTGAATATCATGACATAGATATAATAGCGTGAACGTGTTTGTGTGGACATGAAAATATGAGATTCATACAAACTGACTCAAAAATTCACAACAGAAACAAAATCCGTAATTTAAAATCAAACAAAGCAAGCGTCCAATAAAGACTGTACAAAATAGTATTATCCCTTTCTTAATTCGTCTAATTTAAACCGTCCACAGATCTAGCTTTCTGTCAAAAAACACAAAAACAAGATCAAGTTTTTACCTTCCCTTTTTATTAAGGGTAAAATCGAAATCTTCAACACACTAGAATCAAAAAAAAAGTGTACCACTTTCAAAAAGTCCCTTTCTTGTAAAGACAAGTCAAAAAGTCACCAATTAATCTATTATGTACATTTGACCGTCTTAACATAAAGACCCTGACCGGATCCAGCGTGAACTCCCGATAATACCCTCCTTGCAAAAGATTAGATGATACGTGTTCAATGCCTAACCCTGCTTTTCTCTTTCTCCTTACGTGTGTATGACTAGACACGTAGACCCCACTAAACAACCCGACAACCCAAATTAACCTGTAAACCCAAAATAAATCAATTTTGTTTCTTCTCCCTTTCTCGGAGATTTGTTCCTCTGTTCCGGGCAGCCATTGAATTTTGATTCATTGGCTTCACCAAAATTTTAAAAATCCGGACGGTGATACTGATAGCGAAAATGGGAATTCTCAACGACGACGCCGTTTTAATCGAGCCGGGAAAAAGCTCCGGCGATCCCAGCGTCGCCACCGTCAATTGTCCCGATGAATCCGGTCTCGGTTCCACTCTCTGCAGAATCATCCTCGAATTTGGTCTCTCCATAACCAGAGCTGGTAAAAAACTTAATCTCTCTCTAACGACTTCAAATTTGACTTTCCTTTTGTTTATGGGGAGGAATATACTCTGTTTTGTCGGTTACCTTACTCACGATTCACGAATATTCGAAATTCATTTCTGTTGTTACCTTTTAATATCCATTTCTCATGCAAAGTGCCAAAGTTGATTACCTTTTAATATCCATCATTGATGTTGTGAAAAATGGTGATTGCAGATTTCTCAACAGATGGACGATGGTGTTACATAGTGTTTTGGGTCACTCCAGATCATAGCTCTCCTAAACTCGATTGGGACAGCTTGAAGAACCGTCTCTTATCTGCTTGTCCGTCTTGCTTAGGCTCCTTCTACTTCTGTCTTGAGTCAAATGTCTCAAAGCCTCCTTCTCTTTACCTCCTCAAATTCTTCTGCCGCGACAGGAAAGGATTGCTTCACGGTCTGTCTTTCTTCTTCTTCTTCAAACTGTTTCTGTCTTTTTCCCTTAAAATGGTTTAATCAAAGTTCTGATTTTTTTTGGTGGTTGTAGATGTTACTAAAGTCCTGACAGAGCTAGAGCTCACCATCCAGAGAGTCAAAGTCATGACAACACCAGACGGAAGAGTCTTGGATATGTTCTTCATCACTGACGCAATGTGAGTTTTTGCAAGCACTTATTGTGCATTGGCCATTTTGAAGGTCATTGGGCATGATCTCTCGACCATTGACTCTGTGAATCACTATCGTTGTCCTTGAAAAACCTTCAACAGGATGATGGAAGGTATTAGCTTTTGGAGCTTAAAAGAAATTTGCTAAGCTCTAAGCCTTTTGGGGTAGATAACTTTCCTTATTTGCATCTGAAAAAAACTCTGCGGTTTACTTTTGTGTTGTCACAGCTTCATGCCTATCGATACTGGAGGAGAGACGGATCTTCGGTTTGTATATTGTGCTGGTAAGGAGTAGCTACTTACTAGGATTTACAGACCATGTCTGTGTACGTTTAGTAGAGTCAAAGTTTAGTTTTTTTTTTTTTTTTTTTTTCATTTTTGGATCAGCTGCAATTTGTGACATGCTTGGTAATTGGAGTGGAATGGACAAGGAGAAGGCTAAGGATTACATATTAAACTGTCAGGTTTATTTCTTTTCTTGTCTTCTCCTTTGTCTTTTTTTTTCCTTTGAAGTCATACCCTTTTTGTTGTCAATTGCTTTGTTAAGAAAGACGTTCTTGTTCAACATTCTTTGTGCAGTCATATGATGGTGGCTTTGGTTTGATCCCTGGTTCTGAATCTCACGGTGAGTTGAATACAATTCCTCTATAGTCTTTAAATTCATTTTGTCCATATGCAGTAAAAGAAAGTAACACATCCTTTATGTGAATTGAGTAGAAATTGTTACTGAATTGGTCACTGAGGACACACTAATTAGTCATTGGACTGTACTTCACTGGCTATGCCTTCTAAACTTATTACCTGATAATGCTCCTGAGTGATCTGATGGTTTTTCTTGCCTTGCCTATAGAGACAAGCAAGTGATGGTGGATTTCAAGGACGGACTAACAAACGGAGCGACAATGGGATCTGTTTGTTCCCATCCGCTGATTCGGACCTTGCACATGTGCCTAGGATTGGTGCTCTTCTTAAGCACATTGCTCATGCATTGCTGTGTCCAGTACGGTGGATTCAGTAAATTTCCTGGAGAATTACCGGATCTGTATCATTCTTACTACGGTTACACGGCTTTTAGCCTCTTGGAGGAACCGGAGTTGAGTCCTCTGTGTCCTGAGCTAGGGTTACCACTTCTTGCAGCTTCAGGAATCTGATGTTTAGGTTGCATATTTTTTTTATCTCTAAGTAACATTATTTCAGCAGTTAGTTTCCTGTTGGAATATTCGTTGATTATTGGCTCTCAATATGCTAAATCCACAAAATGAAACAGCATAGGTTCTTAACTAAAGAAAACCCATATTTTCAAGTGTTGAATATCATGTGTTTTTATTTTTCATCGTTATAATGCAGTAATTTTGAAATCATTATATATGTGAAATTGTGTGATTAGTAAAAGTGTAAAAGTGTAAAATTGTGTGAGCTCGAGCTAGCTGGACCCGAGTTAGAGAGCCTGCAACGATTCTCTTCGCTTCCGCCTGTGGCTGCAGACGAGCTGTTTGGTTCGGATGGGTCTGATGTTAGCAGCTCCAATAGCTCCAACAAAGCGGTGCTTACGGTTGATAACCAGTTGAGCCCTGCGCACACGTTGCTTCAGATTCATTGCGTTGATCAGAAAGGGCTTTTCTATGATATCCTCAGGACTTCCAAAGACTGCAATGTCCATGTACGTTACACTCATCATCTCATCTCTTAACTTTTCACAGAACGTAGCCTAAGCCTAACTTCTTGTTTCTTGATACAGATTGCGTACGGTAGATTCTCGTCAAAGGTTAAAGGGTATAGGAATCTGGAACTGTTCGTTAGAGGTACGGACGGGAAGAAAATAGCGGACGCAAAGCATCAAGCTAACTTCTGTTCTCGTCTTAAGGAGGAGATAGTGTGTCCTTTGCGAGTGATAATCGTGAACAGAGGACCAGACTCTGAGCTTTTAGTAGCGAACCCTGTGGAGTTATCTGGGAAAGGAAGACCGAGAGTTTTCTACGATGTCACACTCGCCTTGAAATCGCTAGGAATCTGCATCTTCTCCGTAAGTATCATACTTTATATTATATATAAGATAAGCTTTTTTTTGGCGGTTTATTCTGGTTTTGAAGAATTTGGAATTGTGTTTCTTTGTAGGCTGAAATTGGGAGGCATTCGACTTTAGATCGACAGTGGGAAGTGTATAGGTTTCTTTTGGATGAGAGTCGTGAGTTTCCGTTGGCTAGTCTCCGTGCGAGGAATCAGATAGTGGATAGAGTTACAAAGACACTTATGGGTTGGTGAAGTAGTGACATGAGAGATTTTAACATTATCGAGAGGGACCAAAGAAACCGAGAGCTGCGATGCGGCGTCGTGTCGAGGAAGTGGCCAAAGTAAAAAGAGCTTATGTGTGGTCTGTGGAGCTAATGGCGTTCTAAAAAGATTTGGAAATTGTAAAAAGGGATTTAAAACGGCAAATGCAATGAATGCTTCATGTAACTCACTTTGCAAAGGTAAAATCGAATCTTACGAGCTGTTTGTTGAGTCGAGCGACACGGAGTCACAGATTGTTAAATGTGCGATGACGTGGAGAATGGACGACCCGAGCTAGGTTCGACTCGCCAAACCTGCACATCATGTAGCTGCAGTTGTACATAAGGATAATAATATGTGCAACACTGTGTGACCATACGTCTCAATCGCACAAATGTCCGTGACGAGAGAATTAAATATGTCTGCATATCGAAAATTGGAAATATTCGCTTGTTTTGTAATTAGACAACTAGGGTTTGACCCGTGCCCTGCACGGGGTGATGATTTCTGAATTTGTATTTTTTAATCAGAAATGTATATATAACTATTTTGAAATTTTATACGACATATTTTTCACCTTGGTTAGGTTCTTGTCTTGGTTTATAGTGTGGAAATTAAGCATTTTAAACCATTTTCAAAAAAGTTAAACAAATTAAAATGTTGATCGTAGCCATAAATTAAATATGATAGATTTAACGAGATACATAAAACTCAAATGATTACAATATAATAAAATTGTTCAAAGAACAAAAATGAAAATAAAATACTATTCTTTTTAAAAATTATATATCATGTATTTTATAAGATAAGCAGTTATAGATGTATGCACACGGATTATATCTTTTGTAACTATGCAAACGGATTATAACTAACTTTTTTCTCTTTCATTCAAAACTAAAAAATGTTTTATTATAATTTGAAAACAATTCGACCAATAAGAAAACAATCTGCAGTATCCAAATTGTCAAAACAACAAAAATATAATTACTTTTATATTGAAAGTGAAACAGATAGATCAATATTCAAATTTTGATCAAAACAAAATATTTATAAGAAGAATTGTCTTATTTGATTTAATTATACCGTTTAATTAAAAAACCATATTAAATCGAATAAAAAACCAATTTACATTTGGATACCTACTCTCCTATGTCATATGGTTGCACATCATCTATTTTTTTATATAATATATTTTTACACCTTCACACAATAACATATCATATATGGGAATTTTAAGAGTTTTAGTGAATATTCTTTTTTTTAAATTCAAATCATAGTATATACAGAAAAATTAGATTTTCTTTACTAAATTTCTTATATTGTGATTCAAATTATTTTATAAAATAGAGGTAAACAAAGATGAAATGAGATATCTAATGATTTAAAAAAACAATTATTATGATAGAATTAAATTGATCATATTTTTTATTTACTAATTTTCGTAATTGCCAATTAAGAAAGAGAATGATAATTTTTTTAATAGCTATATATATATAATTTAATAATATAGATTTAATTCCTAACCAAAAATATGAATGACAATATTTGTAATTATTTGATTCCTAACCAAAAATATGAATGACAATATTTGTAATTATTAATATCTTGATAATTTATTGTGGCATATTTGTAAATAGTCTAATTAAGAGAGAGTTATTTTTAGAAGATCTGAGAGTGTGGCAAATGCTGACACCTCAGCATGTCTTCTCTTTTAATATATAAGGATTCATATCCTAAATCTTGGTCAATTATTTTTTTTTGGGTCAAAACATTATTTGTAGATGTGTCAAAAACTTAAAATTAAAAAACGGTTCTTTATGTAAAAAAAAGAAGAAACAGTTTAACTGTTAAATTAAAAATTATGTAAGAGAACTCATCTCTTATTTCTTCCTAAATTAAATTGAGAAAAAAAAATTAAAATAACCTCAATCTCAGGACTCATAACGTCAATGATCATGTTGTAGTTTGTAAAACACATGAGATACAACAACATGCTGAAATATCGGCCCCGCCAGGATTCATTCGTACTCATACATCCGCCATCCAGTCTTTTTTTACTCAACGGTTATAAAGGTTAGGATATTACATTGACTAAGAATTCTTGTGTTACATTGACCAAGAATCACAATGTACAAATCTTGTTCAGCGTAATACTCTAAACTTTGTAATACAATGTTGACCAAGGACCAGATTTTTGCGCTACGAACGAAGAATATTAGAACGAATTATGATGAATCAGAGAGAAAACACCGAACTCAATTATAATTCTTCTAATCTAAAATTGGTATATATAATTGGGCGCTCATTTATATGAAGTTGTAACTTTTAATCTGGATATTTTCGTTAATCCAATTTAATTTGAACTTTAGTCTGGATAAAGTTTCCATCATTGGTTAAATTTCTCACGAATTTGCTTCGGTAAATTCTTGTTCTTGCCCATTTATTTAGGTAAATAAATTTGAATCCCCGCTAGATTTGATTGGAATTTTAACATTGTTTTACAATTTACTAACAGTGTCTTGTAATGTTTGGCTGGTTTTTTAAATTTTGAAATCTGATTTTTACTACTACTAGAATGTAAAAAACGGTTTGACTTTGATGTTAAAAAAAGAAGAGAAACGCGTAAATTAAAAGGGGAATTGAAGAAGCGACGTGGCGTAGGGTATTTTGGTCGTTTCGTTATCCGTTGAAGGCTCGTATCGTAGTACTCCATCGGCGGCGAGTGTCCAGAGCAGAGAGAGGTCTCATCATTACGAAGCTCTAAAGCAAAACTCTCCTTCGTCTTTCGATCTCCTTTCTATAGAGAGAGGAAGATAGATTTTTCGGTGTGAAATTCAATCTCGAGAGCCGCGGAAGATGACGACACCGAGCACCGGAAAGCACGCTTCGGTCTCCGGGAAAGAAGAAGGCGAGCTCACGGCCTCCGCTTCCGCTTCCGAAGACGAAGTATTGTTCTCTCCCAACAAACCTATTCCTCTATTATTGATTATTTTCACATTCCTGCAAATCTGGATAACTTTTATTGATTTCTCTTAGTAATAGTCATCGGATTTTGTTACAAAATGTGAAATCTTAAGGGTTTATCATTTAGGCGAATTTCGGAGACTATTTGGCGTATTTATTTGTTATTTTCGTTGATTTTCTGATTCCAAAGCATTTTCGAGTTCGCTATTGCCAGAATGCTTTTGATTAGCAGATTCAAAACCCTGAAGCTTTAGTTTTTTTGTTGTTGTTTTTAGGTACAACCAATGCAAACAAGCACGAGAGCTCCTCTCACTGAACACGTATCAGCTCCTTCAGCAAACACAAATATTCAAAGGCGTCAAGCTGGTAAATGTTATTTGTCATCTGCTTCACGTAGTTGAGTCTCTCTCTTTTTCTTCTTCTCAAGTCTTCTGGGGATTTGGTCTTGCATTGCTTCTTGTACAGGATCTTCTGGTGCTTCGTCATATTTCTAGAATAGATGATATTGGATATGTACACAGACCTTGATTAGTATCAAAACTATTAGAGCAAAAAGTCTGTGTTTTCTGTTATGATTTTGTGGCGTGTGAAGCATTCTTTGCCCTTTCTTTAACAATATAATGTAGATTACGTTTGAAACCCTTCTCAATGGAAGTTGACTATGAACAAAAACTCTTTGTTTTTGTTTTTTTCATTGTGACTTTTCAGGAAATGTTGGATCTTTGACTAAGCCTGTTAGTGCTACACCGTTGAAGCTGACCCACCCTGGAGGCCGGATGATTGAGAAGAAGCAAGCGGCATCGATTAATGCCAGTCATGGGAAGAAATATCCTGTAAGGGGCAGCGACAGAAACCTTGTGATAAACTTCTCAGCTGATGATGACAGTGGTAGTGAATCTGATAGCAAAGGAAGGACACAGAACTTAAAGATCCAACCAAAGGGAACCATGTCTGCGAATCGAAATCCGTCTACATCATTACAAACAAGACTGAAAGGAACAACACAGACTGATAACAGAGCAATAACAAAGAAGGGATCGTCCGCTAGCACCTTCAGTCATCATGCTGCGACCGCTAAAGTTTCCAACCTTTCATTTTCCAAGGAAATGAAATCCAATAAAAGTAGTCATACCTTTCAGAGGACGGTTAGCAAAGATACACGGGATCCGGAACAGATTGTGGAGCCCAGTAGCAACAAACTTGTGGATTTGAGGCAGCAGATTGCACTTCGGGAAAGTGAGCTGAAGCTTAAGGCTGCACAGCCAAAGAAGGATGATGCTGTTAGTACAAAAATCAGTCCAGCAAGGAGATCCAGTATGGTTTCTGATGATGGTAAGCAGCTAGAATCAAATGAACCTGCCAAGAAGCGCTTAAAAATGAGTGGAATTGACACAAGTCAGCCTGTTATTGAGTACAGAGTGCCAGCGTCCACTGTTGCACCAATGAAAGCGCCAGGCATTGGTAAAAGTCTACTGCCAGGTGAGACTAAAGGCAAACATTGAATATTCAAATCTATTTTGGTTAAGGAGCTCAGTGTTTTAAATTTTTCTCACATCTCGTATCACCTGACTGATGTTTTCTGCAGGTATCACTGCAAATGCTAGTTACAAACACCTTGGTGGTAACAGTGATGAGATGAATCTGCCCGTTATTTCTCAGCATATTGTAGAAGGAATTACAAGCTCAAAAGTCTTACAAAAAAGCGCAGTACGTGTCACCATCTTTCTGTATTTTCTCCTTTACTAGAATTGGTATAATCGACTGCTAGACTATTATATTATGTCTAGTTTGGGGCCAGTATTTTTCTCAATATAAGCGTATTTCTATTAATCCCAGAGCAAAGGAAATCATTACGAAGGTGTAAGATGTGGCCAGCCGGATTTTCCTGTTCATGTGTCGTCAAGAGAACTGGAAACAATGAAAAATGTTGATACCGGCGTGTCAAGTGACCAGTTGCTTAAAACAGTCAGTGGAAGCCATCAGGTTATTTTCTAGATTCTTATATTATGACTTATGATTTGGAGGCGGCTGGTAGGATTCCATGATCTTACTTTTTATTTTTTGTTTTTCTGCTTGCAATGTAGCCAAGTTTGAACAATTCCGGCCTCTGGAACATCCCGGGAAATACAACTATTTCTGGACATAGTCAATTGGATTTGCTATCTTTGACAAACCTTGAGGAATCTCTTGACAGAGAGTTGGAGGAAGCACAAGAGCGTAAACACCTTTGTGAAATTGAAGAAAGAAATGCTCTTAAGGTTTATAGAAAGGCTCAGAGATCTTTGATCGAGGCAAATGCTAGATGCGCAGAGCTTTACAGCAAGAGAGAAAGTTTATCTGCTCACTATGGATCTCTCATTGTGGGGGACACCAGATTGTTGTGGCCTTCTGTACATCGTGAGCACCCTGAAACTGGGTTGCATTTCTTGAATAATGCTACTGAAGACATGGTTTTAGCAACCAAAACGGACATCCCTCAGCATACTCAGCTAGAAAGCAACCAGAGATATAACAATGAATATGGCGGCAGTCATACTCTACCTCCTTCCCGTAGTGGACAGAATTTGGGATCAGAACAGTGCAGTGATCTTGATGCTAGTACGTCGGATGGATTGCACTGCAGTAACAAGCAAACTTTAAGTAGAATATGCTCTCCGTCAAGTGATGCAAACATGTTGCCAGATGACGAGTCATTTCCAGTGGATCATCAGTCTACCGAGGAGAACCTTGGAAATCAAGCTGGAAATCTTGAGCAAACTCCAGTCAATCAGAGTTCTTTGATTCTCGAAGCATCATTAAGATCTAAATTGTTTGAGCGTCTAAGCAAGAGGGAAGAATCTAAAGGTGGCACATGTTATAATGGAGAGACTGTAATAGATAGAGGGGATGAAAGTGATGTTGCAAGTGAACAAACCCAGAAAGATGGCAGTAGCCCTGTCTCAGAAAAATATCAGGATAATGATTCTAGAGGTAAATAGTTTATTTATTAGTGATTACCATTTTGCCTAGTAATTTTATGAAATGTTAACCTTGTGCGTGGCTGGGCATTCACTTTTAAAAGTTTGATGAAATAGCATGGTCATTTTGCAACCTGAATTTTCTTTGAAATGTCTTCTCTTAGAGATGATTGAGCAAATGCATGAACTAGCGCCAAACTGTGCTCCCTAAGCATTGTCCGAGATAGCTGAACCAATGCTTAACTTTTCTTTTTCTTTTTAGTAACACGTCTTCCTGTTTTTAATTTCAGAGCCAGGCGTCAATAAGCTGCAAGGAAGTCCCTCTGAACCACCAATTAAACAGTGTGCAATCGAGGAAAATTCGCTAAATTTTCAATCATCTATACATATGGAGTCCCATAGAATATCACCAGAGGATGACCTTTTACCATGTGGAGCTTTGACAGGCCCTTTATTACGGAGCACGATTAATCATCTAAAAGTCCCTGGGTCTTCCATTACGTCTCTGGGACCAGAATATGCGCTTCAAAACAAGTCAGATAGCCTATATAGTGATGGAAGACAATGTAGGAGCTTGACTGAAACTCCAGTATATGAGAAAGAAATTGGCTTCTACACCTGTAATTTGAAGGTGGACCCTTTTCGGCCTTTCTGCATGTACGAGTTACGTGGAAGGTGCAACAATGATGAATGTTCTTGGCAACATTTCAAAGATTTCTCTGATGACAGCTTGCATCAAAGTCTAAATGATCCTCCCGGTACGGCAGAAAATGTGTGTTTAAGAGCTCTAGATATGCTGTTTCTTTGCTAGAATTCTTAATTTGTTGGTGTTGCAGATTGTAGTGCTGGGTCAAGTGTACATCAGAAGAAGCATAATTCTTCCAGAGGATCCCAGATTGTTGAGATGGAGCTTTCACCAACTTACCTAGTCTGCTTGGATACGATGAAGGTTGATTCGTGGTCTTCTGAGTCCGTTCTGGCTCAAAGATGGGGGCAAATATGGTGGAAGCACTTTAGTGTCTGCCTAGCCTCATCGAACTCCCTTTGCAAGAATATACCGGCAAGTGAACATGAAGGTCGAATTGATGTCCTAGGAAATTCAAGAACAGACGAATCATATTTCAGGATTAACCACAGCATGATGGTTTGTCTTTGTTTTCTCTTTATATTAACCTTTAATTATGCTTATATCTAGCTGCAGATCTGACCCGTGCTGTATTCTTTTTATTGACGTGTTACCATCTTGCACTGACCTGCTTGGTACATTCGTAGAAACAAGGTTCAGATGCTGCTGTTGAACCTGTGGAAATGGCTCTTATTATTTTCTGTCGGGAAGTTGATCAGACAAAAGACTTGTACCAGGCAATGCTGTTTGATTCCTGTTAATATTGTGTTGTATTTAATGATTCAAATTTAGCTCTCGTTCTAATTCTGATGGCACATTTTTTCAGGCCCTTTCTGTGCTTTCACGAGGTCTTGAACGTGACCCAACTTCTGAGATTCTTTGGACTGTTTATCTCCTGATTTATTATGCGAATGAAGGATCGAATGGGAAATATATGTGTTCTCTTGGGGTAGGTTATTGCATGCATCTACGTAATCACAAACTTATATATTGTTTCTCATAGTGTTTTATAGTTTTCGAACTTATATATTGCCTATGCATATCTTCATCTTTTTCAATACATTGTCCAAATTGCTCGTTCATTTTGCATCTTCCTTATGGGATTTTTTGATGCTTCACAATTTCGTGGCCTGGTTTATATGGGATAACGTTTCAACTTTTCAGGTCAAACAATGTAGCAGCTCATATGTAATATGGCTTATGTACATCAACAGTCGAGGACAACTTACCGATCAGTTAAATGCATACGATGCTGCGCTCTCGGCTCTCTGCAACCATGCATCTGGGTCTAATGACAGGAATCATGCCAGCGCTTGCATATTAGATCTTTTGTTGCAGATGTTCAACCTCTTGTGCATATCTGGGAATGTTTCAAAGGCAGTCCAGAGAATATCCAAGCTTCAGGCTCCAGCAGCAGTTTCTGATGACCCTGAATTTTCAATGATGTCTGACATTCTCACATGCTTAACATTTTCTGACAAATGTGTGTTCTGGATTTCTTGTGTCTACTTAGTTATTTACAGGAAGCTGCCTGATTCTTTTGTCCAACGACTTGAGATGGAGAAGGAACTGCTAGAAATAGAATGGCCTTCTGTTAATTTGGTAGGTGACCTGAAGCAGATGGCTCTCGGAATATTTGATAAAGGGATGCGTTCAGTAGAAGTTTGTACTAGCGATGAGTCGTCGGAAAATGGAAACCAAGAGCGATCTGCCGGGCTATTTGCTCTGAACCGCGCCCTGTTTATGATTGCAGTTAATGAGATAGGACAGTGTAGGGACATTGTGAAGACATCAGTTAGTCTCTACCCAGCTTGCTTGGAGCTAAAACTGTTAGCAGCTAGGATGAAACCAAAGGAAACATTGTCGTCTGGGTTTGATGAGCTTCTCAAGCAGGAACCAAAAGAGTCTTCAGATATGCAGTGGATTTGGAATCAGTACGCTGAATATGCTTTGCAAGGAGGGAACTACGACTTGGCAAGAGAAATCATGTCCCGATGGTATGTATTGTCCAGTAAGAAAAAGACAGTACTGGCTAATGAAGAAGAAGAAGAAGGTGACGATAGTTTGATGAAATCAGCTTTATCAGATCCGAATGTTGCATCGGATCAGGTTGATGTGATGTTTGGATATCTTAATCTCTCTCTCCACAATCTTCTGCAGAGTAACTGGACCGAGGCTCGCTCGGCTATTGACCAAGCACTAAAAGCTACATCTACCGAGCATTTTATGCATTGTCTGAGAGAGCACGCTGTGTTTCAGCTAATCAGTGAGTTGCAAGCAACTGGTGAATTCTCAATCAACCTACAATTGAGATTACTCAACTCTTATCTGGACCGAGCAAGTTCCTTACCGTTGAAAGAGCCGCTATCATGGAAATTCATCAGCAACAGCGCTGAGAAACCGAGAGTGAGGAAGCTAGTCACTAACCTTCTGGCTCCAGTTTCATCTGAGCTCTTATTGGTAAATGTTGTCCTTGAAGCATGGCACGGACCATCTCTCGTACCCGAGAAGCTGAGTAAACAAAAGGAACTGGTTGATTTTGTGGAAGCAATCTTAGGGTTGGTCCCTTGCAATTACCCGCTGGCTTTGTCTGTAAGCAAGCTATTAAGGAGAGAAGAGAAACATTCGGATTCAGGTTCTTCGGGGATTCATTTCTGGGCAGGTCTGAATCTGGTGAATACGATCTCTTGTGCCGTACCAGTAGCTCCTGAGTATATATGGGTAGAGGCTGGAGAAATATTGAGCAGTATAAATGGTTTCAAGACAAGAGCTGAGAGATTCTTGAGTAAGGCAGTGTCTGTGTATCCAATGTCAGTGAAGCTATGGAGATGTTACCGGAGTTTGTGTAGAAGCATAGAAGAGAGAAGAGGCATTGAGATCGAAGAAGCAGCCAGAGAGAAAGGAATCAAGCTTGATTGAAATTTTGAAAGCGACACTCGTCTTGTGTTTTCCCCTTTATAGATAGCCAATGCAAGAGGAGGGAGTAGTACAGTGAAGGGGGAATTTTTGGTGAAAGATAGGAAAATACGGTTTGAGAAAAGGTAAAGTGAATACCAATTTTATACGTTTGTCCTGTCTTCTTATGATTTTGTTCTGTTCTTTTAGCTTTGAACTTCTTCATATAAAACGTTTTGTTGAAAGCTGATTTCTGTTTAAACCGTTTAAATTTTAAATATAATTAGTTTAAAACGTATATAGTCTTTGATGAGTTTTGTGTAGAATGATATAAAATCTTGTCGCAATTCGAACTATCTCTGCTCCTCGGGCACTTAAGAAACAGGCTTTCTCGAGTACCAATAAAAAACGCAGCAAGAAAACAACAGAATAGTAATAAGTAAAAGCAAAGGAACCAGGCACTGTACGACCAATAATTCTTCCAGCTGATGTCGTTATGACAATTAACTTGGGAATCTCTGTTACGAAGCCAAATAAAAAAAACAAGGAAATGAGGGCCCAACCGGGTTCGAACCGGTGACCTATTGATCTGCAGTCAATTGCTCTACCACTGAGCTATGGACCCTTGTTGTCTTTTACTGTATAAATATATATTTATATAATCAGCGGAAAAATAATCCCACAAACAAACTTATGCAGTTCTGTATTCAGGTCATATACAATACAAAAAATCAACATGATCGAGAAGAAAAACCAAAAAGAAAATTGGATACTCTTAAACTTGGATCCAACTACAAGCAGGAACTTTCTTGATTCTTCCATCATTAGCTTTTCCTAATCTCCGTTCTTCACCATAATGAGAAGGATTTAGTGGCTCAAGTTTAACAAGCTGACACAATGCAGCGTTACTTAACCACAAATTACAATACGTTCTCGAACAACTCAGTAAAGCTCCCCACACTCCTACACTTGCTCTCACTCTCATTCTTCTCACCGTTTCCACAGCTTCATCAAACAAACCAGCTTTCCCTAATAGATCAACCATACAAGCATAATGTTCAACTTCTGCTTCGATCTTGTGTCTCTCTTCCATCTCCTTGAACATTCGTTTCCCTTCTTCGACTAAACCCGCATGTCTACAAGCTGAAAGAACACTGACAAAGGAAAGAGAGTCTAGCTTAAGTTCGTATTCTTGCATAAACGAGATGAGTGAGACCGCACTGCTTGCTAAACCATTGACTGCGTAAGCAGATAGCATAGTGTTCCATGAAACCATGTCTTTGTTTCTTATCTCCTTAAAGCATCTCTCGGAAGACTTGATCATTCCACATCTCGCATACATATCAACCAGACTTTTTAATACGGGCGTGTAGGAACAAAATCCAAACCGGATGAGACTGGCTTGAACTGACATCCCTAATCTCAACGCTGCTAATTGTGCTGCTGCGTGTAAGAGGTTTACAAATGTGACTATATTTGGCTGAAAACTCTCAACCTTCATCTGACGAAAAGCGGCAATAGCTTCTTGAGCTTGGCCATGGAGCAAGTACCCATTCATCATTATATTCCAAGATACTGTACTTTTCTCGAATCCACACTCGTCAAACAGGCATTTTGCTGCAGCGAGGGCGTCACATTTGGTGAACATATCGATCAGAGCATGTGCCACATGACATTCTGAATCGAACCCATGCTTTATAATCTGGCCGTAGACACAAGAACCTCGATCATAGTCACTACAGAGTGCACAAGTTTGAAGCAAACCAACCACAGTTCCTGAGTCTGGCCTTACTCCATGTAACTTCATGTTATTGTACACATCGAATGCTTTACCGGCATCACCAATCTGTGTATACCCTTGTGCTAGAGCGTTGAATGCTACAGCATCTTTAATCGGCAGTCTTTCAAAAGCTTTAAGCGCAAGAGGAAAGAGACCACTTTTGGCATACATTGAAATCACAGCTGTGGCAGTTTCCAACTCCGACTCAATCTCAGCCTTTATAGCATAACAATGTATGCTCTTACCCAATCTAGAAGCAGCTACTCCTGCACAAGCCGGAAGCACACTTGTCAAAGTTACAGCATTTGGCTTGACTTGTGTTCTCATCATTTCCCTAAACAAAGAGAGAGCATCGTCCTGATGACCTGCTTTCTCAAACGATGCAATCATGGCAGACCAAGCAACAACATCACGACCTTTAGTTTTTATGAACAGTTGTTCTGCTTTCTCCAACTCACCGCATTTGGAATACATACTCATAAGAGAAGTCGCAACCGAGACATCACCAACCATTCCTTGTTCCACTACGTATTCATGAATCGCAATCCCCTTCTCTAAGTCCCCTACATACGCAGCAGCTTGAAGAGCACTTACTACAGCCACCTTATTCATTCCAACATCATAGTGTCTAATAAGGTCAAACAACCACAATACCTCCTCAAAGTACCCATTATCTGCATAAGCTGCCATCATTGTGCCCCATGAAGAGCCATCCGTCCTCCAAACTTCTTCAAAAATGCACTCAGCAGCATACAAATCCTCACATCTCCAATACATATCGATCAACCCATTAAAGAAACCAGAAGCAAAACCTTTTCTTATCACAAACCCATGAAGACATCTGCACACATCCTTCCTCTCTAGCTTCGAAACCGCAGGGATCAGATTGTACAGACTAACATGGTCAATGCCAACACAGCTCAAATGCATATCACGAAACAACCGCAAGGCTTCACAATGAAATCCATTTTGCGCCAACCCGGAAACCATAATGTTCCAAGTAACGACATCTTTCTCAGGCATTTTATCGAACACTTGCTTAGCAGAAATCAAGTCTCCAGCTTTACAGTACATTTCAACTAGCGCGGTTCCTATATAAACATCAGACTCAAAACCCATCTCAGAGATCAAATCATGAATTCGTAAACCTTCCTCCAAGTTCATCGATCCGGTGCACGCCTTCAAAGCGAAAGTGAAAGTGTACTTGTCTGGTTCAATACCTTTCTCCTCTGACATGTATCCGAACAATCCGAGAGCTTCTCTGTGTAAACCGGCTCTCGTGTAGCTTCTGATCATGGAATTCCACAGAACTACACCTGGGTCTCGAACTGAGTTAAAGACGATTCGAGAAAGGTCCGGCCTTTGAAAGAGAGAATAAGCGTTTACGAGCTGGTTGTGAGGTTTAACGCCTGAGACGATAAAACTGCCGTGAATTTGAAGAAGAAACCGGAGGTTCTTACATTCCCGGAGCATACGGAGGAGCGCAATGGAGGTCATTGGCATTTCATAGTCGACGAGGATCAGGGCGTGCTACTTTGAAAAATTAAACATGGCCTACGGCTTCATTTTCTTAAAAATTACAAAAAATATATTTTAATAATCTGTGAACACAGTTACATACAGTATGTACATATATTTGCATTACTGGATACTTTGTTTTTTTTATATACACTTTTAACAATAAAACATTAAATAATTATATAAGAGAAAAACGAGAGAGATTTTTTATATAATTATGAGGTTGCTTCGTTTTTTATTTAGTGCCAAATTATTTACATTAGCATTGCATTTTGCCAAACGCTTTCTTCTTAAATCTTATACATTTTCATTAGTCAAATCGTATCATGTTATTTTATGAAAATATTCAGTTCACTATTTTATCTATTCGTCTTTGATCCTTATGATCTTAGAATTCATTACATAGAGATACTTATTTTATTTCTTTGGTATTTTTTCATTTTTTTCACACTTTCCATATTGATTTATTTACCTATTCAAAGTCGTGTGTATATGTTGTGCACATGAAAATCTTCAATTCACTATTCAAATTAGTAAATTTTTTTGTTAACAAATAGAAAATGAAAAAAAAAGTTTATCGGTTTGTATTTATTATCGTAACCAACATTTGCTTACGGTGTAGACCGACGAGGATGCAATTACAGGTTTTTGGCGGGTAAAATCGTTGCAGTCTCACGTCTTTAGTTTAAAATGTTCAAACTTTTTTCAGTTTCTGTATATTTTAGCTTGGAAAATTGAGATTTTATAAGAAAAAGGTTATCAATTTTTCAAAAAAAAAAAAAGAAAAAGGTTATCAAATGATCGTTTTAGCCTGAAGTTGAGGCTTAAGAATTTCTTAGGTAAGAGAATTTCAAGTAACTGAAGAAGATGTAAAACTCGAGAGTAGAGAGAGCATAGATTATTGGAATGTCTGAAACTTGTTATTACTAAAAGTCTAAAACCAATAAAACTCTCACATCACAAAATTTTCTTTGCTTAATCAGAGACAACAAAACTATATGGACCGAGATTCTTTTTTTGTTTCCCCAAAAAGGAAATGCTCTATGTATATTGTTGATAATGAGTCTTCATGCGTTGTGAATCTTCCACATGCCAGTTCTGTATCCCACAGACATCAAAGCAAGCTCCCACAACATGTTGGGAATGCTCAACATATTCACTTTAGACCCGGGGATTTCAGACCAGTTCACAGAGATCTCAAGCATTGGAATATTGAAACGCTTGCACAAGAACACCAACTCAACATCAAAGCACCACCTGCGCAGAGACACAGAGACCGATTCAAAAATGAGACACTCTTATTGATTGCTTCTACTGCTATTAAGTTTATTCATCAAATCATGATACATACCTTTTCAGATGAACGTTTGAGAAAAGTCTTCTAGCAGCAGCTCTAGTAAACATCTTGAATCCACACTGCAGAAAAAAAAACAATGTTAGTAGTATGTCTCGGTGAAACAGAGCAATTTACTTTTGACTGCGATGGTAAAAAGCCACCTGTGTATCCCGAATTCCAGGACCAGCCGCCATAAGAACCACAAGATGGAAACCTTTCATCAAAAAGTTGCGATACCATTTCCTCTGTAATGGACAGACCGGAGTCAATTATATATGCATAGACAAAGAATGATAATGTATCTTGAACAGGCGTTTGCAAAACTTAACTGAAGCAAGAGCTTTCTCCTCAAGATGAGCACGAGAACCAAATGCGGATACTTGCACATCACCTATTCTAAAATCCGTATGCTTGGATGCTGGATCTCTGATTGAGTTTTCTTCTCTGGCTACTGCGTGGATCTGAGAGGCTATAAGAGATCAGGAGATTTGTAACACAGTTTCAAGATTTATTGAGTTTTCGATAGGCAAAAACATAGGGGAAACCTGATTTTCAAGTCTCTCTAGGTCTGTTATTTTAGTTGCTCCATCAGCATCCAGCATGAGAAGTAGTTCACCACGAGAATGCATCATTCCCTATTTAATGCTTTCAAAAAGATAGAAAGCTTCGATTAACTTTTTTCTAGAATGAAATGGAAAGTATAAAAGTCTTACTCAGTCAACTGTGTAGAACTCACTTTTCTTATAGCTTCTCCTTTCCCTTGGTTCTTCCCAAGGGGTATAACCCTTATGTTGTCGACTGTGTACTTTCTAACGAAATCAAGAGCTACTCTTTTTGTTCCATCAACACTTCCATCATCAACAATCACCACCTAGACATAGAAAAGGGAAAAAATAACTTACTCCACTGATGCATATAGGTTTAAGGAGTACAATGAAGATTAATTGAGCGGTTAAGCATGATTAGGTAGTCTATATTTATAGAATAGTAAGTTGTGAGCCTTACTTGTTTCTGATAGATCTATGTGAACTAATTGTTGGGATAAGACAACTTAAAAAGCTCATACCTAGGTGCATAATCAACCTTAAATGAAGTTAAAAGAGATAAGACAGAAGAATGGAAAACTATTTACCTCAAAAGAAAAATTCTTGTCCCGTGATGCACGGTCTTGAAGGTAACTGCAAATCACAAGCAAATGACAATAAGACTTGTGCTGCTGTTTTTCAAGAGAAGCAAAACCCTTCACAAATGGAAGCAGAAGTCTCTAAAGAAGTGAAAAATACGTTAACTTACACCATCGTTTCCTCAAGAGCTGCAGGAAGTCTCTGCTCTTCGTTATATGCCGGAACTATTAATGACAAATACTTCTCTGCAGGGTCGGAGATATGAGGACAGGGAATCTGATGATAAAGTTTGAAAACCAAGGTCAGGACACATTTGAAAACAGATTCCTCGATCTCACTAAAATGCCAGCCAATGTAATAGAGCGTGTGAAACTCGTCCTAATTGACAAGACAAAACGCTGTTTATTTTTTGTGTGGGTAACAGCATTTCATAATCTTTCCGGTTGATCCACTAACCTAAGAGTGTCCAAAGTCTGTGTCTTGACAACCTATCCATCAACCAATTATCAACATTTCACACCAACAGCTAATCTAGCACTATACCACTCAAATTTTCAAACTCTATTGCCGAACCAAAATGCAACATTTGATTCCGGAAACAGTTCCCCACCTTGAAGCCTACATTAACAACCTTAGCAGACACATTTCTTTCTAGACTGAATGCAAAGCTTCAACATTTGAAAAGGGAGCCAATTTCAACACATGAGTGTAATAACAAAGCTCTCGTCCTAAACGTATTAGCTCAACACGAAATCAAGTTCCCAAATCGCTAATGCAAGAACTTTCTAAAGGGAATTTAAGTTCCACTAACTATAAAAATTGAATTTTTAGTACTGTCGCCACACTTAAATCCCGGGAAATCAATTAATCCGAAACGATGAAGAACAAAATGATACCTGTTTTAAGGATATCGGATCTTCTAGTGCAATCACGGTCTCCACGGAACTGGGAAAATAAGTAAAATTAAATAAATCATTGTTTTTTCCCAGAAATCGAAACAAAAGAAAAGCAGGATACGATAAGCCAAAAAAAAACAGAGAAAAAGCAAATCGGAAAATACGAAGAAAATGGAGTGAACGTACACGTTACTGTTTCTCCTTCTCCAAGCTTCAATAACGACGACGAAGAAGACGATCAGCAGCAGCGAGAGTCCTAGCTCCACAACTGTTACCAGAAAATCCATTTTTGCTCCCCAGATTTTAGATCTGTTTTGCTTCACAAGGAACAAGAGAGAGAGAGAGAGAGAGAGAGAAGAGAAGAAGAAGAAGAGAGGTCGAATGAATCCGTGAAGAATAAGCAAGAAAAAGCTAAAGTTTATTGATTTAATCCGTGAAGTGTAAAGCACTGTATTTGCCAAATTAATTGCAGGATCATTCAAAGTTCAAACCCTAAACAATTTCATAATCAAATTCAGAGCTCTGATTTGTGAGGTCAGCCATTTCGGTTTGACTTTTGTGATAGAGCCATTGTGGTCCGGTTTTATCCGGTTCTGTTTTAAGCAATTCTCTTAACAAATCGGATACTAAACCGAATATGCGTCTAAATCTGTGGAACTATATTTTGTTTATGAATTCTCTTGTCGTTTTTTTCTTTAAACGTTTTAGAACGTCATTAATTTGAATCAAAAGTTACATTGTCGTCAATTATCAAAACAAATATTATATAAGCACTGTACAGATCCATTGATATAGATACAAACTACAAATGGTCAATAATCATATAGATGGATATTAAGGAATTTATTTAAAAAACAAAAGATGGATATAAAGGAAGAACAAAGTTACACGATGTTTTCAGAATGAATACTTTACTACTCCCTTACAGATTGTAAAATATAAACATTCCTACTCTAATGAGTTTATATTTTTGTATTTTGAAACTAAAAGACCTTGTTTCATTGGTGGAAAAAAAAAAAAAAAATCTTGTTTCACCTTTCACGATCAGCTTACCACCACCTACGAAACGGTGCATGTGCTAGTGCTCGGGTTAGTAGTAGTGACCATGCCACTACCGCTAAAACTACAAGCGTCGTCGGTGCGACCACTCTGGTAATAAAGATTCATGACGAAGGACGCTCGTGTCTTCAAGTTGTTGTTGTCAAAACATATCCCTCCAGGTGAGATTGTCTTACAGTCGATACCTTTGCCACACACCCAATCAATATTCGCTTGTAGCTGCGCATCTGTCGCTTCTTGTTTAGCCACACACCATTTTCCACTACCTCCACTACCTCCACCGCTTCCACCATTTGTCACGACACATGTGCTAGTGCTGGGGTTGGTTGTAGTAACCATACCACTACCACTGAAGTTACAAGCATCATCGGTGCGACTTTTACTTTGGTAATAATCGTTCATAACGAAAGACGCTCGTGACTTCAAGTTGTTATTGTCAAAACATACGCCACCAGGTGAGATTGTCTTACAATCAACACCTTGACCACACACCCAATCAATGTTCGCTTGAAGTTGTGCGTCTGTCGCTTCCGGTTTAGCCACGCACCATTTTCCACCGCTGCTCGGACCACCAGGGCTCGGAATCGGACTCGGGCCACTCGGGCTCGGAGTCGGACTCGGTACACCTTTATGACCTTCTCGTTCGACGCCAGCATCATAAACCGGAGTAAAATCCGGTTTGAATAGCCCCCAATTTTTCTCAGCGGTCCCTCCGGGTTTACCATCCTCATTGAACAATGCGAAGATGAAGATATCGATGTGACGTTCGGGCATAAGAGGTGTCCCTATGACCTTTCCACGCTTAATGATGTTAATGTTGAAGTTTTTAGCGTTTTGAGGTGTGCAACATGCGGTGTCACAAACGCTAGGCCAACCGGTTTCACCCACAACCATGTCTAAGTCGCCATAGCCAAGAGCATTCATGGCTGAGTAAGTTGCATCCAGCACTGCGTCGAACATGTTGGTGTAGATTTTGTTTGTATTAGGATCCGTTATAGCATTTGACGGACCAAATAATGCGTAATTGACATTGTTAGGGTCCCTCGCAAAAAAAGTGTAGGCGTTGAACATGAATGGGGACTTGGCTTGACGATGAAACTCCAAGATCTTAGTGAAAAAGTCTTTTTGGTCGTCGAGAAATCTGCTTTGGCTTGGTGCATTTGCTTTAAAGCCGACGGTAAACGCATGTGGAGTTGTCACCTATAACAAAAATATTACATAATGGTGTTAAATTTTGCATTATATTAAATTTATAGTACTTATCAACATTATAACAATAATTTATAGCAAAAAAACTTGCAATAAGATCACTTTTTTTTTTCAAAGTGTTAAATTTATAAACATATTTTTATCTAGTGTAATATCAAGTGGTTTGTCTTAAGTATCGTGTTCAAATTCAACCCCTCGTAATGCGTTTATAAGAAAAAAAACATGGTCCGTATCATCATGACGTGAAACTGACCTTGATATCTGTGAGACCGGAAGCTTTCAAAGCTTCGTTAAGACTTTTCATCGCCTGGACAAGATTTGAGATCAAGTTATTGTCTTTAGTGACAAGGATCTCGTTTCCAACACAAACGTATTTGATCTTGATCTGCTTATGAAACGGCAAGACATTGGCAGCAACCCATTGACGAGCATAATCAACGCTGACCATCGCTGGAATGTTTCCGTTAGGGACCATCATGGTGACGTTGATCCCAGTGCCTGCTAGGGCTCGGAGGATGTCGGGATTCGCATCAAAGATCTTGACACTGTCAAAAATGGTATTTTTCTTGATGAAGTTCACCACTTGTTGCGGCGGTGGAAGGTTCCCTAATGTTCCGTAGTTGATACCGATAGCGGAAGTCACGGCTGAGAGTTGGAGGATCACAACCGAGACTAGGAGGAAAGAGGGAGCAAAAAACGGTGACATTGTTGACATTGGTTTGTTTGTAAGAAAGCATGTAGATACATAACATTAGGCTAAGAATATGTGTGTATTTATATATTAGTGGTTCAGTCTCCATTTTCTCTCCAATTTTGGATTTTTGAACATTTTTTCTATAAAATTCGGTGTTGTTAAATGTTTGTGATATTATTTTAGCAGTAACATTGAATAATAGATTATAATATCACAAACTTTTAATAACATTGAATAATAGATTATAACATGCTTATCATCTAATAAATACGAGCACATTTAGATGTGATGTAATATAAAAGAAATCGTGCAACATTGAATAATAGATTGTACCATAATATATAAACAAAATAAAGTTGGTCTTTTATAAAAGGAAGATTATATGTATACATATATTATTTGTTCATAGTGCATATATGAATATATTATTGGTTCCATGAATAAACAAAATAAAGCTGGTTCATTCAAAAAATATAGTATTAGTTCATGAATTACTAAAACAATATTAAAGAAATAAATGGAATTAAATCATTTGGATGAGGCAGGTTTATGTATAACATATATTAGCTCATTGAATTTTAGAAATGAAATATATGTTATACTAAGGGGGATGGATTTCAAAGAATTTTTGAAATTTTAAGAATTTGTTATTATTGGTTTATGAATTCTGAAAATCTTTCTAAAATCCATTATTATTGATTAGATGATTTTTAAATTCCATACAAAATCAATTGTTATTCAAAAAGTTTGTATTTTAATGATTATATGAATCCATCAAAATTCTTGTTATTAAGAAATGGATTTTAAACAATTTAACTCATGAAACAAGATTTCCAAAATACTTCATATAACCCTTAGATTCTCAAAATCATTATAGTAAAATATTTGGATAGATTTATTAAATATATAACTCTCTGCAAATCTATCAAATAACTCTTTATAAATTTAACAATTCTATCAACTTTTAAAATTTTGCAACTCTATAAAAACTCATCTCCCAATAACCCCCTAAATGTGTCTTTATACATTTGTGGATGAGAAATACTCTTATCAAGAGTGTTTAAACAAAATTTGGTGGAAAGATATACAACTTCAATAGTTTTAAACTAATTGATTCGAAACATTAAAGGAAACAATTCAATGTAATCGGATCCAAGCTCCTTTAATTGACCCGATTACTCCTATAACTGAGAAGTCATATTGGTGTGATATTGAAATATATAAATAAATTAAGAAAAAGTGACAATACCACCCACGCGTATACGCAAGATTTAACCTACTAGTTATTAATGTTGCTTCGTTTTAGATATAATTGCCAATTTAAGTAAACACTACATTTTGCCAACTGCTTACTTCTGAAATCATATACATTTTTATTGGTAAACTTGTTTTCTATCTCCATTTGTTGTATTATGTAGAATTGTGTGTTTATTTTGTGCATATTCATTAAAAAATCAATTCACTATTGTTCTAAATTTTTGTATTAATAGATTAAAAATGCAAAATAATTAAATATAATAAACAACTGGTCGCCTACGGCCTGTATCAATGTAGGCAGACTCTTCTAGCAAACAATGCTAAGTTTTTGCATAGAAAGCTCAGAAACTGGAAAATGATCTTTAATCGCTGCTGCTTTGAGGAAGATGATAACCAAAGGACCAATATGACTTTATCAAGAGTGTTTAAACAAAATTTGGTGGAAAGATATACAACTTCAATAGTTTTAAACCAATTGATTCGAAACATTAAAGAAAACAATTCAATAAACAATTCAACATTAAAGAAAACAATTCAAAATTTGATCCAAGCTCCTTTAATTGACCCGATTACTCCTATAACTGAGAAGTCATATTGGTTTGATATCGAAATAAAATTGATCATAACAGTGACTAGTCTTATTCATGGTAATCTAACAAACGATGTGGAAATTTCAAAACTCACCCAAAGGCGAATCATACAAACTGATGAGAACATTATGGTACACGTATTACTTTCGTATATTATCTTCTTCGTATAAGCCAAACCTTGGCTACTATTGTTATGTATCCGTATAAAAGACAGCCGCAAAAAAAACATTACACTCAGCAAAAAAGACTCAACAGAGCAAAATTTCTTTGGCCTCTTGATGCCTCCCAAGAAACCATCTGTACAACAAACTCTTAAGGAGCGGCACGAGCCCCATGAATTCTCATCCTCTCGGGCTTAATCCTCCGGCTTAAACCGCTCTTCTTCTTCATGAATCTCTCCGACTCTTGCTCCGCATAGAAAGCAATCTGAAGCCTCTTTAGATTCTCAGCACACTGTCTGTGCAACCCCGGCGAGAACATTCCGGGACCTTCTTGACTGATCGGTCCGAGATGCCTCTTGTGCGGCGAGAGCCATTTGGATTGCAGGTAGTTCAGCGATCTCCATGGAGGCAACGGCATCGAGTTCTGCTTTAAAGAGAATTTCGCTGCATCGACCATTACTTGGAGAAACTGGTTTAGCCTCGCCACCGTGCCTACGTAAACAACAGGGAGTGATTCCATTATCCGTTGGTATGAATCCACAGCTCTCGCGATTTCAAAGTGACTTCTGAAATCAATGTCGATAATCAAACGGTCGTCTTGGCCAACATCAGTGTCACTCAATATGATATCTATGTACTCACTGTCTCCTGCAATTTCATGAAAACATAAATAAACCATTTCAATCTTCAAGAACTTTATCTGCAGATAATACATGTATGAGAGGAGAAAAACTTACCACCAGGAACTTTGCCACCGCCTTGCCATCTTGCGGAGCAAACAGCAGCGTTGTAACCGGAGAGTCTCAAGAGCTTTGCGAGGTAAAACCTGATGCAACTGGCGTTACAGGTACCGGATTTCACAGAGTGAAGATCTTTCTCCTTGATCGTAAGCATCAGGGTACGAACCGCAGAGAGAACCTCGGTTTCGTGCTGAGGCATTGAGTACTTGAGAAACTGCACGAGGCACAAACAGATAATCTAATTCAACAAAGTGCTCCCATTTACATGAGAATATAGCAGAAAAGCTTCCATTCTAACGAATCCAGAACAATCTCTGAAATGCTAAATCCGCAAAATGGCAAATGAGAACATAATCCACTAAAGGCATCATACTAATCCTTGTTCAAGCACTACAAAACTATATCCAGTATCCAATTTCCATAGCTAATCAAAATTCCCAAACCGATTACTAGCAAATGATGATGATCATAGAGAATCTCATCAAGCAATTATCCCAATTCGATTCGTATCGGAACACCGAAACATTTTCCAGCCGATAAGATGAAAATCAACAAATCGTGCGATGGTATTTGGTACCTGAATTTTATCGGAAAGGTAAGAAGGATCCGGGAATCCAGAATCGCTGTCGCTGCTGCAATAGGAATCACCATTAGCAGCGCCACCGCTTCCCGTCTCCAGAAAATCGGTAACCATAAGGCCTAGGTCACGTTCACCGTCGTGGCTAGAATCTCTCCCTCGGTTCCACCATTCCTCCGCCGGAACAACCCTCAAGTCCATCCCCATCGCAACCTAAATTCCCTCGGGTCGATTTTACGATTTTTTATCTCTACAGAAATCGGAGACCCAGAGGAGCTTAGGCGGAATTGATTAAACACACTGAACGATTCGTTCTCATGAAATTGATAAGAATTGGACTCCGTTCAAAAAACGCGTTTCGTCCTCTTCACGAGTCTTGTGTGATTTGATTATATATGCCGATGAGAGAGAGAGAGCTTGAAGGTTCGTTAAAGGAGAGAAAAATCCAGGAAGATAGGCGAAAAGGAAGATGAAGCGAAGGTGGGTAAATATAATACAAATGTGTAACGACTAAAATGCCCTTTTATGATACCATTTGCGCTCGTTTCTCAAGTTGTAACGAACCGACGAAATTATAACGGACAAAAATGAACCGGGACAGAATCTAGGCTAATATTCGTGTTTTGTTTAACGAGAAACTAACAGTAACAGATTACTTTACTTGTTTAACAGAGGAGAGAGATGGTAAAAAAGGGTAAAACAGGTAATTGAAATGAGAATTAAATGGTTTGGCTTGGAGATGAAGTTAAGCCTGCTTTAACGTTTTAAGTAGGCTTGACACGTACGAATTTTAAACCATTAATACGAATATTTTTACACAAATGCCTTTACATTTATAGTTTTTTTTCTTCCTATTACCGAATAAATCAATGACGGTCGAAAAAAAATAGGGGTCAGAAATGCATCGTTGTTTAAGCGTTACAAAAAAAACATTTTATCGTGTGACATTATTTTTCTGTATAGCCAAATCCTATATATAAAAAACATCTTAGATCTGAAAAAACCATCGTGAAGCTCTGCAGCCTAGGGCTATCGACATTTTCTCAAATTCTCCATGGCAATGTACTTTAGCTCGATATCCGAGGCGGAAGAGAGACTCAAATTCAAATTGGTGGAGTGTGATGTTGATCCCGCTGTGGAAGTCTACAACAAGCCCCGGGTAAGGATCTCCGTTGAGGGATACGACACGTCGCTTCCTGAGGATGACATCAACAAGGCGTTGGTTAAACTCTTCGGTCCATGTGGCGATATCATCAACGTGACGATTCCCGTAGACCCTGAGACCGGTCTTGTCGAAAGACGTGCTTTCATGATCCTGCGCGGAGATGGCGCATAAGAGAAGGCGTTGCAGCTTGAGGGAAGTGACGTGGGAGGATGGAATGTCGCTGTGAAGGTTACACCGGAGGAAGACGAGGAGACTGATCGTTATCGACATGCTCTGTTGGAGCAAGTGAGGTATGACGAGAAATATAAGTTTGGCGTTGCCGTTTATGGATATGACACGTCACTTCCTGACGATGATGTCAAGAGCGCTTTGGTGAAAGGTTTTTCTTCTTGCGGAGATATCACGTGTGTGCTTCTCGGTAGAGAGGACAATAAAGCCTTGGTTTATTTTACACAAGAAGACGCAGAAGGTAAGGCGCTGAAACTAAATGGAAGTGAAGTGGGAGGACGGAAAGTAAGTGTTTTCCTCGCAGCGACAGTGAGAAGTTGTCGTTCCAGCTCCACCACTGCCTCCGGCTCCGGTCGTATGTTTAACTATTGTGTTCCAGCTCATTGTATCATGTTGGCCAAAGAGAACAATAAGAAGATCATGGCTTTTAAGAAGGAGAGGGGGATGGTGTAGTCTACAACTCTCGAGTAAAAACCTCTTTGGTGTTTTTCAATAATGTCTTTCTACTACTTCGGTCTTCCTTATGATGCTTCGTGTTTGTGTTTTTTACCCTAAGTAATAAAGCTCAAAGCCGTTTGTGTGTCGACGGTTTTAAAAGCCGTTTGTTTGAGGATGCTTAAGCTCAATAACCATTATTCTAGTATTTTTTGTTTTAAACATCTTACCAAACTTGGTTTTGCCATATATCGCACTTGCTTTAATGTTCTTTACAATTTGTGTTGCTTTCTACTTTCTCTAGTGTGTTTCCCTTTTGTATAGATAGATGGAGAAATATGAAAAACAAATTGGTTGGCTTTACCTCATTGGTTATGGGCTGGCTTTGCAGGCCTAGTGACCATTGTAATTGCCACCATCCAAACTAACTTCACCTCCATGTTTCACTGTCACAAAGGCAGTTTACACAACCCAACCTTGGGGCCACACGATGGGTAACTGAGAAAAGGTTTAGCTGCCGTAATAATTGAGAAGTCAATTTTCTTTTTGTAACAGCTAAACAAATACGATTTATTTTTCTAATCTGACATGACATCTCAACCATAGGAAACAAATTCTCATGCAAGAGACAGAAAAAACGAATCATTTCTCAAGTAGTATAAAACGGAAGTGTAGATGATGAGGGTTAAAGACTTTTAGCCAGAATAATTGAAACAAATTGTAACTTTTAGGCCTAAAACACAAAACTTGTAGCTATTATGTGTGGAAGACACGGCAAGTCCGTACGTCAAGATTGTCCAACCCGTATAGAAAAATGATTTAGAGGAAATGATCCTCTTGAGAAAAATATGGATTTTCGTTGATCGAATTACAAAAAGTCCAAGTACTACCAAACAAGACAACGACCCTCCAAAACAATACGCGGCTCAAAATCACTAACCTACCACCCAAGTCAAACCTATATTTCTTTAATACATTCGTGTTTATGACTTTTTAAATCATTTATCTGTTCATGTGTTACAGAGAGAAGGAAGAAAATTGGTTGGGTCAATTATTTTGTATGTAAAACATTTTTTGTATCTAGAACAACGAGTTCCGTACGACAAGAAGTAAACCGAATTCCGTACATGACATATCGATCACCAATAATGTCCGGTGATTGGATTTTCAAGACCAAACACAGATTTATTCTAATGGTAATTAGTAAAAAGTCACGGTACAATTATTAATGTAGACCAACCTGCGTCAAGTTAATATGTAATGTACCCCAGTGATGTAACTTTTTCAAGAGATTTTGGCAGGTTGTTACTTGTTACGCTCAAGACACTATTACTTATTAGGATACAGTCAGAGATATGATTGCATTAGTTTAACCTACAATCATGTATCGAATATCTTTTTCTTAACTCCTCATTAACTCTCCTCTAATACTCTAGTGTCTCACGAGTTGTATATATTGAGGATCTTGAGATTGTAATAAGACAACACTTCTTCAACTCTCTATATGGTATCAAGAGTAAACGATCCATAGAGAAAAAAAAAACAAACACAAAAACACAAACACATTATTCCTCTTCTTCTTCATTTTTTTTCTTACGGATCTCAACTCAACACAAGATGTCCGTCTCACCAACGCCAACAGATGCGACAGAAACCATTCCCACCATCGCTCAACAACAGCTCCTCACAATCAACATGACTCATGTCACAAAACTCACTGCAACCAATTACCTCATGTGGAAGATCCAGGTTCATGCCTTACTTAATGGCTATGATCTGGCTGGCCACGTCGATGGTTCCCTTGTTGTTCCAGCTGCTACCATCACCAATGGTGATACGGTATTTGTGAATCCAGACTACACCATGTGGAAACGCCAAGATCAACTGATTTTCAGTTCCCTCATAGGGACGATCTCTCCCTCGCTGCAGCCTCTTCTCTCGCGAGCCACCTCCACCTATGAAATCTGGGACACGCTAGCTCTCACCTATGCTAAGCCTAGAAGAGGGCACATCAAACAATTGAAGACTCAACTCAAAAACTGGCGTAAAGAGAGTAAGACCATTGATGTTTACCTTCAAGGAATTACTACTCGCCTAGATCAACTTGCCATACTTGGTAGTGCACTTGGTCATGAAGATCAAATAGATCTCATACTTGAGGGTCTCTCCGAGGAATACAAACCTGTAGTTGATCAGGTTGAAGGAAGAGACACACCGCCAACAATCACGGAGTTACATGAGCGACTTCTCAATCATGAAGCGAAGCTGCTCTCTGCTGCAGCTGCAATTGTCCCTCACGTACCCGTCAATGCCAATGTCGCTCAACATCATCGCAACAACAACAACTACAGAAACCAAAACCAGAATCGCCACAGAAATAATCAAAACCAGTGGCAACAATCCTCATCGCCAACTGGGCAAAACCAATCTCAGCAGCCACGTAGTGACTATCAAGGTCCACGTCTTACCTTGGTCGTTGTCAGATTTGTGGTATTCAAGGACATGGAGCAAAACGCTGTCCTCAGCTTCCACATTTTCAAGCCAACATTTCTCAAAAGCCCAGTCCTTTCACACCGTGGCAACCAAGGGCGAATTTAGCTGCTGGTTCTTCCTATTCCGCTGATAATTGGCTCCTAGACAGTGGTGCTACGCATCACATGACGTCGGATCTCCACAACCTGTCTCTGCATCAGCCATATCAAGATCCTGCTGATGTGATTATTGCTGATGGTTCCACTATGCCTATCACACATACGGGTTCAATATCTCTTCCTACACAATCTCGTGCTCTCCACTTAAATAATGTTTTATATGTACCAGATATTCATAAAAAGCTTATATCGGTATATCGATTGTGTAACGCTAACCGTGTTTCGGTGGAATTCTTTCCTGCATCCTTTCAGGTGAAGGATCTGAGCACGGGAACCCCATTACTCCACGGCAGAACTAGGGATGAGTTGTATGAATGGCCTATCAATCCATCTCAAGTTTCCGCCATGTTTGCTACACCAAGCTCCAAAGCCACCGTTTCTTCTTGGCATTCTCGTTTAGGCCATCCAGCCTCTTCCATTTTAAACACCGTCATTTCTCAATTTTCTCTTCCTGTTTCAAAACAATTTCATAAGCTTTTGCCTTGTTCTGATTGTTTCATCAATAAAAGTCATAAAATTCCTTTCGCTACATCTACCATAACCTCTTCTAGAACTCTTGAATATCTATTCTCCGATGTTTGGAGTTCTCCAATTCTATCCCTTGACAATTTCAAATACTATGTTATTTTCGTAGATCACTATACACGCTATACTTGGCTGTATCCTCTTAAACAGAAATCACATGTCAAGGAAACGTTCATGGCTTTCAAGAGCTTTGTGGAAAACCGATTTCAGACAAAGATTGGAACTCTATATTCTGATAATGGAGGGGAATATGTGGCGCTTAGAGCATACCTTGCAACACATGGGATCTCCCACCTCACGTCTCCACCACATACTCCAGAACATAACAGAATTTCGGAAAGGAAACATCGCCATATTGTGGAAACCGGCATGACTTTGTTGTCGACGGCATCGGTGCCTAAGACGTATTGGCCATATGCTTTTGCAGTTGCGGTGTACCTGATTAATCGACTGCCGACGCCAATTCTTCATCTCCAATCTCCTTATCAGAAGCTCTTTGGTGTTGCTCCGAATTATGACAAACTTCGGGTCTTTGGCTGCTCATGTTACCCGTGGATGAGACCATATAATCACCATAAGCTTGATGATCGGTCTCTTCGATGTGTCTTTCTCGGGTACTCTAATACACAGAGTGCGTACTACTGCTTACACATCTTGACGGGTCGGATTTATACTTCACGGCATGTACAATTTGATGAGAGCACCTTTCTGTTTGCACTTCCGACATTGACGGAGATCTCTACTTCCGATGATATACCTCCGTCTACAATTGGTGGGCACAGTCCTACAACTCTTCCTAATTCTCCATCTACGCCGCCGGCAAACCCGTGCTCCGACCTTCACGCTGCTCATTCTCCGCCATCATCGTCCGTCGGCACAACCCAGGTATCGCCTCTGAACTCAAACTCTTCTTCTTCTCCGTCTACATCTGAGCGCACTGCTCCCCAAGAAAATGGGCCGCAACCCACGGCCCAACATCCTCATCCTCCTAACACACAAAATTCGCCATCAGCCCACTCTCACTTAAATAACCCAATTTCACCCATGGCCCAAATTGAATCTTCTCAAACCTTTTCGTCATCTCAATCTCAAACTCAATCTGATGCCTCTTCATCGTCTTCTCCGACCATATCACCACCACCAAAATGACCCAAACCCGATAAACCCAGAAAATCCCAACCAAAATAATATTGCCAATCCAAACCAAATTCACCCAGAAAATCAACATTCCATGGCTACTCGTTCTAAAGCGGGAATCATTAAACCCAATCGCCGATATCTTCTTGCAGCAGAAGTGACTTCTTCACCTGAGTTCATACCTCGTACCGCGATTCAAGCACTCAAAGATGAGAAGTGGTGTAAAGCTACTGATGCAGAATACAATGCACAAATCGGCAATCATACGTGAGATCTTGTCCCACCTCCACCACCGTCTGTTACAAGAGTTGGTTGTAAGTGGATTTTTACAAAGAAGTTTCATGCGGATGGGTCTTTCAATCGGAATAAAGCTAGGCTGGTAGCTCAAGGATACAGTCAGAGATATGGTCTTGATTATGCAGAAACGTTTAGCCCTGTTATCAAATCTACTACAATTCGACTTGTGCTTGGCGTTGCTGTTGATAGATCGTGGCCTGTTAAGCAATTGGATGTGAATAATGCGTTTTTGCAGGGTACACTGACTGATGAGGTGTACATGGAACAACCACCAGGCTATATAGATCGAGATCGTCCGGACTATGTTTGTCGACTTCGGAAAGCAATCTAGGGTTTGAAGCAAGCTCCACGCGCTTGGTATATGGAGCTTAAATCGTATCTTCTCTCTGTTGGTTTTCTCAACTCAATTGCAGATACATTCTTATTCATCCTTAGGAGAGGTGCGTCATGTGTTTATATGCTGGTCTATGTGGATGACATCTTGATCACTGGAAATGATAATCGTCTTCTTCAACAAACACTGGATGCTCTAGCTCAGCGGTTCTCAGTGAAAGATCCAGAGAATTTGCACTATTTCTTAGGTATTGAAGCACGGAGAACATCAAAAGGGCTCCATCTCAACCAAAAGAAGTATATACAAGACCTTCTTGCTCGAACAGACATGCTTCATGCGAAGCCCGTTACCACACCAATGGCTGCTTCTCCTAAGCTGTCATTACACACCGGCACTCGCCTCTCAGATCCGACAGAATATCGGACAGTTCTAGGAAGTCTCCAGTATCTTGCCTTCACAAGACCTGATCTTTCTTACGCCGTCAATCGGTTGTCTCAGTACATGCATGCTCCGACGACAGATCATTGGCTCGCGGTGAAACGTCTTCTTCGATATCTTGCCGGTACGTCTACACATGGAATCTTTCTGCAGACAGGGAACTCAGTAACTCTACACGCCTATTCTGACGCGGACTGGGGAGGTGACCGAGACGACTATGTTTCCACCAATGGCTACCTTGTATATTTGGGATCTCATCCGCTCTCGTGGTCTTCAAAGAAACAAAAGGGAGTAGTGAGATCCTCTACTGAAGCAGAATACAGGTCAGTTGCAAATACAGCCTCTGAAGTTCAATGGATTTGTTCTTTGCTTGGTGAATTGGGAATTAAACTCTCTCTGCCACCGGTGATTTATTGTGATAATGTCGGAGCAATTTATCTTTGTGCCAATCTTGTGTTTCACTCACGGATGAAGCACATTGCCTTAGACTATCACTTTATTCGGAATCTAGTCCAATCTGGTGCTCTTCGAGTGGTCCATGTTTCCACACATGATCAATTGGCCGATGTTCTTACGAAGCCACTCTCTCGTGCGGCATTCTACAACTGCTCAAGCAAGATTGGAGTTTCAAGATCACCTTCATCTTGAGGAGGCGTATTAGGATACAGTCAGAGATATGATTGTATTAGTTTAGCCTACAATCATGTATCGAATATCTTCTTCTTAACTCCTTATTAACTCTTCTCTAATACCCTAGTGTCTCACAAGTTGTATATATTGAGGATCTTGAGATTGTAATAAGCCAACACTTCTTCAACTCTCTATATCTATTCCGATTTTTTTTTAAAGAAAATTTAATAAAAACATTTTTTTGAAACTAGTTAAATGGCGACAAAAGGCAAAGCAGATCAAATAGATCCCAGTTGTAAAAAAAGAAGTATCATTAACTTTGGAAACAAATAAAATCAGCTGTTATTTATAGTTATACAATAGTTTCTGTTTACATGTACACACCAAGTTGGCGAGACCAAATAAATATTTTGTTACGACAGCATATAAATCACCATGTGTTCTCTGTTTGTTTGTCGTCTCCCGTTAATGGTAATCTTTTCAGACACGGACGGTAACAAAACAGCACCCAAAACAAAGTACAATTCTGACTTAAATTTCCTGAAAAAAAAATCTTAAAAGGATATTGCCAAAAGATTTTGTAGGACTTTTAAAAATGAGTCTCATTTCGATCAAATAGAATCCAACGACTTTTTTAATCTTTTGGCCAAACTATACTTTTTTGTTTGTGTCCAATTGTTTGACTTTCTTTCACACATACACAGAGACAAACAGACCATTCTTTCTTCGGTCATCCCTCGTGCAGCTCAATAAAACACCAATCCTTTTCTCATTTCTTCATCTTCTTCGCTCTTCCATCTCTGTTCACATCTTTCTCTCTTATCGAGTTTCTCTTTCTCTTTTGGCCTTGTGGCTCGAAATTTTCTATAATTTCTCTTCTTCTTCTTCTTCTCCTCCTTTCAAAACCATATTCAGCTCAAGCAGCTGAAGAAGAAGGATCAAGAATCAAGAATCGAAAATTGAGGAAACGAAACCTGTTCTGTTCTGGACTGATGGGTTCTTGCTTCAGTTCTAGAGTCAAAGCCGACCTTTACCACAATGGTACTAATTTCCCCGGAATTCTTTATTTTTTCTTCCCGGAAAATCTGGGGGTTATCCATGTTTTTCTTTGGAATCACTAAATTACAATCATGATTCGTGTGTTTAACAATTAATAAAATTCAGATTTTGATTTTGCTAAATTTTGAAATTGGTCAACATATGTGTTCTTTGTTCAGGTAAGAGCAGCGATCTGTACGGTCTAAGTATGTCGAGCCGGAAATCTTCGTCGACTGTAGCGGCGGCTCAAAAGACGGAAGGGGAGATTCTCGATTCGACGCCGGTCAAGAGCTTCACCTTCAACGAGCTCAAACTCGCAACACGAAACTTCAGACCGGACAGTGTGATCGGCGAAGGTGGCTTCGGTTGTGTCTTCAAAGGCTGGCTGGATGAAACCAATCTCACTCCGACCAGACCCGGTACCGGTTTAGTCATCGCCGTTAAAAAGCTTAACCAAGAAGGTTTTCAAGGTCACCGTGAATGGCTGGTACAGTTTCCATTTTCTCAAACTTGAGTTATATATATGTGTTTGTCTCTGTTTGTTTGTGTCTGATTTGGTTGTGTTCTGTTGTAAATTCAGACAGAGATTAATTACTTGGGGCAATTAAGTCACCCGAATCTAGTAAAACTGGTCGGTTATTGCTTGGAGGATGAACACCATCTCCTCGTCTACGAGTTTATGCAAAAAGGAAGTCTCGAGAATCATCTATTCAGAAGTAAGTCCCCTGAATCATCATTTTCTTGATTCAAAAATCTTGTTTTAATTTCTATGTTTCTGATGGAAGTGGTTGTTGAAGCAGGAGGTACATATTTTAAGCCACTCCCATGGTTTCTACGGATCAAAGTCTCGCTTGATGCAGCAAAAGGTCTTGCTTTTCTTCACAGCGACCCCGTCAAAGTGATTTACCGAGACATTAAAGCCTCCAACATTTTGCTTGATGCGGTAACGAAATAACATATACCAATAATTAGATGTCTCACACTTGTCTTCATTGACTTCTTACTAATGACTTTGTTTCTATTAATAACAGGACTACAATGGAAAACTTTCCGACTTTGGTCTAGCTAGAGACGGTCCGATGGGCGATCTAAGCTACGTTAGTACAAGGGTCATGGGTACATATGGCTACGCCGCACCCGAGTACATGTCATCAGGTAGAAATATAAATGCTAATTTGGTTGATCAATATTATTTAAGTGCATATGTGCTCATTCTTGTATCTTTTCAGGTCACCTGAATGCAAGAAGCGATGTGTACAGTTTCGGAGTTGTGCTGTTAGAGATTTTAACGGGTAAACAAGCGTTGGACCATAACAGACCGGCCAAAGAAGAAAACCTAGTGGAATGGGCTCGACCGTACCTAACAAGCAAGCGCAAGGTTCTCCAAATCGTGGACGCTCGGCTAGACACGCAGTACCTACCAGAAGAGGCGATAAGACTGGCCAGCATTTCGGTGCAGTGTCTCTCTTATGAACCTAAGGCGCGTCCGACCATGGACCAAGTAGTCCGTGCCTTGCAACAACTTCAGGACAACTTGGGAAAACCGACTCCTCCTGATCCGGTTAAGGATGCCAAGAAATTGGGATTTAAAACCGGAGCTAAGTTACCAGAAAGACGGTTTAAACAAAAACCTTTTGGCAGGCATTGGGAGTAGGAAGCCTTTTTGAGAGATATTGTAAAACAGGTCAAGCTGGTTAATTCGGTGATGGACATTTTTCCGGCTGAGTACTTGTTTGCTGCGAAAATCCGTTTTGGACGGATCGAATACGGTTATGGACAAACCGGGCAGGTCTAGAGTGATGATGGATAAGTTAAAATCTGCCGGTACAAAGTCTCATACCAAACCTTAGAGAACATGTGTTTGGCCTTTAGGCTTCATCTTGTGAAGTATAGGCAATTTGTTTCTTCTTGTGTTTGTATTTTTGTTCATGAAAACATTTGATATAGAGATTTCAGATTTTCCTATACCAGTTTTTGAATCGAATTTTTTCAATGATATAAGTCAAAATACAAATCCAAATTCGATAACATAGGTGTTGGTCTAATTCGATCCAATTTGTCCGATTCCGGTTCAGTGAAAAGTCAAAGAGCAAGACATTTAAATTGAAGAACGCGTGCCGGTTCTTGCTTCTGCATTCGAACTGCGTGACGTTTTTTCAACTTATCCGCTCAGTGAGCAAAACGACGACTCTGCTTCTTGTTGTTGCAGAGAGGTTTTAGCCGCAGAAGAAAAGGGTTTACTTGTTAACTGTCTCTCTTCTTCTTCCGACTTCTGAGTGATCGTCGTCGAGCTATGATGACGACAACGAACACGATGGCTATGCTTCAAAACCTCGTCTTCTCTGTTCCCATCTCGCGTATGGTGGTTCGACGTCACTCCTCCCTCGCCACCGCCGTCGCAGCAATCTCCACCGCCACAACCGCCGTGCCGTCTCCGAAACCGGTCTCCGCCAAACCGGCGCGTACTCCACACGTGAACTCGCAGGTTCTCCTCGGAATGTCGGAACCGGAGCTTCAGCAGCTCGCTATCAAACTCGGTCAAGTAAGGATCTGATTGATTAATTTGCAAAATTTAGGAGTTGAAATGAAGAATTAAGATTGATTTAACTGAGAAAGTTGTGTTTTTTTCCGGTGGAATTTTTGTAGGAAGGATACAGAGGAAAACAGCTCCATCAACTTATCTACAAGAGGAAGGTCAAAGAAGTTGAAGACTTTAGCAATTGTAAGCAATTTCTTAAAGAATATTTCTTCCTTGAGATTTTATTTATGCAAATGATTAAACCAATCTTCAATTCTCATGATTGCTAAAAGTGCCACAAGCGTTTCGAAAAGAGCTTGTGGAAAGTGGATTCAAGGTTGGAAGATCACCCATTTACCAAACTGTCACTGCAACTGATGGTACCATTAAGGTATTTCAACATTTCTTACTGAAAGTTTTTGTTTGGTTAGTGTTTAAGGTTTCCAATGTTTTTGTATTTTGTTGTTTTGATCTTGCAGCTGCTGCTAAAGCTTGAAGATAACCTATTGATAGAAACTGTGGGTATACCGGTCCAGGAGGAAGAGAAGGGTATAACGCGTCTCACTGCTTGTGTCTCTTCCCAGGTGAATGAATCTGACTTTCTTTATTGTTAAAGATTTGTATTTTTGGGTTTGCATGACTGAGTTTCAAACTGATGTCTTGGAGTTTTGCTTTTAGGTTGGTTGTCCACTGCGTTGCTCGTTTTGTGCCACGGGAAAAGGAGGGTTTTCAAGAAATCTTCAGAGACATGAAATTATTGAGCAGGTTTGTTTCTTATACCACCTCTTCTTTTCTGCAGCTTATGCATTATGTAAAGTGAACTATATTCAAAGGAAGATTCTTATGGAGTGTTAAATGAAAAGGATAGCTTGATACAGACAGGCTTATGAATTGGTGTTTGGTTCCCTTATGCATAAAGCAGTATTTTGCAAGGTTGTTTTCTTAAGTGTGATTTTTAAATGTATAGGTGTTGGCTATAGAGGACGTGTTCAAGCACAGAGTGACAAATGTGGTTTTCATGGGAATGGGCGAGCCGATGTTGAACCTGAAATCAGTACTTGATGCTCATCGTTGCCTGAACAAGGTAACATTTGCCATTTCAACATGGTTGTGTGTAGAAAAGAATGAAGTTCTCGCTAAGTATATATGCACTGTGAATCAATTGGCAAGTCAGGACAAATAATTGACCATAAAAATTAGATAATGTTCGGTGGATAAACATGATGTTCAAATAGATGATTACATTCTCTGTAAAACTTGTGTGTATACAACTATTAACATAGCAGTCACTCTTGCTATGTGTTTCCTTTACTCAGGACATTGAAATCGGGCAACGAATGATTACAATATCGACAGTTGGAGTTCCCAACACAATCAAGAAGCTTGCCTCTCATAAGCTTCAGTCGACCTTAGCTGTCAGGTGCGTCCACACTTGCTAGTTTTATTCAAATTTGATCAGTCTTGTCTCTTTGATGGCCATATTTGAAATTATGTTGCTCATTGTTGAATTTTTCTTCTGGCAAATCAGCTTACATGCACCAAACCAGAGTCTCAGGGAGAAAATCGTACCAAGTGCCAAGGCTTATCCGCTGGAAGCAATAATGAAGGATTGTCGTGATTACTTCCAAGAAACAAGTAGACGAGTCTCCTTCGAATATGCACTTCTAGGTAAGTGAGACTTGAGATTAAACAAAGCTTTATGTTATGCCTCCCTCGATCATCATGTCATTTAATTTAACAAAAGGTTGATAAATGATGATCAATGCAGCTGGAGTCAATGATTCAGTAGAGAACGCCGTGGAACTCGCAGAGCTACTACGTGAGTGGGGTAAAACTTACCATGTAAATTTGATACCTTACAACCCCATAGAAGGCTCAGAGTACAAGCGACCTTACAGGAAAGCGGTATGTTAATAACACAAACCATTTACTTTGAACGTTTCACAGATGCTTGCTCTGGCTGCGTTAAGTCTCTAATCTCTTTTGTTGATCAATTGTGCAGGTCCAAGCGTTTGCGGCTGCATTGGAGTCGCGTAAGATAACAGCAAGTGTGAGGCAAACAAGAGGGCTTGATGCGAGTGCGGCTTGTGGTCAGCTGAGGAATAAGTTCCAGAAAAGCCCTCTAGTCGCTGAGACAGATGGTCAAGAGTCTCAGCCAGATGCAGAAGCTGTTCCGTGTTGATGTCCCGGTTTGGAGAAGTCTACAGGTTTTGCCATTAGATGGCTCTGGTTGAAGAGGAGACTTGCTCACTGACGAAAAGTGAAAATCTGCCTCTGGGGTTGATCAGTGCAACTGAGAGGATGAAAGAAGTTACAATGGCTTTATAGGTTTGGCTATGTATGTGATATTGTAATACTTGGATTTATAATATAATGAGGGAGCAAATTTTGAAGTAGTGTTATTCAATGAACGATATAACAGATCAAATCCATAAATTTTCTAAAGGGATTTCAAACGACCTAGATTAATATCATGTTATTTTCTTTAGGATGTTGAATGTTCTGTTTTGATCACTTTGTGTCGATGGTACAGAGAGATAATTATGGAAGTTAGTAGTTGATTGGATTGTTCAGTGTCTTAATCATGTAAATTAGACACTTCTTCAGTTCCTCTATATATCTCTTTCGAACGTTAGAATCTCCACGCAGATTTGAATGGGTAGAGTAAAACTTGCATAGTTGATAGGAAAGTGAAAAACAGAAATAATGTATAACATAAATTGGCTTTAGTTTTTTTAGCTTTCACTTTCCCAAGTGATTATTAGTTTAATAATGTATAACACAAAATTGGCTTTAGTTTTTTTAGCTTTCACTTTCCCAAGTGATTATTAGTTTTATGCTCTTTAAAAAGATGCACCGAAAACTAAGAAATTTCATCTTTAATATATTTGTTTGTATAGTTCATTAGTTTGCCTCTAAACCATTTTATATTATATGCTCTCAATTTTCGATTTTTGTAAGATGAATTTTCTCTGTTTTCAATGTCATTTTTTTAAGTAATACTTATTAATTGCAAATTTTCAAGAACACAAATTGAAATTATTGAATTGAATTGTTGTTGGTTAAAAATAATTGGAAAATTGTAAATCAGAGATGATACACTTATAGTTTATATTTAATATATGTGAAAACTGTTAAAATCAGAGATGATACACTTATAATTTATATTTAATATGTCTTTCAAGTCCGCACAGGACTTGTGCGGTCTTGAAAGACAAATGTAACACTATGGTAAACTCATCTACAAGTGGGACGAAGCAAAGAGGAGTAGTACTCTCTCAAGAACTCTTAGATAGAGTTTTGGCGGTAGAGCTTCTGTGGAAATACCACAGGACCAATGGCGACGTGAAAGACAGATGGGACACCCTGGTTAAGGCAGCTACAGCTGGGACAAAGCAAAGAGGAGAGAAACTCTCTGAAGCATTCTTAGAAAGGGTTTTGCTTGCAAAGACTCTGTGGAAGTCAGGGCAAGAGCAGCAGCAGCAGCAGGAGCAGGAAGAGAACGAAGAGGAGGAAGAGTTGGAGGATTAGGGAGTTGAGTTTCCTATTGATTACACGAAAGATACCTGAGTTGGGGGGGGGGGAGAGAGACATAGAAATCTATTTAATCATAAGAGGAACCCTCTAAAGTTTAGTCGATACTTTGTATGTGAAATGTAATAATCTCTCAGTTTATCGCCTGTACCAATGACGTTTAAAGTTGAAGTACAAATGCAGAATCCCACCATCGAACGTGTGTTTGAAACCGTTCTTACGAGAACGATCCCACTCTTTATTCACAACCCGGAAGGCAATGTCTTCATAAGGCGGACCAGCTTGGAACCGGATGATACATGTTTCCATCGCTTGTCCCATCTTTCTCTATGAAGCAAGTGGAGCCGTAGCCTTGTCTAGCAAATCAAGGGTAGAAGATGTTAAACTTGTACCCTTGAACCACTTTTGGAGGCGGGTTCTCGTGATCATAGTGCGTTTGGTTATACTTATTCCACTCGTAACTCGTGTGAACTCTGTTGACATACTTTGGTTTTCTTGGCCGGTACTTGTCACGCCACTCGGAATCAAGGTTCACTACTTCAGCGTTAGAGCCAAACACAGCATCACCTTCCTCCATTTCTCCCATTGCTTTCATTGCCTTGACCTCCAAGTTATCTTATACTTTAAGCCGCTTCTTCTGTCTCTCCAACACAACCATCCGTTTCGTTTCAAGTAGCTTCTTGTCTTCCTAGGAATCAATTGCTTCTTCACGATCATCATCATCATCACCGTGCATGAGCTCTGGAGAAAACGAACAAGCCGCCTCTTCTGCTTCCATATCATCAGCCTCTTCTTGAGAGAATGATTCTTCTTCAGCATCATCCGAAGAAACATTTTCGAGGCGATGTACATGTCTCCTAAGCGTCGCAGCGTGTATTTCCTTCAAGCAAGCCTTTGCCTTGTATATATCGAGGAGTTTAAGAACAGCTTCCCAATACTCAACTACTTTAGCTACCCCAGAAAATAGCTGTGATTCGATGTGCAGCTGCATTTGTACAAGCTCCGAGTGTGTCTTCCCATCAAGAAGTCTTCTAACATCAGCTTCAACACCAGAATGTAGTCCCTTCTCTTGAGCAAGAATTTAACGAGCTTTGGCAACTCCCAATACTTTACGCGTGTTGACGTTTCACGATCCGAATCAAGATCGATCTTTATTACATGTTTCTAATGATTTAGAAGAGCCAAACAACCAATCAGTGGAGGTGAGATTTTTACAGAGTCTGTTCATTTTCTTATCCTCTCCATTGTTTGCTTATTTCATCACAATCGATCTTTATTACATGTTTCTAATGATTTAGAAGTTCCTGAGAGCTGAGCTGAGAGCAGAGAGTCTAGTGGCGAGTTTGTTAAGAGAGAAACTGTATTCCAAGGAAGAAGAAATCGAGCAGCTACAAGCAAAAGAAGCAGCAGGAGTAAGAGGTAACGAGTTCTACAACGTGAAATCCAAAACGTATTAGACAACCTTTCAGTGAATAACCACCAATTAAAAGACCTGAAGCTGCAGGTATAAATGATGAGATAATTATTGAACATCAGATGGTGAAGAAAGACGAGAACGCGAACCGGCTTGAAAACAATCTCCAAGAAGCAGCTAAAGACTTGGCTAGCATGAAAGTCACATTACCGAAAGTGTTATCGGAAAGAGAAGAGATGTGGAAGGAAGTGAAGGAATGGAGAAAGAGAAACATGGATTTGGAGTCAGAGAAGGAGATGTTGAAGAAGAAGGTAGAGAATTTGGAAGAGGACACACTGATTAAAGAAGGTCAGATCACGATACTCAAAGACACACTTGGAAGCAAGCCTTTCGATCTTCTCTCCAGTCCTGACTTTTCATATAACGATTTCTTAGTCCAGTAGACAACAGCACTAAATAAATATGTATAGGTTCTCTGTTTTCTTTAGGCTCTTTTAGATTGTTTTTTTTTCTCCAAGTTTTTGATTTGCACTTGGAACTTGGAAAAGCTCATAAGATTCACCCTTTGTGAACGAACACGAAGATTTGTCAAGAAATGAAATAATTTTGTTCTAGAATCTGTGTGCCATTGCAATCCATACATATTTGTTAGAATCCACAACAATCTTTGAATATATTTTAAAATCTCTAAGCTTTTGGAAGCCACAAACTTTACACTAGTCAGCCCCACAGGCCATGACTGAGACCATCTCCATGAATGCAACGACTAGAGACCAAACCGATAGTCCTGCTGATACATAAAGCAAGCCAGCGCCTGAAGCTACAAGCCATCCAACATTGCTATCCCGGCTTGCAAGAAGTATGGTTAGTACTGTCATCTGCGTCGCGGTCTTCCACTTGCCCAAGTTATTTACTGCAACAGCCTACACAAGCATCAATCAATGCCATTTCATTGATTCAGTAAGAACAGAAAAACAAAAAAAGAAGAAAGCTTTTACATACTACTACAATATCAGAGATAGATGTTGGTGATTTTCACTTACCTCTAAAAGCTGAAGGATGTTGTTGAAGGATGTTAAGTAATACAATCAAATTTTCCTAGATCTCTTACCTCCCTACCAATGATTGCAATAGAAGGTAGCGTCAATAACCATGGAACTGGTCCTAATGCAGCAACATCAATATGTTTCGTACACAGTAAGATCAACGTAGCTGCGACCACAAGCTGAAATCAGAAATGTGTGTGTGTTTAGTCTACATAGATCTCTTTTCCACTATATAATGACTCATGCAGCTTGGTCTTAGAAACTCAAATAAACAAAATCTGCACACCTTATCTGCAACCGGATCCAAAAATGCACCAAACGCAGAACCTAACCTCATCTGAAATGTAAATGATCTCAACGTTAACACTGCAATGTGAAATGCAGGAAACCATATCGAAGAAGGAAATATACACACAAAATGGTGAAAAAGAATGTACCTTGCGCGCAAGATAGCGTCAAGCCAGTCTGTAATGGCTGCTGCAATGAAAATGCTTGGTGTAGCAGTTGTTCCCCACCAGCCATCGGCGTAAAAGGCTACACGCAAAAACAAAAGCAATGAACAAATTTTACATGAACCACAATCCTAAGACGCTCAAAACTTTCACACAACTCATCAATCGCCATTAACCAAAGAACAATCCAATCTGTGTCTAATGTTGTTTTTAGGCAAAACCATTAAAACTATTTCGATCCGCTGTAATGAGTTATCCCTTTTTTGCAGCAATGCTCACATGTTGATTTTGTTATCAACTTTTGAATTCATTCACCTTTTGATTTTATTTCCTTCCTGTGTTCATCTCTTCTAGTTCTTCAACACAGATTTCAAAATAACAAAACTCGAACAAGTAGTAAGTAAAGCATTTGAGCAACGAAACTTATCTGAATGTAAGTAAATCAAGTCAAGAATAATGAAGGAAAGTGGCTCCTCTTATAAATTAAGTAAACAACAGAAAGGTTGCAACTCTTTAACATTTAAAGGCATCGAAAACAAATATTGCTATCACTCTCATCCATGAACTTAAAGTCAGAAAAGCAGTCTTTGTCAAACCACAATTTTGGTACTCCTTTGATTTGGATCTTTGTCAAATCATTGCTGTGCATATCATAAAACAGAATGTAGAACCGAGAACGCATCATGCACGGTGCCAAGATGACCTTGCCGTCCCGGGTTGTACCTTTTACGACTAGTAAAAAGTCATCGACTAAATGCCTTTGACGAGGCCGCAAAAACAGAGTCTTGTTAGACCATTCCATCTTCCCGGCGTCCTCTAATACCCATATATCCACCGAACCCTTGTCTATAAGGCTATTATCAAAAACAGCTATTTTTCCACAATACTCCACAAGGCCCGCCTTCATCGTAGCTGAAGACCGCTCGGCCTCCTGGGGTTGAGGTACTGGGACAGTAGTCAACACTTCGGACCTTATGTCGAAACTCACAACCGCACAAGTGTGAAAATCAAGCCAAGCCAAATAATGTACTACAGGTCCATTGATAGACCGCCCTATTGTGCCCGGAGCATGATGAAGATCATAAGACTCCACCTTTTTCCACGAACCTCCTGCTCCTAGTAGCAAGACCCAATGCTCCGACTTCATGTTTTCAAGATCTCCCGAGAAAGACGCGATCGTGCAGAGTATTTTGTATTGATCACTAACGGGATCATGTCCGATAAAGTAACGGGTAGTCACCATTTGAGGCATGTTGGAGTTGTTGATGGAGGGTAGTTTCAAGAGTTGTCCAGTGGTGGGGTTATAGACACAAGCCTCTGTGCTAGAGATTGTGAAACAGATCAAGCCGTGAAGACCGTTGAAGAAGTAGAGAGATGGCAACTTTGGGATGGTCAAATCTTGGCTGACCACAAACCAATTCTTGTCTGGAGGAGAGGTTGATGATGACAGCAGTAGATTTTCCACGTCTCTCTCCACTAAACACAAGAAGAGGCGTGGTGCTTGTTGTCCAGTGGCGGTAAGAAAAAGCTTGGTGAAGTATGGACCAGAGATGACTGATGACCACTCCTTTGAGACGCACTTGAACCTCATTAGGGACTTTGCTGGCAATCTCTTCAGAATTTCGAGCACCAGATCGAAAGGCAAAGGAAAAGGAATCTTGCACTTATTTCTTCGTCTTCCACTGCGTCTGCCTCTGTTTCTGCTTCGTCTCTTCCGTTCGCACTTATCTCTGCCTTGCAAGCTCTCGGCTGTCTTCAAAGACACAAAAACAAAAACAGCAATCAACAATCCATCAATCAATCGGAAACTCATATTATATTAGACCTAGCTAAAACTCTTAGCTTATATGTAATGAAGAAGAAGAAACGAAAACGAAAAACCACTCCTTTTTTTGTTTTTGAGAATTATACATACTGTACAATCCAATTGAGAGAAAAATCCGAAAGGAGACGTATTTAAACCTCAATTTGGTTGAAGCCTCGGAGAGAGACGACCTGGGCAATGCTGGCTTGTTTCCGATTCCTCCTTCCCCTCGTCCCCATCTTCTTTTAGGGTTTGGCAATCGAATCACGGCCCCAATTGTGTTCTTCTCCTCTGCTCTCGACAAGACAAAGGGTGGTCGAAATATGGCTTTCAAATTAAGTTCCGAATTAGTGGATGCTGCCAAAGGGAGTGGCGATGCCATACGCAAAAAGGAAGAGACTCATAGAATGGCAGAGGCAAATAGAGCGTTTGCACATTTTCGTTAATCCATGAACAGGATCTATATAGACACATAGATCCATGGATCCATACATCTCGATCCGAAAAGAATCAATAGAAAAAGACAAAATCGGAATTGATCGATCTCTTTCTCGAAACAAACGAAAAGGAAAGAAAAGACGAAACATAAATCATGGATCAACTAAGCCCTCTCGGGGACTTGCTTAAGAATAAGAAAGAGCAATCTCATGTAAATACCATGGAATAAGGTTTTATCCTATTCATGGGGATTCCGTAAATATTCCATTCCAAAAATCAAAAATTGGTTTTTTTTTTTGAGATTGGATGCAGTTACTAATTCATGATCTGGCATGTACAGAATGAAAATTTCATTCTCGATTCTACGAGAATTTTTATGAAAGCCTTTCATTTGCTTCTCTTCGATGGAAGTTTTATTTATAAATTGAGGGTACTATTGTCATTATGTCGGTAATTCGTTTTTTTTTTTTTTAACTAACTACACACACATCTCCACCGTCTCTGCCGATCAACTTCACTTGCATCGGTCACGGTCATCGGTGTCCTTGCAACTTCTTCTCACTTCCCTGTTTCTGGATCCATTGCGTCGAAGCCTCATGCTGCCGAATCTTTCCATGCCAGGTTTATTAAGTTTCTGTTTTCTTAGTCATTGCTTGCTGGCTTGCTGCCATGTTTATTAAGGTTCTGTTTTCTTAGTCATTGCTTGCTTTTTAAACGTCTTTTATAGATGCTGCCTTGTACCAATGCTGCAGGTGTAGGCTCAATTATGGAAAATCGAAGCCATCAATCTCTTTCCATCAAATCAAAGAGTGAAGCCTGCATAAAAAATGCTCTATATCGACGTGTACAAGAAAAATAGTACAAGTTTTGTTCCCAAGTAAAATTTCAACCTCTTTTACAGAACAAGTCAATTTGTTTTGGTCCATATCACCATATGTTGTTGTCATTGACCTAACGTAAGAAGCCTAGTCAAGTATCTCAAATCAAAATAGCCTAGTGAATGTATATTTTACTCCTACAACCCATTGGCTCTCTCATCTCGACAGGTGCCACTCTTATTGACTGCCCAGCTCCTCTTTTTATTGTTTTTGTATCAATGGCAGATCTGAGATTACACAGGTCATCACGTTCTTCTCATTAATCTGAACATACCCATATAACAAAGAGATTTGGCATGAGTGAAATTAGATGATTTCTGGAAACTATTATTGAAGAGATTTGAGTCTTTCGTTGAAGCTAGTAATGTTGTTAGACTCGCACATAGCTGGCTTTTGTTTCCTTCCAAAGTAGGCTGGGAACAAGTAAAACACGCTTGTCTACAAGATAATGCAAGGGAATTAAAAATAAACACCTCGATTAATCATATCTTAAGTGCAAAATTCAGATAAATATCGCACGAAATACTGTTATCAAATGTTCCAAGTGGAAAGAGTAGAGAATTAAGAGAAGAGAGATTTAGATGCGCATCAAAGCAAATCTCAGTCGCTGGCCTCTTTCTCTATACATGCACCTACTTGCTCATATCAAACAGTTCATAATTGCACCAACAATAACGTAATAATTGTAACTTTGTATGTATGGAACGTATTAAATCTCTCTGTAAGGGCATAGACTCAGTTACTACTTAAAGAACTTAGAGTTATATGTTTTCATTAATCTCCTTTTTCTTTTTCTTTGGTGAAACGTTGTTTTGTCTCTATCCTTTTACTGCCTTGGTTTTTTTGACATCAAAAGAAAGGGATAAGAGGAAGATGAAAGAAAGAATGTGAAATCACATGGAGAGACATCAGTAATCTGGTTTCGCTATTTTTAACTGTGAAGGATAAATAGTGAGAGGGCATCGTGAATACATGAAAGTTCATAGAAGAAGAATACAATGAAGCCGGAAAGAAACAAAGCAAAGGATCAAAGAGATGAATCTTAACCAAAAAGCAGTGTGGTTTTTCTTGCGTCGACGTTAAGGCACGTACCTAGTTCGATATCCTGTTATTGTCTCTAGGGTGTTGCCTGTTCTGTTTTGATCACTTTGTGTCGATGGTCGATACAATTATTTTGGACTTTTGGTGTATACAGAGAGATCATTAAGGAAGTTAGTAGTTGATTGTTCAGTGTCTTAATCATGTAAATTAGACATTTCCTCTATATCTCTTTCGAGCGTTGGACTCCCCACGCATACTTGAATGGGTAGAGGAAATTTTGAATAGTTGATAGGAAAGTGAAAAACAGTAATACATAATATAAAACATAATTTGGCTTTAAAGATGAGATTATTAAGCAAGCCACGGTATACAATCATAAAGAAAATTACAAAGTGAATGAAAGGCCATGGTACCAAAAAATATAAAGAAAATTACATATCACACATAAGTACTCTATTTGGCATTGCTAACTTGTTTTGCGCAGTCTTCACTCTTCACACTTTACCAAGCCTTGCAAAATACCAATACCAACCCCTATCTTTTTGCATATCCTCGAACATGTTTTCAATATATGTTAAACACATATTATTATACGAAACCTGAATTACTGATATCCTATACTTGACAAAACTCATGAATAAGAAGAGTAAAGCAAGTAATGTATTAGCAACTAGTCTTCTAGGGCTCTGAAAAAGGCATACAAATGCAAATGAATTATGTTTTGCATATCCTTGAATATTTCCAACGCCTTTTCCAGTTTAGCCACCAAAGTAAACACCATACACCACTGCTATCTCTAATTTGGTAATATGTGGAATGCTAGTGTATGGACCATTCGCCTGTAAAGAAAAATAAAAAAAAGGTGTTGTTTCTTCTTGAACACAGAGGATTGGACGAAATAAACACATGACGATATTGACAAATGGATCGCATCATCGAACATAAGACCATGAACCCAACTTCTCCCAATCTCAATCTACCGCTAGACAATGCTCTGCTGGCTACTCAAAGAAATAAATGTAAATACCTTCTTCTATGAGACAAGACGATGGCTCACTCTCGACGGCGGAATCTGATCTTCAAAGATGACTCAACTTTTGTGTTTAGATGGAGCTACATATCGTACTTGAAGAGCTTATCATTAGTTTTTCTTTTGTTCGTTAGTCTTAGCTGCTTATTTTTTAGGTTTATGAGGTCGAGAATGCGCAAGTTGTATTTTTTGGGTTGTAATGTAAACGGTACTATACAAGCCTTGTTTAATTCATTAATTTGTTATACAACGTGCTTTCATAACGATTTTTTTGGTGAAAATGTGTTTTAATTATTCTCATCAGTCTAATAAAATTTTTGGTTTTCTTTTGTCAAACCAAGGGGAAACAAGGTAAAGATCTTTTTCCAATAACTCTTTCCGATTCTCTTTTTTTTAGTATTTCTCTCATATGATTTCTAATGGAACACACTGCAAAAATATCCGATTAGAAAGACACGAAACTGATTTGTTTGATTAAAGAGTGAAAGATATAAAGGAAAACTGCTATAAAAATTTCACTATAAACAACATTATATTGTTGACAAAAGAAGAAAACAACATCAGATTTGGACGAGGATGAAGAATTATTATACATGTATGCATATATTATTAATAACATGTATCTCTAATATCCATCTTCACTTCCATTTTTCTTCATGCCTTGCAAAATCACAATCTATCCTTAGAAAATCACCATTTTCCATCTTTATTATTGTGCACATCATCAAATCTTTTGTAGTAAATCTTTTGTAGTATTCTTGTTAACAATCACCATTTTCCATTTTTATCATTGTGCACATCATCAAATCTTTTGTAGTATTCTTGTTAACAACAAATGTATCACTCTTCTGCCTATCTTATTTTTTTTGTAGAGCTAGGGTGGATTGATGATCTTATTTTCTACCATTCGATCAACTAAAAAACCACAACCTTTGCAATGTAATGGAGATTGGGATAAATACGTATATCCCATTTCTACCATTTGGCCAACTCAAAATTACCTCTTCATATCTTAGAGATAATTTAAGTAGTACCATTCGCTTGTAGAGAAAAATCACAAAACCATGTTGTTTCAACTTGAAATCATTTGTCGGTGTTCCAGTGAAACCAAAAACAGAGAGGAGGAGACAAGACAGACACATGCTTGGTGACAAATCCATTGCATCATCTAAGAAAATATTCATGGAACCAACTTGTCAATCCCAGTCAAGCTCTAGAAAGATGCTATATGATGGCTACTCAAAGGAAGGATTGGCTATAAAAGTACCTTTCAGTGGGACAAGATGGTGAATCAATCTGATCCTCGAAACCCCATCAATGAAACAGCAGCAGATTCAGACCTCTCAACCCAACACAGCTTTTGTGTTTCACCAAAGTGGCTCACTTCTCGATCTCTTTGTAAGGAATGAGTTACAGATCGTACTGCGGAGCTTGGCGGCTGTTAGCTTTAGTATTTTTTTTCTTTTTGATGTCAGACCTAGGATTAGGTTTATGAGGTCGACAATGAGTGAGTTGGGGGTTTATATATCAAAACGTTTCCGCATTATATTTTCTTCTTAATCCTTAATCTTTTTTCATTTTTGTTTTTGGGCCCAAAACTATGTTGATATAGCTAAACATGGATATGATTAGTGTTAATTAGGAAGATGACCAAAATTTAGGTGTGAAGAGAAATTAATCTTGGCCCATCTTTCTTTAGTAAACAATTCAAACTGGTTAAATTAGAAGAGTAAATAGATGTCATCGGATGCCTGACACGAGCAAAGAAAGAGGCACGTTGTGGACCATTTTTGTACACCTCGATGTAAAACAAAACAACCAAGTGTAGTGTATTTCTAATTTCACCGTTATTTTATAGGGAACATAGTGAAATATGTGAATTTCGCTCTATTTTTATTTTAGCCATTACTCAATGAGTCATGTTATCTGTATTTACCGAAAAACTAACGAAACTTCGGATTCGTTTATATACTTATATGGTGAAAGAAATGATCGATCAGTCAATACCTGAAAGTAGTCTCTACGGGTGATGGAGTTCACGTCATGCTCACTCTAAAAACTGTGTTTGTAATTACAATAAAAGTATTTAAAGAGTTTCTTTGTCTGAATCTGATCCGCCGTTTTCCGGCAAGTCTCATGTGACTTACATTATCCCTTAACAACCTCAAGTGACCAAAACAAAAAGTCAATAACTATTCTTTAAGAGTTGTAACAACCACTCTCAGTCCAATTCTCCGACCGACCCTTTTAATGGCTCCCACGTTTCAGTCTAATCATATATACTTCTCTCTCTCTCTTTCTCTACTTAGACCCGTTTTGTCCTTCTTCTGGGTCTCCAAAACTCAAAGAAACGCATGAAATTTGAGGAACTCCTTATGGAAGCTCCACAACAACACAGTAACAAGAGACATGACTTAGAGGAAGGAGTAAGCACCTCTAAACCATGACTCAAAATCTTTATCAAGAACTATTTAATGACTGGTTTTGAGTGTTTTGGGTTTATGTAGGTAATGCATCTTAAAGAGAAACTAGAGGAAGAAGAAGCACTGAGTAGAAGTTTACGGTCTGCTTGTGATGGCTCTATTGTTTCGCTCCCAAGTCTCTCCTCGTTGTTTCTTCCACCACAGGCAATATTTGCAACTATATCTCACGTAACGTTTTAATGTCTTAATGACCAAAACAATTATGAAAGTTGATTAATGTCTAGCAGTTTTCGGAGCTTATACAAGAATTAGCCGTCGTGGAGGCAGAGATTCTCTGTCTAGACCGGAAAATCGAGGAGCTGAAGCTTAAACTGTACTACGAACAGAGACAAACGCAAGAGATGGCCGAGCAGAAGAGGACATTACTTAGACAGAACCATGTGAGACACAATAGTTTGCCACTTAGACATGATCTCCACCAACGATCTTTGTCTCATCATTACCAACGTTCTACTCTAGACACTACCTCAAGTTCTCACTCTAGGCTTTCGTTCTCTTACGCTCCCGAATTCTTAGATGCTACTTCTTCTGGTGGCTTCGCAGGTAATTTGTAGTTGCTTGTTCCTTACGTTTACTGCACAGTACTAGAGTAAAACAGAATTTTAAAACCAAACCTAACTAAACAACCGTAACAATATTTGTTCTGAAAAAGCAGATCAATATCCAAACTTATTGTAACCGAACCAAACCGAATGCTCACATTGAACTTAAGTTCATGGTATTTACTGGGCAGATGAGTTTGATGGATCATCGAGAAGGCATATGGGTAGAGTGAGGAAGGGGCTTCGACTTGTGGAAGAAAAGGTCAAAGAAGACCCAAACGAAGTATCTGAACAGCTCATAAACTGCCTCATAGGCATTTACTTAGAACTCAATCAGGTTTCATCAAAGACCAAAGGGGATATTGGGGAGTTAATGTCGAGAAGGCCCTCTTCTTGCAGCCGGAAATCAAACACATATAGTTATTATCAGAATGAAATGAATCTTGATCCTTATCACGTATTACCAGAATCGAGCAGTGGAGTCACTAGAGACATTGGCCCTTACAAGAACTTCATTCACATTTCGAGAAGTTCCATTGATGTGACCCGTTTTACCCATTATTGTTCACCGGCTGTTCCACGCTTGAGGTATTACAAAATGATCTAAAACATTAGTAGGATTCTTGAAGAAAATTTTCTACTGACGATCTATATGTGTTGGCAGTGTTTTGATGCAGAAACTTTCAGAGGTGGATTTGAGTTTCTTGACCTACAAGCAAAAACTCGCTTTCTGGATCAATATCTACAACGCCTGTATCATGCATGTAAGGAAACATTTCATAACACAGATTTTACATCACAAACAAACCGAACTCAAAAATCAAAATCTCCATTTTAAATACAGGCATTTCTTGAGTATGGGCTACCTTCGTCGCACAATAGACTACTTACCTTGATGAACAAGGTACCTTTTTGGATCAAAGTTCTGAGCAAACAACTCTACTGGCATCTTTCATTGTAGAAACTTACTAAACCTTTGTGATGATATTTTTTGGCAGGCGTCACTCAATGTCGGTGGCATAGTCCTTAACGCTTTGGCGATTGAACATTTTGTCTTGAGACATCCTTGTGAACCAGAACACGTAAGTTCATTCCATATTAATTCATAGTGCATACCTATAAGTATAATTAATTACCACAAGAAGCTAATCAATATCTTCATGAAAGAAGGGCTTACTTGATGAGAAAGAAACTCTCTTGCGGCACACTTATGGTTTAGGATATTCAGAGCCCAACGTGACATTTGCGCTTTGTCGTGGAAGTTGGTCTTCTCCAGCAGTAAGTGTACAAAACATAGTTTATATTGACGTTCATATATCACTCGAGTATATATATATGGATGATGAGATTGATATTCATGTGCAGCTTAGAGTCTACACAGCAGATGAGGTGGTGAATGATTTAGGAAGAGCAAGAGTGGAGTATCTAGAAGCTTCTGTGGGTGTTTCGAGCAAGAAAAGGATAGTTGTTCCACAGCTTCTACAATGGCACATGAAAGATTTTGCCGATGATATTGAATCTCTTTTAGAATGGATCTACAGCCAGTTGCCTCGATCAGGGAACCTAAAGGGCATGATTATGGAATGTTTAAAGAGAAAGTCAAAAGTTCCTTTATCCAAATTGGTAGAGATTCAAACATATGGACACGAGTTTCGCTATCTATTGTCATTGTAAATATAGGAGATCCTTATGATTTATGTGGAATATAATAACAATGTTTGGTTAGCTTTTTAAAAAATGTTTGGCTAACTTCTCTCTCGGATGTACAGTTGTACACATTCTCATTTGTGTACAACTTAGAACAAATAAATAAAGCTTCACATGGTTACTTTGACAAAAGATCGAGACAAAGTTCAAACTCGACAATTCAAAATATTTGAATATGAGCGGGGAAAAAATCATTTTCACAGTTGGTTGACCAACAATTTACAGGATTATAGCATGACGACATCATATTTCCAAAGTTCAAGCTGTTTACTCCGATGCTTTCATCAATTAAATCAAACCCTTTTAAAGTGGAGTAATATAAAATAACTAAAAAACAGAATTAAAAAACTTTAGCTAAATTTGTTAGTGGAGAAAACATGTTCCGTTCATATCACCAAAAAGGAAAAATGAATAACAAGTAAAGGGACTTGACCTTGTGGTTACGTTTGCATCAAATGCTTGTCGGAAATACTTTTATTTTATATTTTCAATTCATCGGTCAAAAACCAATTCCCACTTATTAAAGGCTTCTTAGACCAATAGCCATTGAATTATTCTTGTTTCTCGTTACCAAATCCAAGTGGGATCCCCGTGGATCTATCACTAACGTGCATTAACTTCACTCTTAAGAGAAACTCTTGTAAATGGCTAGTGAGAAAATAAAAGAATCCAAGAGATTAGTGTATAGTAACATCATAATATAACCATGTTTTAGATTACAGTACACGAAACTAAACGTTACAAGTTGTAACTTACAACCCAACCATGTAATACTTTAGTAGTTGCGGGCTGTTACAAAATTTTCTCACAGCCACTTCAACCACTCTTCTTTTTCTCTCCCCTATTCTCTCCCCTATTCTCTCCTTTATCACTCACAATTAAACACACCAAAACCCAAAAAAGAAAATACAAAAAACAATTAAAAAGAAAACACACACAAAAGTCAAAGATACTATTCTCACCTCATTTTCTCTCCTTCCCACATATAAAATTTTGAAAAAAAAAGGGAGGAGCGAAATTAGCGGAGAGTTTTCTTTTGTCTCGACCACTTTAAATATTTCGAATCTCCCCCAAATTTAGTTTCTCGAAACCCTCGTCTACACCCTGAAATTCTTCCCGACAAAGGTTTGACCAAACTGCCAGTTAGAAGGAACTATGTTCCACGATGTAGAGGTTCTACGGTCACTGCCTGTGACACGGAAAGAAAGTGACTGACCAACCAAAACTGCATTAGATTGCCAGTTCTGACCCCAGTTTCTGCTCAGGCTCATCCAGCCAGTCCGTGATCCTTTCACGCTCGTCCTCACGATGTCTCCTGCTCCCGCCACGTTAGTGATCAGAATCAAGTTGAAGTAACGGTGACCATTGATGGTGAACCTTATCCCTCCTCTCTTTCTACATGGCACCCTACAAAATAATCCAACATTTCACACTCGTTTAATCACTCCGTTCAACATTTCACACTCATGTAAAAAAAACATTGGACAATTTACTGATTAATATGTGCAATAGAGAAACCAGATAAAAGCTGTTCAAAAAAAAAAAAAAAAAAAAGAGAAACCAGATAAACTAAAACCAAAGTTGCTTTTGATTAGTAAAACATTATTAAAAGAATACTAATAATATAAAAAAAAAAAGTATTGTCTCCAACGAAAACAGCATTCTAGAGACTACAGAACTGAATTTTGATATTTTAGTAAAGTCAAAAGGTGAAAAATGTTAAAAATGGCCTGCACTATATTTTTTAGTGGTTTTATCTAAAAGAATTACGAAAACTATAGTCTAATTTTCTTTGTGAAGTCCCAAATATGAATACAAAATGTTACCTGCGGTATGAGACGGGGACAATGCCGGCGCGGTATTGAGCGATCTTGAGGAAGACAGGCATGGCTAGGTCGAAGTGGGCTCGTGGCGGGTTGCACCATCCTCCGTTGTCACTAGGCTGAGCCAAGTTTGGTGGACAGAAATTTGTTGCGGTGATGAGGATCGATGGACTACCTGAGTGGCACCATTGAGGGTCGTTGGCGCATTTTAGCTCAAAGCAGGATCCACAACTCATACCGTTGTTAAACAGCGCCGTGCTCAAAGCAGCCGTGTTGGTTCCATAGCCTTGACTGTAAAGATTCCCGTAACCGCAAGCTCCTCCTGTTATTAAATCAAAATAAAATATTAAAAAACCTATTTTGTTAAAAAAATATCATTTTTGTGTATTTACTCTGTTCTATGCTCTCTTTTTTTTTGGTGGACTTACCCATGGTTCCGGAGGCGTCACTACCACCGTAGAAGGTGGCGTGTGCGGTTTGCCATGCACCGCCGGAGTAAACGCCAGGGATTTTGGCATCGGCGAGGCTAAATAGGAAAAATGTGGTGAAGAGAATTGCTAGTTTAACAGCCATTTCTAGATTACTATGAGGGTAAAGGAGGAGATGAAGAAAGAAAGAACAAGAGCGCTTTCGAAGCTCTTGTAAAAGAAGAGTTAGGTTTTTGTTAATTGAAGAGAAGATAGTGATGAGGAAGATGGGAGTGAGGTTCGGTATTTATGGAGGGAGGGAAAACTCCAAAGTTAGAGTTAGAGAGAGATTGAGAGATGTTATTGGCTAAGTTTTAATTATCTTTTGTCAAAATTATTTAATAAATAGATTACTTACTATTTCTACGTCAGGTAGAGGTAGGTTTGTAACCGTTTTGTCAAATTTATATCAAAATCTATCTCTTTTTATATATAGATGTATTTTATCTTATTGATTCCTCGATCTAAAAATATACATATGTGACCTGGATGCTAAAACAAGTTCGACACAAAAGAATATGGAGTTGACTTATGTGAGGGGGTTTCATACTTATGAATTATGTTGATCGTTTTAATATTTTATGCAAATGTATATTCTGTTTATTTTGCTGACAAATTGCAAACATAATCCTGTCTTTTTGACTCTGCTCGTTATATCATTTTCTTACATAAAAAGGGAGGATAATTTCGTTTGCTTAAAAAACAAGTTGGAGCATCAATCACGAACGGATTTTGGTACGATCACAACGGTAACACCATCATTACTTCTTTACCCTTTTTTAGTCCTAAAACCTTTTTCTATTTCCATGCATGCCATGCCATTACTTTTACATCTTTAATTTTACCAATACTAACCTCATTTACTAATCATTCGTATTCAGTGTATATGATCAGTAGTTGCATTTTATCGATTTATGTTTTGAAACGTGTATGTGATCAGTTGTTGCATTTTATCGATTTATGTTTTGTTTTGTTTCAAAACTTTATGTCTCTTTACAGATTCACCGCCAGTTATTTACAAATTCAAGAGATTTCACTTTAGGAAGACTCCCACTTACATAGAGGAAAATGAATTGTTTTTTCATTTTATTAAAACAAAGTTTTCCACACAAAAAAAAAGCATAGCAAAAATGAAAGGGGCTCCGCAATGCCCGCATTCATCGGACCACGTATTGCGCCGTGCATTAGCCATACGTAAAGTGATACGCCTGACCCGACCCGAGCTCTCTCGGACCTATCCGGTCAATGTTTTTGTCATAGAAGTCAACGATTTACATCTGAGACCAAAGCTTTCCACTTCTTAGTTCTCACGTGAGAAAAGTCAAAGCTTCATATCTCCCTCCACTCTACATTTCAATATTTTCTTTACCCTATACAGATATTAAAAATACTTTTTTAAAAAAGTCTTATGAAGATCATTTAAGAATTACATCAAAAACTTGAAAGAAAATTTGGACAGACATAAAATTATAATTTATTACTATAAATATACCTTGTTAGTTTGAAAAGTTAAAAAGTAATGGACGACTTTTCTTTTAGAAGAAGTTTATTATTATTAATAAATTCTAGCTGAATTCATACATATATGTCACAGCACTAAACTTCTAGAGGTTAGCTTCGATGAACTTTTTTTACTTTGTTAAATTCTTGTTCAATAAAGAACATGCACACTAGTGCACTTTAATCTTTATGCATCGGCGCGCCACCTTCATCAAAAACAACAACCTAATAGTAACATAAAATCAGAATATTGTGAGTGTCAATTTCAAGTTAATATGGTTAGGTTTCCCTAATTATTTTAATCAGATTACTATTAAATAGTTTTTATTTACAAAATAAATAAAAAGTAAGAGATTTACAATTATTTTGTAGTATCAGTGATAATTGGAAAAAGAGGAAAACAGTTAGGGGAGGAGGTGACATGTTGTCCAGGACTGTAATAGATTGCGATGACAAGGCATATTTATGCACCAACCAGATCTTCTTGTATCTGCCACATCACTCCAAATCTTCTTCAATATGCCACGTCAGCCTGAAACTGTAGATGGATGATTTGTTTGGTTACCGACGATTTAATTATTCTCTTCCACGAGACGATACGTGGACAAGTGGTTACAAACTGAGAAAATGTGAATTGCACAAAGGTTACATGTGTATGTACGTGTATATACATGTGTTATGTAGTATCAACTCAATTTATTGCGAATCTAAATGTCGTATCAGCAAAGTTGTTTACGAGGATAGATTTTAATGCAAAATGTGGTAACCCCTAATTTATTAGAGGCTTAGAGCTACAAACATTTGGTAATCACCTCAAAATTTTCACAAATTAATGTTTTAAAAGTAAACTTCTTGCTCCATATAGTATTTTATACTACTCTCTACCAAATCGTACAATCATACTTGATATTTGTCAAATCCTGGCGACGTGTTGGTGAAACATCTATTTTCAGAATTAATGTATACGTGTATTATTTATACATACATCCGAAATACACATTCACACGCATATAAGCTTAAGAATCCTTTATCTTGAGAATACAAATGCCCTTGCATGTGAATTAAGTATCTACCACTCTTCTCCCAACGAATTCACGTCTTTGCATTTATTCCGTTTGAGCATTTTTAAAAGAAAAACGCTTGTTTAGGAACTTTGTCCAAGTGATCTTGGATCTAAAATATTGGTCTAGCAAAATCAAATTAATCTATCAAAATGTCAAATTTAGACTTTATTACAGTTTAGCAAAATCAAATTAAACCATAAAATAAGTATATCCTTTCTCCATTTGTATTATACTCTCATTAAATAAAAACAAATAAATTATATCCTTCTTATTTTGATTCTTTACATATTTTTAAAAACAAAAATAGAAAGTCAAAAATTGTGATATACATACGTGTGAGGCTTTTGACTTAGTCGGTTTTGTATTTATATTTGGTAAGTCGGGACGCGTTAAGAACATTTTTGTGCCTACACGGCCGTGTGTCTATGTGCTGCTCAGTTCTCAGTGCTCATAACTCTTAACACTCCATGCTGTATTGACTGCGTGTTATCACCGTTGGTTTAAAATGTAATTTAGACTATAAAAAAAAATTGTTTATAACTTTCAAGAGAATTCAACTGGCGACATTAAACCAACACTGGTTTTTATTTTTATGTGGTCTATTGTTTTTTCCAAAATAGCCTTAAAACAAGAATCAACTATATGTTTATTTGTAATGAATGAAATAATGCGTAGTTACTTTCGAATGACACTTCAAAAACAAAAATGATGGTCTTGCGTAACAATGGGCTATTATTTTACCAAATAGTATGAGCAATGTGAATGTTCATTAACAAGCTCATTAAATAATTTGGCGTAAAACACAAGTACGTGTAGATTGCTAATTGAGCTACATTCAAGCAACACAAAAAAATCATTACCAAATTCTTTAATTAGTGAGAGTATATTTAAATCGTGCATTCTATACGGCCATACAGATAAAGTTATATAATTACATAATGATTTTGTCTACGATACGTACAACATACCATTTTAAAAACCAAATTTTAAAATGCCCCGCCAACTATTTGGGTGAGCAAACAACTCTTAAATTAGTGCAATATATTCCACATTGTTGGTTACATATAATTTTATTTACACTCTCTTTGAATATACAGTCAATAGTATGTAAGGCTAGCTGAAGAGTGAAACCTACTCAAATTTAGAAATTGAGAGCAGTTGGAACATCATTTTATACAAGAGGTGGGGTCATGAATCATGAGTTGATATAAGTGGGAGAAGGAGAAATTGTAATTGCCAAAAAGGTAACTGAGACCACACATGCTTTGTCCACAACCACATTGTAAGAAAGATTCCCTTCCAAACTTAGCAATGAGCAAGGAGATCTACAGTTTTATGTTCTTTTAAAAAAATGCAGTTTACGAATAAATAAGTTAAATTTGTTTGTTTATCATTTAAATTTAATAGTTTATAATTTTAGGTTGTGTATGTCATGTTACCAGAGCCTTAGTAGTTTCATCACAGATAGCAGCTTCAGCTTGTATTATACGAATTACAAAAAAGTTACAATCTATGCTCATCCGATGTGATATATACAAGCAAAATGCATAACGGTGGTTTGCAGCGACTATTTTCTAATGGAATTTTTGGGGCAAGCTATGGGGACATATTGGTCTATAAAAAATAAGTGGATTCGTTTGAAACCACCACGTGAGGTCATTAGAGACAAAAGGGAAACACGTCATGTAGAGAATGGTGGTATCTACAGAAGAAGATCCCGTGGCTATATATGTTTAAAAGTGTTTTGAGATTTTATAACTTTACGTTCGAACAGGATATGATGATGGTATCCAAACGCGTGGAGTTTTGTCGCTTCATGGTTGCTCTAGGGAAAAAAAAATTGTGACAATTCTGTCATATATTTTGAGAAATCTCTAACATGCTAATTAGAGTGAGTTCTACACACCGACAATCTACGGACATGGTGGAGAATAATGATTTAACAATGAATTGGAAATAATCGGAGGTTTGATTAATGGTTCGTTGATTTTAAGATGACGAGTGATTGAAGAAACTTGTTATGATTTTTTCTATTCAGGTAAAAACCATAAAATTTTGATTTTAGGAAAAATCTCCCATTAGAATTTTATGGCTTTCATTCTTTCACTACTGTTATTATATAACCCTATAATTATGCGAAACTCGAATTATTAGTAGAATAATTATATGAAATTTGAATAAGATCATCCCACTTATCTAGTTTCCCTCGCGCATGCTAGCTAAGTAGCTAACTGGAAGCTTTAGTAAGAATGAAGAAGAAGAAAACGGTGGATATCGTAATCAAATCATTTTTTCTTAAACCCTTAATTTAAGGTTAACGGATTGGATTAGAATTAAAACAAAAAAAAAAGGTTAAGGGATTGGACCAAAAAGGACCCCTTGTTAAATTTATGTCTCCCCTTTACATGCATCGATGTCTCGCACTCATACTAATTAGGCTTTACGCAACACTCTCTTTTTGTCTAAGATTAGATCCCAAATTTTGTCCCGCAAAGCAGAATTCGGAATCCTATATCTAAGTTCTTTTTTTTTTTTTTTTACGAAAAAAATCCTACATATATGTGTGTTTCATCTTCCTTTTATGTTCTTCATTAGATTCTGGTATCTATATACAGTAGAACCTCGATAAAGTAATATTCGATAAAGTAATACCTCGATAAATGAATAATTTTCAAGTCATGAATTCAGTTTTTGGTCTAATTATCTCTCGATAAAATAATAATCTCGCTAAAGTAATAAAATATTGTAGTCCCAACGTTATTACTTTATAGAGGTTTTACTGTATATAACATTTCATTTTACATATATGCTGGTTTTATTTTAAAATTCTTGAAACAAATCATGAGAAATTCTTGAAACAAAAATATGATCACTCTTAATAGTGAACAATAATATTAAAAATCCAATAAGAAATCTCTAATATGGAGCTGTTTACATGCATCCATGTCTCACACTCATACTAATTAGGATTTACGCAACACTCTCTTTTTGTCTAAGATTATATCACAAATATCTAAAATATATATTCCAATTCATGTGGTAAGCTAGACGTGGTGATCAAGTTTCAGCAGTACTGATCAAAATAATACAATTTGGTATTACTTGATAATATTCTCGTAACTTAAGTAACTGGTCTTATCCCATGTAGCAAAAGTCAACTCCTATCTCTTTTGGTTAGAAAACTCACATTTCATGTCTTGTTTTCGAATATCTCAGGCTTTGATCTTCTTGTACTCTTTGATTACCCGTTTTCACAAGATCACTATATATACCCTTATATCAATAATTGACTACTTGTATGGCACCACCACCTCCGTCACCCCACCGGTTTTATTGAAGGTAGTGCTCCTTTTACTTAGGGTTTTAACGGGCGCATTCCTTGTTGTAACAGTCATCATCCTCAGCACCAACAGCGTCACCACTGAATCAGATGGAAACGCATTGAAAGTTCATTTCAAAGATGAAACACAGAGAATTAGAGAGAAGAAAGGGATTTCTTATCTAAAAGGATAACGCTCACTTCAAACTAGAAAACTAGTCATAACCAAACCCAGAACTAAAGACAAGCCATAACTTTGATTGCGGTGACGATGACAGCTCCGTTAGGGATTTCGAGAAAAGGGAGAAAAGGGTTACAACTTACAACTAATCACGGAGTCGGATAAACCGGTTAACATTTTCAACACAAGAAACCGATTAATTTACCTTTGGAGTAGAGTCATTGATATCTCGAGAAGGTGTTTTATAGCCCAATGCCTTCTCTAAAGAGCCACGAACATCAAACTGGTTTTGTAATCTTTTCTCAAGCTCTTGAATCTACAATGTAACCAAAGATAATGAAGAAACTAATCTACAATGTAAACTACAAGCTCTTGAATCTACAATCTACAATCTACAAGCTCTTTGGATGAAAAAATGTGTGCTCTACACGTGGCAGGTTATAAATCATGTTTCGAAAGGTTTCACGTAAGAGTTGGTTTTAAGTAATTCTTTACAATTTGCCAAAAATGCTTTAAACCCCACCTAAGAACGAGGGATGGAGATGCCTAAGCTCATGAGAGATACGCTTTGGAATCACAAGCTCATGCACATTCACTCTGGTTTTGCAATATTATGCTTTATGTAGCAATTCATTTTAAGATATGTGACGGATAGATTTCTCTGAATGAATTGATTTTCATATATGGTTGTCGATCCTGCTTACTCCAAAGAAGAACCAAATCAACTACATTCGGGTTTTAAGATCTGTGACAATAGATTTTGTGTTTTTCTTTTGTGTGTGTGTTTATAAGACAATGCATTCAAAAAGAGACAGCTCATCACTCATCAACATTGTTCAAACGGACCAAGGAAAAAGATCAAATGGCTCTTGTAACTTGCTGATTATGGGTTTTTAATTTTGTGGTCTGAGAGAGGAAAAAAAAAAGAAGTATAAAGAAAACAAAGAGATGTATGTCCGAGTTTCCTCGACCGAAATTATTGTAAGGTTTTGCCAAAAAAAATTTTGATGAAAGAAAAAAAAAAGGAATCATAACAGAATCAATTACAGCCAAATGAATAAACCAGCTTAACCATAAATACAGAAGAAGAGAGAGAAGACATTTGATGCTCAAAACGATTACACGCTAAAGAACTTGCAATCAGTCGTAAGTCGTAACCTTTTAATTTCGTGAAGTGCATCACCATGTTTGGCACCCGTATTCTTCTTGTTGTGGGGCTTTGTTTTCTAGCACCTTGAAGCAGAGCTAGAGATAGGTCCGTATAAGAAGACGCATGAAGAAAGAACACTCAAAATATAGATAATTTCGAGATTCATCACCTTGGCCACAAAGAAGGCAAATGCTTTCAAGATCTAAACCCCAAAAAGCAATATGAGATATAATGTGAGATTTATGTCAAGTTGTAAGAAGCTTGGGGGTCTTGTGCCAAATAAGAGAATTCCAAGAAACTTGCGGTTTCAAATTTCGAACATTAGTCCAAATGTGTCTTTTGAAGAGAAACCCCTACAACTTCGATCGCCAACAGGCCAAATGGATGGGAGAGGCAATGACTTGTAGGAGGAAAATATATACATTCACTAGGCTATTTTGATCTGAGATAATTGACTAGGCTTCTTACGTTAGGTCAATAACAACAACATATGGACCAAAGCAAATTGACATATTCTGTAAAAGAGGTTGAAATTTACTTGGTAACAACACTCGTGCTATTTTTTCTTGTACACGTTGATACAGAGCATTTTTGAGGCAGAGTCATAAGAGGCAAACTATTTTGGTTTTTTTTCTTTGTCTCCCAGTTTATTGGATCTCTCTATGTCTCTCTCACCCTAAATTTTCAAAAACCCCAGATCATGATCAATCTACTATTTGCATACAAATTCGTTGAGTGATGTGAATTGTTATACTTGCTACAAAAGTCAAAATATTGAAATTTGACCAGTTGATCAACATTTTCTGTATCGCTTTCAATCGGATTCTGAGAAACTATGCTACAGATCCTCGAACAAGGTACAAAACCCCAGACGAATGGAAACTTGTTAAACCTTATTTACTTATATGCAAGTGAAGTTGATCGGCAGAGACGGTGGAGATGTGTGTGTAGTTAACCGACATTCACTTGAATAAAGCTGGCATTGAAGGATTCGGCAGCATGAGGCAATGGATCCAGAAACAGAGAAGAGTATGGACAAGACGAAAGAGAGGAGAGCATCGAGAAGACGAAACAGAGGAGAGTATCGAGTTGCAAGGACACCGATGCAAGTGAAGTTGGTCGATGTGTGTAGTTCTGTAGTTTAGTTAGTTAAAAAACGAATTACCGACATATGACGAAATGACAAAAGTACCCTCAGCTTGTTAATACTATATGTTACCCCTTTGTCTTGTCCGCCGAGAGCAGAGGAGAAGAACACAATTGGGGCCGTGATTCGATTGCCAAACCCTAAAAGAAGATGGGGACGAGGGGAAGGAGGAATCGGAAACAAGCCAGCATTGCCCAGGTCGTCTCTCTCCGAGGCTTCAACCAAATTGAGGTTTAAATACGTCTCCTTTCGGATTTTTCTCTCAATTGGATTGTACAGTATGTATAATTCTCAAAAACAAAAAAAGGAGTGGTTTTTCGTTTTCGTTTCTTCTTCTTCATTACATATAAGCTAAGAGTTTTAGCTAGGTCTAATATAATATGAGTTTCCGATTGATTGATGGATTGTTGATTGCTGTTTTTGTTTTTGTGTCTTTGAAGACAGCCGAGAGCTTGCAAGGCAGAGATAAGTGCGAACGGAAGAGACGAAGCAGAAACAGAGGCAGACGCAGTGGAAGACGAAGAAATAAGTGCAAGATTCCTTTTCCTTTGCCTTTCGATCTGGTGCTCGAAATTCTGAAGAGATTGCCAGCAAAGTCCCTAATGAGGTTCAAGTGCGTCTCAAAGGAGTGGTCATCAGTCATCTCTGGTCCATACTTCACCAAGCTTTTTCTTACCGCCACTGGACAACAAGCACCACGCCTCTTCTTGTGTTTAGTGGAGAGAGACGTGGAAAATCTACTGCTGTCATCATCAACCTCTCCTCCAGACAAGAATTGGTTTGTGGTCAGCCAAGATTTGACCATCCCAAAGTTGCCATCTCTCTACTTCTTCAACGGTCTTCACGGCTTGATCTGTTTCACAATCTCTAGCACAGAGGCTTGTGTCTATAACCCCACCACTGGACAACTCTTGAAACTACCCTCCATCAACAACTCCAACATGCCTCAAATGGTGACTACCCGTTACTTTATCGGACATGATCCCGTTAGTGATCAATACAAAATACTCTGCACGATCGCGTCTTTCTCGGGAGATCTTGAAAACATGAAGTCGGAGCATTGGGTCTTGCTACTAGGAGCAGGAGGTTCGTGGAAAAAGGTGGAGTCTTATGATCTTCATCATGCTCCGGGCACAATAGGGCGGTCTATCAATGGACCTGTAGTACATTATTTGGCTTGGCTTGATTTTCACACTTGTGCGGTTGTGAGTTTCGACATAAGGTCCGAAGTGTTGACTACTGTCCCAGTACCTCAACCCCAGGAGGCCGAGCGGTCTTCAGCTACGATGAAGGCGGGCCTTGTGGAGTATTGTGGAAAAATAGCTGTTTTTGATAATAGCCTTATAGACAAGGGTTCGGTGGATATATGGGTATTAGAGGACGCCGGGAAGATGGAATGGTCTAACAAGACTCTGTTTTTGCGGCCTCGTCAAAGGCATTTAGTCGATGACTTTTTACTAGTCGTAAAAGGTACAACCCGGGACGGCAAGGTCATCTTGGCACCGTGCATGATGCGTTCTCGGTTCTACATTCTGTTTTATGATATGCACAGCAATGATTTGACAAAGATCCAAATCAAAGGAGTACCAAAATTGTGGTTTGACAAAGACTGCTTTTCTGACTTTAAGTTCATGGATGAGAGTGATAGCAATATTTGTTTTCGATGCCTTTAAATGTTAAAGAGTTGCAACCTTTCTGTTGTTTACTTAATTTATAAGAGGAGCCACTTTCCTTCATTATTCTTGACTTGATTTACTTACATTCAGATAAGTTTCGTTGCTCAAATGCTTTACTTACTACTTGTTCGAGTTTTGTTATTTTGAAATCTGTGTTGAAGAACTAGAAGAGATGAACACAGGAAGGAAATAAAATTAAAAGCTGCGGCAAAAGCTGATACCAAAATCAACAAGTACTTTGGCGTTTTTATATTATGTATTCATGTTTTTTCACGTTGTACTAATCACACATATTCTGATTTGAAACTTTGATTCTGCATTATAACGATGGAAAATAAAAGCACATGATCATATTCAACACTTAAAAAATATGGTTTTCTTTAGTTTAAGACCCTATGCTGTTTCATATTTGTGGATTTAGCATATTGAGAGCCAACAATCAACGAATATTCCAACAGGAAACTAACTGCTGAAATAATGTTACATTGGAGATAAAAAAAAATGCAACCTAAACATCAGATTCCTGAAGCTGCAAGAAGAGGTAACCCTAGCTCAGGACACAGAGGACTCCACGAGGCTAAAAGCAGTGTAACCGTAGTAAGAATGATACAGATCCGGTAATTCTCCAGGAAATTTACTGGACACGAAAATGCATGAGCAACGACATTAATCGCATTGTTATCACCACCACTGATCAATCATGAATCAATGAAAACATATGGATTTAGGCTGTGATATTAGTATTATTTATAGTACTCTAAGCTTAGCTGCAGTTTTTTACTTATCTACCGACTTGCTTTACAGCTCTGAGAAGTTAAGATGTACCTTGGAGTGACAAGTAAGTAAGAATTGGCGCAGAGCAGTAGTTTTGTCATCGCCTCCTACCTACACACATGTGGTGCAAGGCCTGAATCAGCGGATGGGAACAAACAGACCCCGTGACAGCCAAAAGATGAAAGGGACTTAGACTTACCAAAAGGCATAGCATGTGTCGCTTCCGTTTGTTAGTCCGTCCTTGAAAATCCACCATCACTGGCTTGCCTCTAAGGGCAAGGAAAGAAAAACCACAGTTCACTCAGGAGCATTATCAGGTAAGTGTAAAAGGAAGACAAACAGAATTTATGAAGCAATACCTGTAGAGTCCAGTTGAGAAGCAATGAAGAGTTAATACTATTCCGTTATTGTTAGTGCAATTATCAATTATTTGATCTGAACAAGTAAATAACACTTATAGGTGCAGAGAGATAGAGGTCAGCGACTGAGATTTGCTTTGATGCGCATTCAAATAACACTTATAGGTGCAGAGAGAATGAGGTCAGCGACTGAGGTTCAAGTGCGTCTCAAAGGATACATTAAGACCAAATTATGGTTGTCTTGTCTCAGTTCTGTGGCCTACAAGAACGTGATTGGTGCTAGGAGGGATTGAGATTGCTCCATGTATAAGATTTTTTCAAATGGTAGATTAAGCGACGATCATGTGGTATTATAAATATTATTGAACCATATGGTGAATAAGCTGTTGTGGTTAGTAGCGTTTGATGGTCTATGTGTGATTATTTTAGACCTTTGATTTATCTACCTTATATGATAATGAGATTATGTATGGATATGACTAATGAACGATTCGGATAATAGATTATGAGACCTTATGACCTAGGCATTGTTTGGATGTATCCATACATACGCTAACATATCAACGAGTGTATGTGAATATATGTACATTCCTACACTAAAATCTGCTGGTTCATAGGTTGACCTTCTACTTATTAATAGGTACATACATATAGGCATTCCTTAGAGGATATGATTCAATTATGAACTTTTCCTTGGAAGAACTTTTGCGCCTTTGTCAATGAGATTAGGTATTTATGTTCCTCCTATAACAGAAACTAAAGGCCAATCATCTGATGTTGTTATTTTACAGCATCATATGATCTCACTAATTATCATGTGACTAGCAAATTCAAGTCCTACCTTAAAGCAAACCTTACATCTCCTGTTTATCATATAAGTTTAGATTATGTAGGTTAAAAATTATATAAAGCTCCAAGTTTGTGAAATTTTCAATCAGTGGATTCGTCTTTTAACTCATAATTTACCACACTGTTGTGGTTGACATATAAAAGATGCACGAACTCATCACTCTAATCCTAACTTCCTAACACCGACTTTCAAACGGATTTTGACTGGAATTAGAAAGGTGAAACAGAGCACGTGAAGGCAAAAGCTAAAGAAGAATTAGTATCTAACTGAGATCATTCGCTTCGAAACGCTACAGTAAAGAACAATTTCATTTTAACAGCAATTGAAACGGTTTAGTTCATTAAAAGAAAATGATTCTAGCTGACTCATCATCAACCAAACATTCAAAGGGTTTATCTTGCTTACACAGCAAAGATTCTTATTCTCAGATTGTGTTACTACTTACATCGATTAAGTTGGTCACTTTCCACCAAGTGCAGACTCGGCCTCTCTAGCTTTTGTGGTTCCTTTCTTCAGCTCCGCACCATGTACATCTGCATCCGACGAATCAGGCACTTAGACTTTCTTCTTTTTTTGTCTTTTGAACAATATTCAAAGCATTTATACAGAACTCTGGTGCAAACCTGATCAGTGAAACTCTCCACCGATGCCGGCGCCTAATACCTCCTTCTTTGGCTTGCGTCTGCGGATGGATCCAGCAAGCTCTGCCTCTTGAAGATTTTCTTTCATCTTGGAATGAAGTTTCTGGATTCGGATTGCCTTCTCGGTTTCCGTCTCCCTAATCACGGGCGCCTTTTGAAGCTAATAAAAAAACACAATACAATCAGAGAGAGAGAGAGAGAGAGAGAGAGTTGATATCTCTCTCACCTTAGCAAGTTCGCCGAGTTCGCCGAGAGTAAGTTTTGCCTTGTCTATAGAGTTTAGTATGTCAGAAGCGGTTTTGTCATCTGAGAAGAGCAGGTTACGGCTATTAGAAAGTCAAACAAAAGGACTATTAAATTGTTAAAAGGGTAAAAAAATACTTACTGTTTATAGGTCCTGTGAGGTTAGCTCCAAGAGCCTCCGCCATCTTTGAAATGATTGTTTCATTAAGCACAGGGTGACCATACTCGTACCATTTCACCACCTTTTTGTGCTCTCCTATCATCTGTAAGCGTAAGCAATTATGTATACAAAGTATAAAAGGAAAGCACAATATCTCTAATTGATATGTAATTGATTTGTACAGCTTTACCCTAGAGTCTCACGTCTCTCAATAACATTCATTCATTCACGTTTCTATATGGTAAATATTTGTCTTTCTCTCTCTTTTAGCCGCAGCTTTCCTCACAGGACACATCTCCCGAGGCCAACATGACTAAATAATTTGACTAAACATGACCAACAGCTTTCCTCACAGGCCACCTTTCTATACATATAATTTGACACACATAAAGAAACAGAGAGGCAGAGAGGGATTTTTACCTCGGCAAGCTGAGCCTGAGACAAGTTTTTAGCCTCTCGTGCCATTTTAATAGCTCCCTTGAGCTCATTGGAGACACGAAGCTCAGGCTTGGGCTCAGCAGCTTCCGAGACTTGAGGCACAGGCACACGCACAGGGAAGGGAACGATCTCTCCTTGATGAAGGACGTCGCATGCATATGCATAGTGAGCTCTCTTTGCACCTACAACATATAAGATAAAAAGCCACTGAAAATCCAAATCTCTAATATGTACAAACAAGCAATGACAGAAACGGAGAAGATAAACGGAGAAGATGAAACTGGCTAATTGATTTTCACATCTGGTTCAAAGCAATTAGCAAGCCTAGAACTCTCGCAAAACCTAACAAAGCACTCCCGATTTCTAATCAATCACAGAAACGGAGAAGATGATAATCGGATTTTCAGATCTGGTTCTCCGATCCCGAATTCAAAGCAATTACAGTAACGGACAATATAAACGAAGAAGATGAAACTGGATAACGCAGAAACGGAGAAGATACGAAGAAGATAAACGAATAAGGTAAACGAAGAAGATGAAACTGGATAATCGATTTTCAGATCTGGTTCTCCGATCCCGATTTCAAAGCAATTAGCGAACCTAGAACTAAGAATCTCTGGCAAAACCTAAGAAACGGAGAAGATAAACGAAGACGATGAAACTGGATAATCGATTTTCAAATCTCGTTCTCCGATCCCGAATTCAAAGCAATTAGCGAACCTAGAACTAAGAATCTCTCAGCAAAATCTAAGAAAGCACTTCTCACATCCCGAATTCATCCAAACGAAGCAACAAACCTCCTCCATACATCTTCCTCGGCCTCTCTCTTAACTCGAATTTCTTAAACATCTAAGAAATGTCAAATTATTCCACAACGCTTACCTCCGATCGTCTTCCTGCGCCGTTTCCCTTTCCCCTTCTTCGCTTCCATCTCGCTTTTGCTCTTTGAGATCTTCTCCTCTTTTCCCTCTCTTTTTCCCTCTCGAATTTTCAATTTCAATTTTTCCAGTTTTGAGTCTGACGCCAGAAGAAGTGACACCGAGATGATTTGTCTAATATAGGAGTCATGTTAAATAAACTATTTATATTTTATTTTGGTCACTTATACTGAAGATTCGAGCTAGCTAAACCGGTTTTTAAATTCATCGACAGTATCTGGTAACCCGCGTTCGAGTCTCCAGCTCTGCGTTATCATTAGTTTTTTTTTTTTTTTTCCTTTTTCTGATATAAATAGAAGAGACTTACGCGTACTTATGTGTGATATGTAATTTTCTTTATGTTTTTGGTACCATGGCCTTTCATTCACTTTGTAATTTTCAGGTAAGTGTAAAAGGAAGACAAACAGAATTTATGAAGCAATACCTGTGGAGTCCAGTTGAGAAGCAATGAAGAGTTAATACTATTCCGTTATTGTTAGTGCAATTATCAATTATTTGATCTGAGCAAGTAAATAACACTTATAGGTGCAGAGAGATAGAGGTCAGCGACTGAGATTTGCTTTGATGCGCATTCAAATAACACTTATAGGTGCAGAGAGAATGAGGTCAGCGACTGAGGTTCAAGTGCGTCTCAAAGGAGTGGTCATCAGTCATCTCTTGTCCATATTTCACGAAGCTTTTTCTCACCGCCAACCCATAAAGAAGATCTGCAACCAAAATAAAAAAAGGCAAGTAGGCAACATACGATGATGCAGATAAAGAAGATATGCATTCTTGATTAAAACTCATATCCGTTCATTTCAAATATTTCCTTTTTCCATTTTCGTCTATACAACTAGAAGAAGAAATAAGCGATGTCTTTAGGTAACCAAAGATAATGTTAATGTTCTTGGGTTTATAAGATATATTAACCTCGCAACGGTCAAAATTAGAGCTCGTTTATGAGATTGCTGTTTCATTCCTTACTTATTCCCATCACGATTCACATGCACAGGCAAGTCCGTTTTAAAATGAAAATTTAAGCTTCTACTTAAATTATTTATCAATAGCGACAATGAGGAGAAAGTAGGAAAGAAAAATATATGAACGTAATATTCAAGAATACAAAGAATCGGAACACATGTTTCTGCAACGTGAGATTTAAAGGCGATCCAAAGAGCAAAATTCTTTTTTTCAGATGCATTATTTGTGATCTTTTGTGTTTGTGGAATTTTGATTTGCATCACGTGGATGTCTATATCGGATGAAAGAATTGAATAGCCGTTTATTATAAAAAGAAAAACTTAGCAGAAAGTGCAATATATATCTCGTGGCCCTTTTTCTATCCATACGAGTCTTATGTCAGAATTTGCATGTGACGAGCATTAATATTCCCATTCGTTGCACTATGAACCCATATTTTGTTTCTTTTTTCTTACAAGCGTCAATGATATTCACATTCATGTATTTAGCAGAGTGAACTGAAACGGCCATTGTAAACTTACATATATCCCTGATGATGTTAGGCTCTATAAAAATAGTGAAATACGTAGAAAGAAGCGGTAAAAAGAAAAGAAAATGAAATGGAACCCGACCAAAGGTAGAAATAGGGATTGAGGAAGATACAGTTAGCACGTGTTTTGAGTTTAGAGATTCTCTTCGTGCAAATGGAAAAGCCAAAACAGAGTGTGTGTGAGAGAGGTTTGACCGTTGACGCAAAAAGAGGCGCCGGTAAGCGGGCTAAGTCGGTCCCATGCGAGACTCGATGCCTCGCTTTCGCACATCTCTACAGACACGTGTCAGTGGTCACGCACACCTGTTAGCCGCACGTGCCTTAACGTCGACGCAAGAAAACCACACAGCTTTTTGGTTAAGATTCATCTCTTTGACCTTTGCTTTGTTTCTTTCCTGCTTCATTGTCTTCTTCTACTATGAACTTTCATGTAATGACGATGCCCTCTCACTATTTATTTACCCTTCACAATTAAAAGTATATCAAGTGGGGAATATATATAAGAAACCCCAATGATAATTCATGGCAACTCATGATGAAACATATGGGTTAGTGTAAACCGATTGCAAATGTCATATGTTAACCCAAATAGATACTACAAAGTTAAACTTTTTCTCACTGTACACGATGTTAAATTTGGAGGTTGTATTGTGAGTATTTATTTAATAGTAGTGTTATCTATCTTGTTCGTACATGAAGGGTTGATTGCAAAATAATAACAATCTGAGTGATATTTTGCAGTTTTCTCCAAAAATTTACTTAATCTCCACTCCGAATTAGGAATATGGGCGTTGAGCCCAATAAAACTGGCCCTCCACAACCGTTAAAAGTCTGATTTTTATGGAACAACATGAATAAAATAATTACAACATATACTGTAAATAGGGAAAGAAAATACTTTTTTAGAAAAGAGTATGACAAAAGAAAAAGAAAAAAAAAGGATTAAAATTCGGGAGAGAATAAACCCCAATAATGACCAAACGAGAAAAGAAAGAAACAACAAAAGCAGGCAAAACTGTGAGCACTAAAATAGCCAAACCAGATTACTGAGGTCTCCCCATGTGATTTCACATTCTTTCTTTCATCTTCCTCTTATCCATTTCTTTCAAGTCAAAAAAATCAAGGCAGTAAAAGGGGAGAGATCAAACAAAGTTTCACCAAAGCCAAAAAAGAAAAGATTCATGGAAAGATTTAATACGTTATATACATACAAAGTAACCGAGCATATGCCCTTACAGAGAGATTTAATACGTTATATACATACAAAGTTACAACAAACATACATAATTGAGTTAATACTACTACTCCGTTATTGTTGGTGCAATTATTAATAATTTGATCTGAGCAAGTAAATAACACTTATAGGTGCAGAGAGAAAGAGGTCAGCGACTGAGATTTGCTTTGATGCGCATTTAAATCTCCTCTTCTCTATTCTCCCCACTTTCTGACTTTCCTTCTCTTGTTCAACTTCTATTTTCTTTAGATATTATGATGGGTAAATCCCAAAACAATGATGACTGATCCGATCTATTTTTGAAGTTTCAGTTTTTCCCTTTCCACAGTTTTCGATTTTGTTTTCTGTTAATAAACCCACCATTCATATATCGTTTGAAAACACCATTGCCTAGAGATCATAAATCACTTGCTGGTTACTTCTTTCAGATGCTAAAAGCTGCACTGAGTGATCCTCATTAATTTATACGAAGTCTTCAACATATTTTTCTGACTATTGGAACTTATATATATATATATGCGTTGTTAATCAAATATTTCGTTGTTATGATATGGTTTATCAGAGTTATGGTCAGTGTTGTAAAGATTCGATGGAAAGACTGCTTAACATTAAAATTTTAAAACCAAAGAAAAATAAAGTCAGCTTAACACCGGTATACGAGACAGTGTCGTGTCTTCTATATATCATCAGTTATGAAAGAGAAGCAGTCAACTTATTTTTTACGTGTTAATGTGTTCTCCATATATAAAAATGTTTAATGTGTTCTGCATTTCTAAACCTACAATAGGTGTGTTGTATAAGTGCTTGTACTTAATAAAATGATTTTACAAATTCATAATTTTTTACAGTACTCTCAAATTACAAATGGTTTAATTATACAAACAAAATTATATTACTCGTACTTTGTAACTTTAAAAAATTCAGGTTTGCCTAAAATGGTATTGTAGAATGTTGACAAATACAAACAAATAAATTTGGAATGAGAAAATCTGCACAGATAACAGATATTATTTACCTAGTAATTGTTAAAATAGATCTGGCTCCCAACCAAATTTCTGTTAAATCCATCGTTTTATACAATTCTGTTGTTGATACAAAAAAACCAAAAATATGCTTGAATATCCCCTAAATGAATGAATAGCGAATACCGTTGCTCTCTTAGGATTCTCATCAGATACAAGTTGGATAGTACTATATACTAACAACACTTGGAACATTTTCTAACAATATTTCGTTAAACAATATTTTTCTCAAAAAAAAAATATTTCGTTAAAAAATATCGTAATTTGTCTGGATATGTACATTACATCTGATTAAGTTAGGTGTTTATTTTCGAATTCCTTAGCATTTAAACAACAACAAAAAAAGTGGTAATGGTGGGGCAATCGAGGCTCAACAAGGCCCCGGGCAATACCGACTGCCACAACTCTCTGCATCCTCTTCTATTTTTCAAATTTTTATTTACACAAAAGAAGACAAACCAATACAAAAACAAACAAATTAATTAACCAAATATTTTTTCCGTTTCATTTTTCATTTCTAGATCCATTATAAATAGGGAGCCCTAACTTTCTTTTCCGTTGCTGCTGACTCAAAATCTCCGAACTCCGAGAAAATCTACAAATTCCCAAGTTTGTTTCTTTTATCGCTCAATTCCTCACAATTCTTCATTTTCCAAGGAAATTAAAATCACTCCTGAAGATCAAGATATCATCAATCTTCCTCTGGTTTGATCACACAAAGCAACCAAACAAGATCTTTACAACAAAATGGCGTCGTCCGGCCTGACTCGATCGGGAAGCGCGCCGCAGTTCCACCTAGACGAGAAGTGGAAACTGTCGAAGAAAGACGCTTTCTACGGCGGCGCGTCGAGGATCACGCGCTCCTCGTCGACCTCTTCCTCCTTCAACGGCGGCCAGAAGACTCAGAAACAGAGGAGGTGCGCTTTTACGAGGAAGTGCGCGAGACTGGTCAAAGAACAGAGAGCTCGCTTCTACATCATGCGTCGCTGCGTGATCATGCTCATCTGCTGGAGAGATAATTACTCCGATTCTTAAATTTCAACACAAATCTCTCTCTCTCTCTCTGTTTCTTCATCTCTCTTTACTCTGTTTTTTTTTTTGGTTCTTTCTCTGTTCTGAAACCGAAGTAGATAGATATACTGACATGTACATATAAGGGTTCTGTTTATGTTATGTTTCTGCTTCTTTATATCAATTTAGATCTGTAAGTTTTATGTTTGAGGCTCTGGGTTCAGTGTGAAGAAGTTTTCAAACCAAATGAAAAATAACTGAAAATTTGTAAAATAAGTTAGTACAAGTACTAAATAGTGAATTAGATTCGTCTTTCGGCTTCTTGTGACGATTTGTTTTGTTTGTTTACTTTCATGATGAAGACAATGAATGTGGCGTTTCTCTTTCTCTAGAGTCTAGAGGTAGAGAGAGATAAAAAAAAGATTCCATTGGAACTGTTACGATTAAGCTATGTGTGGATCTTGTGTGCTCAGTCTGACAAATTGATTAGTTTTTTTTTCTGTTTAATATAAATATTAATCAATTATGCGTGCATATAAATATTGTTTTGTTAATTATGAATTTATGATTACTCAGTCTTTGTTAAGAGTTAAGACTAGGCCAAAATTAGACTAGTTCAATTTACGTCAAGAAATTAAAATGTGTTAAGTACGATTACGACTTTCTTTATTCTTATACTATAGGCTTTTTAAATTTCTTTAAACAAAGATGGTCATATGTCTAAGTTGATAGAGTCAAGATAGTCTTCTAGATTTTATTTATAGTTTTTGCTAAGACACTACAATAATTTTAATTTTCATTTCACATTTTCACTAAAACCATATTCTTTGTACTAATTTAGTTAGGGTCGTTTTGCGTGAATTAGTAGAAATAATTAATACTTCACATGGGAAACTAACAGCTGGGTTTCCCGTAGTTTCTTTACCATGGGCATCTCTGCATCGCAGAGATATCATATGCTTCTGACTCCTTTACCACAGATTTATATATTTGTATACATTTTTAACTTATGTGACTATATATTTATTGAACAAAACGAGAATGACTGTATTTTTAGAAATTCCTTGCTATTTTTTGTTTGCTAATGAATTTCTTTACAATCCGACGCTGTTTATTTTATTTAGAGGTAGTTAATTGAGTCAGTGACTACATATGATTTGTTACCAAATCAGTACACGATGCAAGTCTTTCCATTTACAGTTGAGCTTGCCACTTTAGGCTACTGGACTTTATGATATACATCGGGCTGATATATCATGCTAAACAATTCGATACATCAATATAATTGTCACCGAAATAAAAAAAATCAACTGATGTATGTTGATGTGACTATTGAAGTTTGTAGAAACATAGATTTATATCATTCGGAAAATGATTCTGTCAAATTTCTTTTTCCAACTAGCTTTTTTTTTTTTTTTTTTTTTTGGACAAACTCTTTTTCCAACTAGCTTTGTTCTTATTTTCCATATTAACCGGGAACCAAACAGAATAAAGACACCTCTGAAGTCTAAACAAATTAAATAACTGTCCATTTTAAAAAAAAATTACAAACTAATCACTCAAACTGAAAACTTACACATTTTGTTTTGCTTAAGAACATTAAAACCCCGTTGAAAGCAACTCTAGAACTGAAATATTTTCCATATTTAACTTGGATCTCTGAGTATAATTGCAAAATAAAAAATATTTTGGTTTGAGTTGAACATGTGATTCTATATTTCGGAAATTTTCATTTCGTCTTTGACTGATTAATGAGTCAATGACCACACTTTTTTTTGTTTAGATGTTCTTCAAATAGCTGGGCAATGATTATGAAGATAAAATTTAGCATGCCCAACACTTTTCACCATGCCACCACTAACATTTTTTTAGGTCTTGTGAATATAAATCTAACTAATACTAAAACCCAAATAAAAATTTACCATTATCCAACAAACTAGATTTTCTTTGGGTTTATAGAAGATATTTTACAAAAAGAGTCAAACTCTTGTAGCATTTCCCTTTTTGAAAAGTATTTAAAGAACAAAAGATTATTCCATTGGCTCGAGACAAAGAGGAAATATATTTTCTTAAAAAATTGGCAAAGAAAAAGCGTATATTAGCCATCCCCACAGATCCAAAGGATCTTTATTTAATGATTGTAATTTTTTTGATTGTTCATAAGCATGCTTAATTTGGATTATTATAGACACTAGGGATTGAGCCCCGCGCACGCGCGGAGTTGTTTGTGATAATTCTTTTGTATGATTTTATTTATCTTTGTATATTTGAATAATAATAGTTTTGTGTTAGTCTCCATGTTTTGATTATATTTTGAGTTAACTCTAAGCATATGATCAATTTGTTTTGTTTTATTTTATTAAGATGTTAACTCTACACTTCATCTCGAGCTTTTCGTAGAATCGCATTTGCATTCGATGTATTACTGTTTACATATATGTTTTGTTGTGATAGCATTTGAGCATAATGACATATTGATTATTTCTATAATGTTAGTTTTGTAAATATAGATTGTATTTTTGAAACAAACATGTCACAATCCTTAAAATTTTCATGTTTTATTTGGGTTTTTAAAAAGAACTCTAAATATAATTTCTCATTAACTTCTACTATATAAACTAAATTATATTCTAACTTTTTTTAACTTGTAAACACATTATAACATTTAAAAAATAGGAGAAATCTTCTACAAAAAATTCTAACTCTAATTTTTTTCATGAGCTTTCTACTATATTAATCAAAAAATTATATTCAATATTTTTGAACTTGTAAATACATTATAAACTTTTTAAATAGGAAAAATACTATTTTATGTTGCATATTTCTTTATTTCATCTCCATTTTATATTACAAATGTTTCTTTAAATTTTAACACCAAGTTATCACATACTTTATTTTAATTAATTAATGTATTTGTGTATATTTTTTAGTTTTATTTATTTTAAAAATAGAATATATGTAAAGAAATATGAAAAGACAAGTATTTAATAAATATTGTAAATATAATTTATTGTTTTTGTGCTGATGTGGACACTCTAGATGGAGAGAGCAACTCCCTAATTATATATATATATATATATAAGATATCCGGAGTCCCGGACAATTCCATTTAACCTCCTTTATTCTTTCGTGGCCGTCTTGTTTATTTAATATTGTCGACAATTATTGAGGATTATTAATTTACTATTCTGTCGTTTTATCTTATATCCCAAACTAATGAAAAAGCGTAACTAATTCGCGTTATATTAGATGTGTGCTCTTAAGCAGTAGGAAATGCTATTCCATCCCACATAATCAAGATTGTAAAAACAAAAAAAAAAAAAAAGATTTACGGAATTTTTCTGAGTCAGAATCAAATGGTCATAGAAGATTAAATTCACTCATTTTAATTATGTAACAAGATATCAAATTATTCTTACTATCTTCTGATATACAAGGTGAAAAGGGAAAAAATACTCACGCTGATGGGTGTATACAATTGGCAACAAGAATTGGAGTGAGGCGACATATATAAGTGCTATTTTCTTTCTAATTTGCCAGCCAGTGTTCCAAATTTCATAATAGTTTCATGTTTTTCTTTAAGAAGAACCAAATTAAAATCAATTTAACTATTCAAACCGTGCATACATCATCAATCAAAAGGTATCTAAAACTGCTATATTCAACCGCCGAAGAGCATATTTATATGTTTTAATGTACAGAAACACTATAAATATCTTGTACATAATTAAAATGTCTCTCGTTAGAGAATTTGGAAATGTGTAAGCATAATAAAGATTAATTATTTTAGCCGACCCAACGGAGTCTTAGCTAGTTATATGAGGTTAAATAAACTACATATATATACAAAAAGGCCGAATGCCAATCTCCAAGGTCTAGAAAAAGGGTAACCTCGATCCAAATAATTCTTTGAAATAAATACAAAAATGAAACACAAATAGGCATTAGGGTCCATGTTTGGTCAACAATCGCATCCGTGACACGCAAGCCTGAATAATAGATACAAATGATCTAAATGATTCAGATACATGATCTATAACTCCATATAGTAAAGAACTAAAGGTCGATGCGTATTGCCAAACTAGCGGATATTTAGAGAAACAAAAAAATTTAGAGAAACATAAAATAATCAAGTTCAAGAAGAGACATATGATATTACATAAAAATATTACAAAAGCAATATGATAAGTTAGACGAGCACAATAAGAGCCATAGACCCTCTATCATTCCCTTTTTTTTCTATGGTAAAAGTTTCAATACAATGTATCACCATCTATTTTGTTGCGATTTGTTATTGATAATTTTCCGAACGTTTGGATCATCATTGCTACGATAATCGACAAATCAGGTCCAATGGCAAACATGCAACGACTAACGAGTATGTGACGTGTGTATGAATGGACATATCTTTCTATCCATTTTAATGTGAGACAAAAATAAAAGTAGGTAAGGAAAGGATCAAAATTCAAAGAACCGAAATCATCAGTTTCCTTTTGATTTTTAACAATGGAGAGCTTTTTAGTTTTTTGGGAGAGATTTTATGGGTCTTTGATAGCATCACATGAACAAATATGGATACCCACCAGCAGGTGGCATGACTTGCGTCTCCTTGATATGCTTTGTCTTTTTATGTACCCCAATATAATACGTCTACTCAAGTAAAATAGCATAAAGTTCGAAAAGAAAATTAAAATAATAGAGACTTCTTCAGACAATTATAATACATTTCGAGATGTAGAGATGTATGTTGAGTTTCGATTTCAGTTGTTCCCGTTAACTTAAGATGCATATTCCAGTTGAGGTAATTCGTTATCATAAAACAACGCGATATCAATGAAAAAAATTCTCATTATGTATGATTTCAGAATAAACGTTAAACAAATATGACATGCAACACAATCAACAATACGTATAGATCTACGTAACTTTTTGACCCACAATCAATTTCTTCATTCATTGATTCAAGATTGGAGCTAATGGAGTCACAATGTAAAACATCGGAACATCACTACGAAAATACTAAATACATATACACCATTTCTTTGATCCATTATTGTCGTTTTTTTTTTGAACAGCCTTGTTCTGGTCTCTTGGAACTAAATTGATCATGACATTTTCTTACTAATATTTAGAAAACGTTGGGATAGGCATTTTAGTGATGACATAATATCGTTACAGAATTCATAGTGGCTATAGTACTTGTAAACTCCAAATGTTATCCATTTTGAGGGAAGAAGATGAATAAAAAGATAAATAAAAACAGAGTCGTTTCGGAATCGTATCAACTGAAACTGAACCTTGGAAACAATAATTGAAAGGGTTAGGGGGACCCCTCCAATAAGAGTCTCCAACGACATGTATAGGCAAAGCCCAATCCTATAATATTGACATAATCCTCACTAATTTAATATTCTTATTAATTGGAGCAATCTTTATCATCCCTACATCATGGTGGTGGGTATGTCTATACATGACAATATTCAATATACCAAGATAATTTATCTTCTTCTCATTTTCTACAAGGAGAGGCTTATGATAAGTTGAAATACAAAATGTAAAACCTATTTTGGAAAATCCCAAGAGTACACATAATTTTCATTTCCCGCAAAAAAACACAAGCCAAATCTTTTACTTTATGTGTTTGGCCAAATAATTAATCAGCTTTAGGACAGTTTTATGTTTTGATGTTTAAAAACATGAAACAAACTCTTGATTACAAACAGAAACTGCCCAAAGCATGCGATCTTCAAAGTTCAAACATAAAACAAATCAATACGTTGCTTGATCCATCTTGTATAGCCCAACGATTATTAAGCCACAAGCCCTACTGCAACCAAAACGTTTGGGCTGAAAAAATCACTTAGCATGGATTTACGCGCGTGTCGTCGTCAAGACATCCGATTATCTCCACTCAACTCCATTAAAGACTTTAAATCATTTTACTTTTCGAGTCTTGACTCGTCTAAACAAATATTTAGGAATGGACATATTGTGGGACGTAGTGCGAGTGTGCGAAGTTATGATCATTGAAATGGAGTTAGTTGGATCATTGAAATGGACTTAGTTGCAAAGTAAACCAAGGGAAAACATTAACAGATTACGAAAATATTTAAATGTTTTCTACTAACGAGACAGTGTATACTATATATTAAACTAAAACAAAATGAAGATTTCCTATACTACCACAAACAAAAAAGCTCTACGAAATAAAATACATCGTATATAAGCTATACTTCTCACACAAAAAATATATTAATGTATGTGGTCTAGAAGATATTCCTATTTCCCACAGAGCACAAAAACACAAATTATATCAATCTCGCAATCCGAGCCGTTGACTAGCATGATCACATCTGACGTCAGCACCAAACCCAACCCTTGATTTGGCAAGATCAAACTCCATCCACACGTTCTGCTGATGATGATGACCAATCACAAATGATTCTATTCCCAGGAGATCCGAGTTACCAAATGTGAAACAATACACCTCATATTTCCCTACCGACCCGGCTCCGTTTACCCGGTACAACAGCTTCTGACCCGACACGCTCATCTCCGCGCCACGAAACATTAAACTCACAACGGGCAAACCCGAGAAGTTGGGCCTGGTTAACGACCCAACCCGGTAACACAGGTCCATTGTCCCTTGGAACACGAAGTTTGGGTCGTCTACGACTCTGAGTACCGATTTGGTTTGCGCAATAAACTCGGTTTTCAATGCGGTGTAAACCGGACCCATCAGGAAAGTAAACTGTGTACCTGAGTCCACCATAGTCTGACCCGCCCCGGTATGGTCCGGTACGAACACGGATTTTGGTAGAGTCAGTAGCTTCGACCCGACCCGGATTCCTTCTAACTGGACCGTGTAAGCGACCCGGTCGAAATACGGTAACGGAATTGTCTCGAGTATCAAAGGCGTGTATTGGATTGGACCGAGCCACGAGAAACTCGCGTCACCGAGAAGCAAAACACCGGAGGAATCTGAACCGGAGATGCAATACGAGAATTTGGAGAAACCCAGCTGGTTAACGAACGATAAGGAACCCCGGTTCATTCCCATTAAACCGGTTGATTTTGCATCCTCCTCCGAATCGGAGCTTAAACCGGAGTCCATGCACCCGAATATGGTACCGGGTCGGGTCGAAGACCCAATTACGAAGGTCTCGTGAGCTAAGTTGCCTTCGATGGAGGTAGCGTCAGCGTAGGAGATTGCCACGTGGCAGAGGTGGGTTTTCGGGTCGCATGAGGCGGGTATGGGCAAATCCCGGGTCCGGGTCCTGCAAATTGGCGATGAGCAAGGCAGGGGCGAGTACGAAGAGGACTTAACCGGGTCAAATACGGATCCTAAGTTGGGAGATTTCTTGCAGTGAAGCCATGAGAGCTCGCTTCCGGTGTCGAGTACCATCGAGATGTTTTGCGGTGGAGAGCCGACGGAGAGAGAGACGGTGAGAGTGACATTATGTCTAAAAGAAAGTTTGTCTGAAGGAGACTGAGGAAGATTCTGAGTTTTGAGAGTGAAAAGGAGTGTTTGATTTGAAGAAGATATCTTGCAGAGCGTGAGAGGGAAAATGAGAAGTAGAATTGAGATTTGAAGAAACATATTTGAAAGAGATGATGAAGCCATCATACAAGTTTTGACTCTTTGTTACATACTTGACGTCTTTAAATATTTGTCTTTCTTGTTTTTTACTCTCGATTTCTTGATTACGAAATGCCCGGTTTGTTTCGGTTTACTCGAATCTTTGAATTTTTAGGTGGAAAAGTATTTGTGTGTAACTTCTAAGGGATAATTTTAGTAGCTAGTCAAATCCAATGGCCAAATTTCTTGGGAAACTACAACGATACTATTCAGAAATCATAATCTTGTCTAACAAAAAAAATCATTTCACGAAAAAGCATTACGGGTTTTGTGTTGTCAATTTCATTTGAATATTTTTAGGGTTTTAGAGAGAGCCAAGTCTCGAGACAAAAGACAAGTTAGTGACTTATTAGTGGAGGAGTAGGTCTTTTTGGCTGTCTTTGTGGGTTCTGTTTGGTCTCTGTAGTTTCCATCAACTTTGTTTCTACTTTCTTTGTGTTCCCACTTTCTACGGGATCTTGATTTTTTTAATTTTTTTTTTTCTGTTTTAGGATGAATTTTTTAATGTTGTAATTGTATCATATTTTACTATAATTAATTCAAAAGAGAGATATCGTGTAAAGTTCCATTTGTTAAAATGACCGACCTCACTAAAAGAAATTACAAATGGTGGAATTGTTCTTTTCGTTTTTGATTGATTTTGTTAATCTTTAAAGGCCAGTCTAATTCTGCAAAGTAGTTACAGTATGATCAGAATAGAAGGTTTAGCGATTTGACCAAAGCACCTCCCTAATATAACACACAACCGACATAATACAATACATCTATGCAAATGTCGTTTTGTCTTATATATTACGACTTTTCGAATAGTAGTATTTTTGTTACCATACGTGAAAAGATGCCGTCCAAATTTCTACTATTCGATGAGACCGCAAAAAGATTGCGGTTAAACAATAGTTTTTACGTAAGAATTTTGTTAATTGTGTTTTGTTTTTGTTATGAATTTGGAACAAAAATTAAACTGTGTTCTATCTCTTTTCGTCCCGACCACGTACTGTCTCATCTTGTTTCCCATCACCTAACTAACCTACAAAAAGGTCGTAATATAACATTGCTGGTGTTGTCTTGGTCTTTGCAAAGTAAGTAAAATATCGCATTTTCTTATCCGGTTAGGAGTCCGGATCATCCAAAGTTGTTACAACACAGATTATTTTAAATATTAAATTTCACAGTTACTACAAAAAGGTTTAGGATGGTCGTAACACGTCAAACCGAGTCGTGCTTGCCTTATAGTATATTTAAGGAAAAAAGTAAGTTTAATTTATTATATATTGTAATTTTGCGGAGTTTGTCAAAGTTGGCGAAAGGTGGAAGATGAAATCGGCCAAAAAGTTTGTCAAATGTATGCTGGAGGCAACCCATTCGTAAGTCTTTCTCAATTCTCACCAACTCCTTCCTGTTGTGTTACCAAATAACTCAACGTCCCTTTCCTAATTTCAACCATGTACAAACAAAAATATTTCGGTACGTTTGGACAAAAGTGTCTCAACTAATAAAAGTACAAGAGTTTACAGCTGCAAAATAACACTTAAATCACTACTGATTCCAAGGTCTTGACAATATAAATTAAAATTGAAGAAAGGAACATCAATAATAAGTACGTAGTAAAAGAAGTTGCAACTTAAGTAAGTATTCATCAATTGAATTATGTTTCTCAATCCTCGATAAAGATCATTATTGTCTCAATACGTCATAGATTTTTTCTTAGAGATGAGGTGATGGTATCCGAACTCAATTTCACAGTATATACATCATAGCCGATTTTGTCCCCAAACTTGAGAAATTTGAAATTAGGGCTAGTGATGTATTATGTTATAAAATCAAAAGACATACAAATGGGCTGTCTCCGGCACACATGTTAAAGAACAACTTGAATTTTAAAAGTTCATATTAGTTTAGTTGGTTAAATGTCTGTATCGAAGTTGTGGAGATGGGGTGTTCCATTTCCCATCTCCCGCAATATTGGACGATCGATTTGCATGCATTACACAAGGTTCACCTTGATATGCTGAATTCTAGACCCGTTTGTGACATAGATATGTTTTGTATATGCTTCAGCCATTCCACGCTGCATTTTGGTCATGCTTAAGTGTTTACCTTGATCCCATTCATTCATGGTTGATGCACAGTAGTCTTACGAATAATAATATTTTTTGATGAAGAAGATTAAGATTTTATTCACTTTTGGCATTGATTAATCAAAATAAGATTTCTATTTAATACCACTTTATTCATGGTATTATAATAATTATTTTTTAGAATATTCAAAAATTCAACGGAAATAATAATATTATTATCGACGTTCGTCAAACAACCAACACCAAGGAAATATAAAAACGAACCGAAGAAGTAAAGTCAATCTGACATAAATGCGTTTTTTGTATTATAATGTAAATTCCGTAGCAAGGCCAGACAATTGCGTATGGGGGACCATATTCTTCGTGTTTTTAGTGTATTATCGTCTAATAAGATCGAAATGAATCATCCAATATTTGATTATGAGTCTCAAAGGGACTGAAGCAAATCAAATAAGTTACGAGTCTTTGTGAACTAGTTTGTCCCATTTACCTCATTACTCATTAGGTTACCAACTAAAAAATTTAATATAAAGTTTGTGAGTTTACTATTTTCATTTGCTTGCATTGCATGTATGTTAGTAACTTACTACTCATGTACAGAGATTTACCATCCAATTTAATTTCATGGTTTTTAATTTTTAATGTGTATGCTAAACAGAACCGGTCCTAAATCAAGGTTGAGAATACTTATCTTAAACAATAGATCATGACGAAATCTTTCCCATGTAGTAGTAGTATACGTTCACTTTCACGTATCCAACCACTATACTAACTGAAAGCAAACATCGATGTTAAATTCTATGGTATTAAAAATGTGATAAAAATGAAAGATTTTAAACAATTGTTTTTCTGTTGTTGTTAAAAGGCCTAGCAATTGTTTTGTTGTTCATGTTCTCTCTCTTAAGTTTATTCTGTTTTGTGTTTCTACGTTCCAGGTTTCTAACTTTAAGTGACATACACAAGACTAAAACATATCTTCTTGTTACCACCAAAGACAACAGGGGCGTGCCTTACGTGTAATGAAAAAGGCATGAGCCTTGAGTCCCCAAAATATATAAACTAGTGAAGGCCCCCAATTTCCCAAATTGTTACTTATCATAGTGGTTATAACGATTGATTTTCAATGTTAATAAGCCAAGTTCGATACTTGGTCAATGCATCTTTCTCTTCTTTTTTCTTTAATTCTAGTAACTTTGTTTCTCTCTCTATTTTTTTCACACTTTCGATTCATATTATTTTTTCTCTTTAAGCCATGAAACTATAGTACGTAGTTCTAAATTTTTACTAGCTTGACATCTTTTGCTAATAATATCTATAAAATATACTTTCTTCATTTTTTTATACTCTTACAACATCATTTAAAAGAAAATAGAGAGATTGTCTGTTTTTAATAATGCTTATTTGATATATTGTTTATTTTGATCATTACTTTTTTTTTTAAATTATCAGCTCTAAGAAAACAAATAAAAAAATTAGAACTATTATATATTTATTTTAATAATCATATTAAAGAAAAAAAATAATTCCTAAATTTGCCTTAGGCCCCCATAACCCTGAGCACGGCACTGAAAGACAGGAACTTTCTCTTTCATTTTTTTTTGGCTACGTTTTATTTGGTACGTTCAACGCCTAATATCATCATCAAAAACGATCTTCATCTCTCTTACGATATCAAGGGGAAAAAACAAGCTCCTTTAAATAATTAAAACCGAGTAAAGAAAAATCTGTTTTTAAGTTTTCTTTTGTGCAAGAAAGAAAAGATGTCGGAAAGTACTCATTACAATCGAACCCTATTTATTTTTCTTGAAAAAAGATTACATATAGGTTTTACACTCGAATTGTTACATGAAAGTCGCTGGAGACGATGAAGTAATCGAGGAGGTGGAGAATGTGCTATAGAATAAGAGTACTAGTGAACATTTGTCTACAAAAACCAAAGCTTTCGTCACATGTTTTAAAGCTCCTCCCATGAGAAAGAACGCAACCCTCGGTATGATGCTCTTTTATGTCACTCCCTAACCCAAGTTACCCAACTAGCGAAAACAATAGACGACACGAGATGCCTAGCCCGTTGGTATATTGGAGTTACTTGAAGCAACGTTATTTGAGAGAAAACTTATAGTCTAAATCAACTCTTCTTGATTTACAGAAGTTGTTAGGATGCTCGATAAGGGTTTTAAAAATGTGTTCAACTCATGATTCTAGCTAGCATGATGTGCGAGCAACTAGTGTTTTCTACCTATTAGCCTTATGGTAGGGTGTTGATAATCGATCTTGGTCTTGGATACGATCCGGAAAACACGATCATAAGTTCTTGGAAGAAAAGTTTTAGCATCTCTTTAAGGGAGAGAAGTTTGGTTGAGAGTTGAGATATGTTTCTTAAGATACGTTGGAAGTACAAAACACAAAAACAGTTTCAATACTTGTGAGTGTGACAGAGTAATACTTAGGTCATTGACATAGCAAACACAAAAGGGCATAGACAAATCTATTGAATGAAAAATAATGGCTAAATTACAAAAGGCTGTCTCCAATAATCGACAGCATCATCAGCTGCGTTGTATAACTCTATTATTATTGCTTTCCTTCACGTTTTCTGTAGCTATTGACCCCAAAATAATTGTTTCCTTTTTAAGATTCTCTAGCCTCTGGCTCTAGGCATATAGCTGTTCAATTTAGGCAACACAACTCTTTGCAGCTGTGGAAATAAACAACGAGTTTGACCTTAAAGATTGTAAATTGCAACATTAGTTTTTAAGGCCAAGGCCACGAATGTGTTGTGATTAGTAAATTCAACAAAATCCAAGAATCATTGAGCTATTCCATGAACTCACAAGGCCAAAACAATTATGAATCTCCTTCATTTATTCTACACTCTCACTTCTCTGTTCAGTGTTCACTCACAGTAACACAAACTACAAAAGAGGTCCAAATGTTAACGACACACGATTTACACTATCATTCTCACTTCACCACTATGTCACCTAAAACTTATTGTGTATCAATTTACTCGCATAGATTCAAATTCCTTTGGGAAAGAATATAATCATTACACTGACAAAACAAAAAAATAATCTTAAACGAACATTTTAAAAACAGAACGGTGTTTTTTTTTGTTTTCTTCATGTTTTGTTTACCTGAAGAAGGTGATAATTCTAGTTTTATCATCACGCTAGCCAATTTCGTCTCCTTGACGAAGACGACGCACTATTGAACAGAGAAAACGACGACCTGTTCCTACGGGTAACCCGTGATCTCGACCCGGACCCTGATGATGTTACTGCAGCTATGGATCCAGATGACCCGCTGAAACATCCGAACAGTCTCATGATCCGACCCGCAAACCCACCGGCTCTCTCTCTACTACCTCCATCTCTCCCTCCTCTTCTCGAGCCCCACGCTACTCTCCTCGGAAGTCTCTCGTCGCCGAGTCTCCCGCCGTCAACCTCCGTGTACACCACCGGCATCATTCTATCTCCTCCTCTCCATCCTCCGGGGATTCTCCCTACCGCGAATCCTCCACCTGGCAACCTCCAAATCGTAAGTCCAGCCGCAGAGTCTTCCTCTTCCTCATGAGCTACTACGGCGGAACCGGCGGTGGCAGTTACAACAGCACCACCACCGCTTACGTCCGTAATATCCTCAGCCGGTAGCTCGTGGCGGCAGACCGGGCAAGAGTTTCTAATCTCGAGCCATGGAAGGATGCAATCGGGATGGTAGATGTGGTTACAAGGCATCTCCCGAGCGGCGGATTCCAAAACGAAGTTCTCTTTGCAGACGGCGCAGTGGGATTGAGAATCCGATTGGAGATGAGTCGGATCGATTTCGATCACCGGCATAGCTTCGATCGCCGATTTAGAAGCCGGCGGATGTTCACACGAGCGGTTGTTCCGATTCGTGTTGAGCTCGATCTGAGAGATCTGATCTAACAACCGATCGAACCCAGAACCTAACAGAAACTCCGTCATACTCGGCGGCAACGGTCTAAGACCGGAATCCGTACCGTCGTCGTAATACATCTGGAAAGAGGATCGATCTAAGCCTTCGGAAACATCGGACGGACCAGATCCGCGGAGAACAATCACCGGATTAGGAGACCGGTTGCTCCGCGTTCGTGTAACAATGGCGGAGGAGGGAGTGGGACTGTTCTCGGCCGTGGAAGCGTGCATAGAGGAGGTAGTGGAAGAAGGAGGGAATCTGGTAGGGCTGCGATGTTGAGTAGTGACACGGTGGAAAGAATCGGAAGGTGTGAAATCAACAGGCTCCTGGATATGCTCGAGGAAACCGCCGTCGCAGTCAGGGCAGGAAATGGAATCGGCGATCCAGACGAATCGGCTGCAGCTGTAGCACCAGTAAGATCCAGAAGCCATGGGAATAGGGATCTGAAAGGGGGATGGGAAATCAAAATCTTGGAGAAGAAGAAAGCAACATGTGGAGATTTTGATTTTGATTGACTAGAAATTGAGTTTGAGAATCGAATCGAGAGGATAAACGGTGAAGAAGAGGAGAGAGAGAGGGAGGGAGAGAGAGAAAGAAGGCGGGTCCTGGATTGTCTTAACAAGAAGGATACAGAATTGGCGTGCAACCCAACCGTCCTTTTCGTGTGCTGTCACGTTCTCCTTCTCATCCCTCTTTTTGATTTTTCGGTGTTAAACCGTTTCAATTTCTTTCTTATCTCACAGTTATTTTCTTTCTTTCTCAACTGTAACCCGAATTAGTAACTAATTAATTATTATTACCAAAAAGCAACGGATTTTTAACATACAAAATTACAAATCTTACACTTATGATTCATGAAAGTAAAAATAAAGTTTCTAAGAGATTTTGTATAAATGTTTCTTTTTGCAAACATTGAAAAGGAATTCTGAATTTTATATACTTGTAGACTTGTAGTTGAAAGGAAAATATAAAAATGAGATTTCTTATTCTTTATGAAATTTATTGACATCACATTTTTGATAAATAAAATTAAGGATCCTTTGCACTGTTGTACGTTCCCGCCAGTTACATCAGTGAAGCGGAAGCCCATTCTAAAGCCCGCCGTACAAAGAAAAAGCCCATTACATGATCTAATTTTAATCCCAAAATAAGTGAATCAATCGCAGAGTTTCTTCCACTTCTTTGTTCCTTCAATTTTGGAGCCGACTTGATCATTTGCAGGTACGCTTGCTCTTTCCCTTACATCATCTTCTTCTTCGAGTTTCTCTTCCTGCTTAGCTGTTCCAAACTCTTCCATTCGATATTTAAGAGAACTTCTCTGAATTTCTATTTATAATCCGGAGAATATTCAATTTCGGGTAACATGAAATCATCCAAGCTCTACGAATTTTTGTGGGATGAAACAGCTCAGATCTCGTTTTTGAGCCTCAAATCGAAAAATATTTGCAAAATTTAGATTTCATTTTTTTTTCCTGGAGATTTCTTGTTTATGTTTGAGTGTGTGATCCTTATTGCTCGTAATTCAGTGGGAATATCTGATGAAGTGTCGTGTGCCTTCTCTTCTACCTGAATCTCTTTTGCTTTCTAATTTCTGTGTGTTCTTCTTAAGTCCCAGAATTGTTTCTCAATTCTCTGCTTCTATCCAATGGCTCATCATATACACTTTTGCATATGTATTTTTAATTCATGGATTGCTTTTTCACACACATTCAAGACAATTAGAATTTGAGGCTTACCGAATCATTCTCTTCCACAGTCACTATCTCACCAAGAATCTATAATTGCATCACAATCACAAGCTGTGATTTACAATTGTTGACAATATAAGATTGATTCTAATCACATGCTGTGGCCAACATTGACCTTTAGCTTTAGCTTGATTGTTTGTTATGTTGTTGACAATGAAATAACCTAAGCTTTGTTTGGTGTTTGGTCTTTTATCAAAGAGAGAAAACACACAAAAAAATGGGAGCTGCGAAACTTTCAGGGATGCAAAAGCAAGTGCTGAGTCTCTACAGAGGATTCTTAAGAGCAGCTCGTTCAAAGACAACACAAGAAGACAGGAAGAGGATAGAGACGATCGTGTCGAACGAGTTCCGTCAGAAATCCAAGGAGGTCGACCGCAAGAATTTCCAGTACATTGAGTATCTGCTCCGGTTAGGTACTAAACAACTCGACCAACTCAAAAGCCCTGATATGGTCAGCATCTCCTCCATCAAGGTCGCTACATCTAAAACCTGATCATTTTGCTTAGTCTCAGCCTTGAGCTTATTTGCTCTCAACATATTGTTTATGTAGTAGAATCATAGATAACAAAAGAGAGAGGAAGTTGATATATACACACAAAATATGTGCAACTAGTAATAATAATATTCAACTTGTGATGATGACTGATGAAGAAGAACTTCTTTGTAAGAAATCAAAACTAGAGTTTTGTTTCTGTTTTAGTTTATTTGCTGAAGAGAAATGGTTTATGACAAGGCAATTTTACAATATCAATGTTTGCACATGATCATAAAAAAAAAAAGAGGACAAAGACCCAAATCCACAATTACACAATAATGGAAAAAACAGGAAATTTTAATATAGAGAAAGCTCAAAAGTTGTAGACACAAGTTCCATCGTCACTTCTAGCCGTTGGATCAAAGTTTTTGGCCGTAGGATCAGTACACCCTTCCGGAACAGGCAAGTTTACTTGCTGGGCTGCTTTTCCTGCAAGTAAACACCAAAAGTTCAGAAAAAATCCTAATTTCCATTTCTTTTGTACCCTCTCTCTCTCTCTTTTCCAAATCCATTGGCTAAACCATAAAAAAAAGGAGCTTCAAACCTCGGTTTTACCGTAGAAAGTTCCGCGGCCAATGGCGTCAGCGTTTGCGTCTCCCAACGCAGCTTCGTTGAGGTATTGGTCAGCAAGTTGGACTCTCTTGACGTTCTCTTGCTCCATGACAAGCATGTTTCCGTATTCCATAAGCTTCGCAAGTGTCATCTCCGGTTGCTCGAACACTGGAGCTCCTTCCCTCGAGTTCACTAGCCTCTTTCCGATCTTCTCCACTCCAAGCTCTTCAACGAACTTCCTCACTTCATCATCGTACACTCTCGCCCTCAACGCACCGAAGAAATCTGTCCATAAAACACAAGAAAACCATCAGCATCCTGCAAAACACACGAGGAGTTCTTGCTAAGGTAAATCAAGATCTTGATTTTATTTATTACCGATGGATTGGCCAGGGAACTGGTCAACAAGCGTGACAATGTCTTCGTCGTTGATCTTGTCAGTCCTGAAGATACCCTTGCAGACACCGATACGGTCCTCACGGGTCGGGGCCCAGTAGAACTTCTCCATACGTCCGTCACGGATGAGAGGTGCGTAGAGAGTGGAGAAATCGTTACCGGTGACGATGATGGGGACACGTGCGTTGTCTTCCTTGTTGTACATCCCTGGGAGCTGGACGTTCGTTGGGTTATCAGCAATGTTCATGAGCGTCGCGTTAACCATCTGGTTGTTGACAGTGTACTGCGTTGTGCCACCCATACGACCCGCACCAGCGTCGAGATCGTTGATGAAGAGACAACACATCTTTCCTTTCTTGATCATGTCTGCTGCCTCACGGTACCTTTGACGGATCAGCTTAGCTGGCTCTCCTGCGTTCCCGCTCTCAAGCTCTCCGGCACTCATCATGATTGGGCTGCAGAAAGGTTCAAACTTTTTTTAGATTTTGATTCGAAACCGTTGCACATGAGTGTAAATGGAAAGTGGACTCACTTGATGCCCATCTTTTGCATGACAAGCTCACACTGGAAGGATTTACCTTGACCTTTGCCTCCCCAAATACCCAAAATAAGTGGAACCTATTGGCAAAAAGAGAGCATTTCAAGATTAATAAAGTTGGAATCTTTAACTGTGTAGATAACTCAAGATTCACCAATAGAAAAAAACAGAGCATTTCAATATTTTATTAAAGTTGGAACCTTTTGATGTGTAGAATAACTCAAAATGTGGTTAGTTAGTACCTTGATGTTAGGCAAAGTCAAGAAGTTCTTGGTGATGTGGACAACAAGCTTGTCCATGAAAGCAGGAGCAATGTAGAATCCATCCATCATGTTGTCCAAGTTGTACCTTTTTCAACAAGAAAGCACAATTTGCTTTTAAAACCACAGGTTTGAAAAATCAATGGAACTAATGAGGGAGATGGGAAACTTACTGCCTGAGGCCTTGGCTGATGTACTCGTAGGAGCTGAGGACAGCGTGGTGAGTTCCGGTTCCCATGGGAGCTTGGAAGACAGAGTCAACCAAACCTTTGCCTCTGGTGATGTCTTGCTGATCATCAGATGTGTCGTAGTAAAGTCCAGCCCATCTGTCTCCTTCGGTTTGTTTCTCTTCATCCACTGCAAACACTTTGAATGATCCCTTGCTCTTCTTGGTGCTCTGTGGGAATCTTGACGCTGTCACAACTTTCTTTCCCAAGAAGGCTGTAGCCGGGACTGAAGCAGCTCCTGCTCCTGACCCGTTTAAGCTCAACTGCATAACATCAAATTTTGGTTATTACTCAAGAGCCGGTTAAAAGACTATTGAACTAAACCAAAACAAACCAATCTGAGAACCAAAACTCTACAGTGTTAAGTGATCCATACTTTATTAGTTTCGTTTCAATTACTACACTTTTTAATTTTAACTGCAAGCGTCGGAAACAGAAACCGGTAAGAACAGTTCTACTAATTTGTAGTTCTCAAGTTGTGACTAAAAGTAGCATCTAACTTTTACTAGTTAAAGTCCAGATTCTGATGACATGTACTATGTAAGACAGAGAATCTCGAAGTGTTACTAAATTAGGAAAATTCAAAGATAATCAAGAGGAGATCAAACAAGTGTAACACAGAGTTAAAAGCATCATTTAAACCACTAATGAAATGGTAAAAAGGAGAGAGAATTACCGGAGCTCTGTTGATGGCACCGACGGTGGAAACTGCGGCGGCCATATCTGAAGAGTGTGCGTCACTTGAGAGAAGCTGAGGAGAGAATGTTGATTGGAGAAGAAGGAGTGATAGATGTTGGTGTGGGCAAGGAATGCAGAGATTTATAAAGCGAGTGATGATCAAACAATTTCGTTATCTCTTCTTTACTCTCTGATTGCCACACGATCCGGATTGGCCAAGTGCCACGTGGCGCCACGAGGAAGATGATGAGGAAATTTCTCTCTTGATTGGTCCACGTGGAATGGGTTTCTGAGGTTGTCGTCAAATAACTCATCTGTGCCACTGGATTTGTCTTTTTGGCGTCTTAAGCTTCGAGTGAAGATTATAACATTACTTATTACCACATATGCTTTCGAATTTTATTTTATTTTGCTTAAAGGATTTTGGGAAATTATTGTGTTTCTTTTTTCCTTTTGAGGATGAGCTAAGCCATTCATATGTGATCAGGAAACTTCTACATAATTCTTCATACAGTAAGATTCCAAATATTAGATAATGACATTACTTATCGATTAATAATGTTATCTGCGTAAACTTATTGACAGGGAGAGAGATTTGTCTATAGCCAATAGAATACTTATCGAATTCTATCATTAAACCAAATCTATACCGTACATTATTGCATATGAAGTTAACATTCTAACCATAGTTCTTCTTATCACTCCAGTTAAACTGATATTAATAGTTTAATCGATAATTTTACCTCTCTATGATGTAGTTTGTAGTTGATGTCCCAGCTTCACAAATTTTGTTGTGTTACAGTGTCATGTAATTGTGTGTCGATGTAAGAATCATATAAAGATAATGTTTCTTAAACTTTATTTGACATAATTTGTTGTTGATATGGACTCGAAGAAACTGCCATCGGTTCTCACACGCTGCCTTTATTACACCACTGGATACGAATTCTAATTATATTGGACATAGTATAAGAGTTTAACAATTTGATGCTAACATTACAAATTCTCCCTACAATCAATTAATAATTGTACCATATGGAACATTTCATATGGTACAATTGGTTATAAGATTGTTTGAGGTAATCAGATTGCATACCGTAGTGGTAGTGATCAGATTTACTGCCTTCCTGAGGTAAAATGGCGTTTCCATTCTAGCCAAATAATCGATTATCATACTCCAACATAAGGTTGTAGCTACGAGACCCTCCTTTTCTTGAAGCATGGTTGTGGAACAGTCTCTCCACATACTCCTCCGGCTCCATTCGTTGTCCCGATGATTGGGAATACAAAGCCATAAGTCTCGACAAGCTCCAATCGTCTTCACCCATCCTCGTCTTCAAGGCCAGGTGGTGTACGATTTTTATGTGACGAGTTAGGGGGTCCGGATTTTTAAAATCCACCAAACCATGATTCAGAAACAGTCTCATTACACACCTTGGTTCGGTTGAAGCAACCACCATCAGAAGATCAACTCGGCTAGTCATCAAACTATGCAGCTTATGAAATGTGCAGATCAACCCTTTCATACACTAATCAATTAAAATTATGTGAGATATGAGAGATCTGATAAGCTATTTAAGTTAACCAATTGTACCATATGAAACATTCAGTCGCCAAGGTTCCGTAGCTCAGTTGGTTAGGCGTTGGTCTTATGAGCCGAAGGTTGCGGGTTCGAGCCCCGCCGGAACCAAATACATAGTCAAATTTATTTCACATATATTAATTTTACCAAAAAAAAGGAGAAAAACATTGGGTGAATTATATATATTATTTTTTCATTAGGAAAATCTTTATTTTCTGTTTAAGATTCAAATTCGCTGATATATACTCCCTCCGTTTTTTTAAGATGAATTTTCTAGAATTTTCACACATATTAAGAAAAAGTTGATTTTCAATCATTAGTGTATAGATTTTGGCAATAAAACAACTTTCTATAAATTTAGACCAATAAAAATCTAACAAATCCAATTATTGTTTTTTGAAAACTGAAAAAGTACTTCAAAAAGCTAAAAATTTTATCTTTGTGAAACAACAAAAAATGTCCAGAAAATTCATCTTAAAAAAACGGAGGGAGTATATGAAATACATTGAAAAAAGAAAAACTTCTTTTTAGTTGATGGTATTTATAAAAAAGATCTGATTTGTGACCCAAACATAGTTGATTTGTTTATCTTATTTAAAATAGAAATTTCAATATTAGATTTTGCAACATTTTGCTTCTCAAATTAATTGACATAATAAAAGATTTTGAATGGATTCATTGACTAATTTCAATTATTCGTGCGCGTTTTGAGTATTTTGTGTGATTAATTCTTTGGAATTTTGCTAACTACTACATTTGCTTACTACAAATCTAAAGTGTATGCATGACTCTACGAATCAAAAAAAAAAAATCACAAAAAGTGGATTAGTTGGAATGACTAGATTAGAAGGATATAAACTTTCAAAAGATAGAGTGTTTATAAATTATTCAAAAGAGTACAAAATATTGCCATAACAAGCTAAAGGTGATGGATGGTTCTTGTTTTCTTTAGAGAGTGAAACTGAACTGAAATATTTTTATCGTCACATTGTTTTAAAATTATACATATCAATTTTTTACAATCCAAAAGGCATATACTTGATTGAATCTTGACTATCAATTTTAATATATTGTTGACAGAAAAGAAGAGTTTTCACATTGAAATTATAGTTGAGAGGTTTATTCTTGATACAAAAATTTGTGGAGTTATTTCATTATTTGATTTCACAAAACAAGTGTCGTTTTTTTTTTTTTTACAAACTTTACAAACTTAAAACGCATAGTTGACCATTTTATTTAATGGCCGAATGGTTTTTTTTCATCGAACTTATAGTTAAAAATTTTTACAGTAAATCTATAGTTGATGAGTTTTTTGTCTCGATTTTTTTACAAGTCTCTGTCCCTGAAGTTTGTCCCATATCCAGGGGCGGATCTAGTAATGGAGTAAGGTGGTCAAGTGACCACCACTAATTCTTAGATTTAATTGAATTTAAGCATATATTTATACATTGATTATTTGGTTAAGTTTTAGTGGTTTGAGCCCTACTAATTATGAGTTCCCAACTTTTGACCCCCTTATACACTTTTTCTAGCTCCGCTCCTGCCCATATCTGTAAAAAGATTCTTTATTTGACTATCAAAAAGTGAGAAAAAACAAAAGAAAAAATATAGGATTAAAAAGTTCGTGTTAAATGCAAGAAGACCATCTTTTTACAATACGTAGGACTAGCAGGTATGTTGTTTTAGACATGCAACATTATTTCGATCTTGTTATGTTTATTGAATTATTGTTAAACTTGCTACTTTCTTAAATCAAATCTCCAAAATGATCACCGTTTTTCTTCAGCCAACCATATCCCGTTCATTCAGTTTCTTTCAATTCATCTCACTTTAACAACTTTTATTTTTCTTCTTCATTTTACGATTCCACAATATTACTATTTTGTATTTATCAAGAAAAAAAAAGGAATATACTATTTTGTAATTGGACAATTTAGAATCCACCTAATATTTTACATTTTTGATCATTTTAATTGATTCAGTCAACCAAAATAAAGACGGGTTTCTTTGGTCTACTGACTAAATCCAAATTTTAAACCCTCCGCAGGAGGAGACTTTTCATTGTCTTCAGTGTATTTTGCTTCAAAGCTCTCAACTTTATCAACTTTATAGCAATCAATCTCAGTACGGATTGCTGATTTAGGGAGAGATCCCTAGATCGGAATTAGATTCTGGGTTCTAGGGAAAAATCGAATTCGCAATAACTCCTTCCTGATTTTCCGAGGAATCTCGCTGCACGGAAGAGGATTTTAGGAATTTGCTTTTGTTTCTCTTTCTTCCGAAAACAGAAAACTACGTAAGCTTCACTGATTCTCAATCATTTTTTTTGCTTCGTTATATCTTAATTCAGTCTAATGGATGCGAAAATGTTATGCTGATTCTTTTGATTCAGACCTTTTTGGGTAGAGTAGTCACAGTCCTGATGATACTAAAATGTAGGTAGAGAGATTAAAAAGTCTTGCTTTTTGGTTTTTAGTGACAAAGGTTGTTCCTTTAGAGTAGTAAGCGAGCAATGTTTAGGTAAAAATGGAGCCTTGATGTTTGTTCTGTAGCGATTTCTGGTTAAGCCGAGTTGGTTTTATCTCAAGAATGTGTGTTACTGTTTGGCTAACTTAAGGAATGTGTGTGTTTCTTGTAGAAGAGCGAGACGATGAATCGAAATCCAGTTTTGGATCCTACCCTTCAAGAAATTCTTCAAGTCATTAAACCCACAAGAGCAGATTGGGATACGAGAATCAGCGTCATTGATCAGTTGCGTAGTACTGTACAATCCGTAGAAGGCTTAAGAGGTGATGATGACCCTTGATGCAACTTTTGTGCTTCTCCCATTATTCTCATTCTGTATACAAATCACTTAATCGGATACTGAAAAAGGACGAAGTTGCTTATATGCCTATTTCTCTGTTTTGGGGATTGTTAGGTGCTACTGTTCAACCATTTGGATCCTTTGTGTCAAATCTCTTCACACGATGGGGAGATTTAGATATCTCTGTAGACTTATTCAGCGGTTCGTCCATCTTGTTCACTGGGAAGAAGCATAAACAGACTTTACTTGGAATGTTACTTCGAGCACTGAGAGCCTCAGGTGATTTCAAGTAGCTTTTGCTTCAAGTTTATTTGTTAGTCATGGAGATTCTTGTCTCATCTCCATTGTTATTGCAAAAACCAGGTGCATGGTACAGACTGCAATTTGTTATCCATGCGCGGGTTCCAATTCTGAAGATCGTGAGCGGCCACCAGAGAATTTCTTGTGACATTTCTATTGATAATCTGGAAGGGCTATTGAAGAGCAGGTTCTTGTTCTGGATCAGCGAGATTGATGGGAGATTCCGCGACTTGGTTTTGCTAGTAGGTTAAACACAATGCTAATGTAAAACCAAATTCGTGTGTTTGTGTTTCCAAAGGTTTAATTGGTTTATACGTATATGTATATGTGTATCTGTTTCTACCTTTATAGGTGAAGGAATGGGCCAAAGCTCATGACATCAACAATCCGAAGAATGGGACTTTCAACTCTTACTCTCTCAGTTTGTTAGTCATCTTCCATCTTCAGGTTAGTTCATAGACTCTCTCTTGCATTTTGCAGTTACTGCTTCATTGTAAAACATGGCGTTTTTAATATGTTCTGTGTTGTTTGTTGCAGACATGCGTACCTGCGATTTTGCCGCCTCTAGGAGAGATATATCCGAGGAGTGCTGTTGATGATCTGAAAGGTACCTTCTATGAATTGGTTTTGAAGCCAAAACCACATGAATCTTTATGAGGTTTTGGGATGATATTTGGCTGCAATGGTCTCTTGTAGGTGTGAGAAAAACTGCAGAGGAAAGCATAGCGCAACTTTCTGCTGCTAATATAGCGAGATTCAAATCAGGCGCATCAAGATCAGTCAATCGAAGCTCTCTCTCTGAGCTTTTGGTCTCGTTTTTTGCAAAGGTGATTAGATTTCTCTAACAGTTTCTTAGCTTAAGACTCTTAACATTGACTATAGAACTCTTGATAGAAACTATTCTCTTGATTTTTCTGTGGCTGCTGTGTTTATCAGTTTTCAGACATAAACTTGAAGGCGAGAGAGCTCGGTGTTTGTCCGTTTAATGGAAGATGGGAGAACATAAGTAACAACACTAGATGGCTGCCTAAGACATACTCACTCTTTGTAAGTCAACTCTTTCATCTTCATGTCTGCAACTGCAATGCACAACTACACTTGAATCTCCAAACTTAAGTGTGCAAATGGTGTGATTTTTTAGGTTGAAGATCCATTTGAGCAACCAGAGAACGCAGCAAGGAGTGTGAGCCGTAAAAACCTGGACAGAATAGCAGAAGTGTTTGAGATGACATCGCGGCGTCTTGCCTCAGATTGTAACAGAGACTCCATCGTTGTGGCTCTAACATTGCCACAAATTTCACAGTCTTTGTGCAGAACAACAAGCGTCCACAACCATCATGGAAACGGTAATGCTCATAACCTGCGTGGTCATCAGTCTAGGCCATGGAGCCAGCAGAACAATATCCAGAATCCGCCATATTGGCCAGCACCAGCACGGTCCCGACCGCCGCAACAGAACTGGTCTCAGCACAACACCTGGTACCCGCAGAGACAACAAACACCTATCCAAGGGCAAACCACACAAGCTCAGTCGCAGCAGAAAAGTCAATATAAGAACGGAGTACGACCAGTGAGAACCACATCATCTGCAGGTTCAAGTCAGAATCAGGGTCACATTGGTAAGCCATCAGGTCAAGTTAATGGCGTGAGACCTGCTGCACCAATAAGTCAAAGTCAACGTGGACAGATGTGGAGGCCAAGACCCTCCTAAGCAGTAGACACTTCTTCACATTATTTTGGACGAAATTGTATTTTTCTTTTTCTTTTCTATGGATCCATTGTTACAATCAAGAGATTTGCAATTGCAGAGTTGTTGTTACTTTTTGGTCGAGGACTAGGTAAAGCTTTACTCAGTAAACACACCACAGTCAAATTTACAGTTACATATATTGAGTCAATAGGAAACAAAAAGAAATACAAACAATAAAGAGATATTACCAAACAATATATGTTGTGTAGACTAAGTGGAGTAATATATGTCTTGGTATTAAGCTCGAAGGAGACGCTTCTCGCATGTTAGAATCCTGTAGCTAGCGTGAGGACCCTCTGATGTGTCACGCAGAGACGTATGCCAACCCATTGCCTTTGTGATCTCTTGGATCTCATCCATAACATCAATCGAATCCCTTATGTATGCTCTTCCTCCAGGTCTCAATATACGGTCCATCTCTAACAATATGGTCGACATCTCGCATCTGATACAGCCAGTAAAAGTTAATCCATGAAATGTTAACGATTGTTTAGCATTATCACTATGGAATTGAATTTACCTTTTTCTCTCGACTGAGAAGAGTCCTGAGGCATGTAAGAAGTCGTATGTCCTCGGGTATGTATCAAATGGTTCACACCTGAGGTTAAATGCACGATTTATCAAATATGAGCAAACATGAGCAGGAAAAGCAAGAGGACATGTGATAAGGAAAACAACAGCCTCTAAAGAAGCCACGAATTTCAAACGGTTATCAATTATAGGTTGCACAATTTTATGTGTTTTTTATAAGATAGATTGGAAGGAGAAAAAGCAGTACCAATCGTGCATCACTCCTAATAGTCCTCGGTCATATATGACAGGCAATGTGTTTGGGCCGCTGACAGGAACCACACTGAGAACCCAGCAATCGAGTTTATGATCATTTAATGCAGCTGCAAATCTGCCAAAACCAAAGGAATCAAAGAAAGATGGATAAGCTAAGAAACTGTGGTACTATAACGTCATAGTACTTAACAGAAAATTTTCATTTCATACCCGCCAAAGCCTGCTCTCATATCCAAAACGTTTCTTAGTTTCATCCTTTTCCATTTCAAGGCACGGATATAGCCCCCAATGATTTCATTCCAGAATCTCGACTCTGCCTTGAATAGCTCGTTCCTAGCAATGTAGGAATCAAACTGTATCGTCTGCAGCCTATCAGGTGGAGTGTGGAGACGGGCAGGCCATGAAGGAACCTTGCCTCCAGATCCATTCTCAGGTATGCGACTGATACAAGGTTTCAGGTCTGTGTACCTAAACCAAGAACAAAACAATGTGAGAACAAAGAAAGTGTGATTTTTTGCACACATTGTCACAGTCCAAGTCTATATGCAGACTTGATGCAATTCTAGCAGCATAAAGTACATATAGCCTTTCCTTGTATCACAAACAAAGAAAGACAAAAAAGGTTAAGCAGCTGTACCAAACACTATCCGGGTCATCAGATTCATCACAAAGAGGAGGTTTGGTTCCAGCCTCTCGACTTAAATAACAGTTGTTGTTGAGAGGCTTCTGCCAGATTGCAATGTATCCTTCCTTACTTATCAGCTTCCAGCAAAGGCTATTCGTAAGATTCAGCATCTCTGGAAAGCAAAACGTGAGACTAAATGAGTAGAGATATGGGCTGATTCGAAGTAGCAAATGAAAAAAAAAAAAAATACTCTCCCTATACCCACAAAGACAAAATATGGCCAGTTGGAGTAAAAAGGGTTATCGTTTTAAGTTTCCATGTTCCTCATTTTCTCTAACAAATCTACGTCCCATGATTACTAACTCCAAGCAGATTAAAAGGGTCTTACCTGTCCATTGTTCTTCCAAAGCGGTTTCATGCTTATAAACAGGCTGTGCAGCCCAAGCAAAATATCCTCCAGCCCGCAGCATTCTATTGATCTCAAGGAGCAAAATTCCATCTTCATCACAAAAAACGAAACAGCAGAATGAGAATTTTCTCCACAAGGAATAGATGTTAAAGCGTAGTTAACCATAGGAATTAAAAACTACATTGGGTGATGAGAGAACCTTACCATCACGAGTCCAGTTGATTCTACACCTTGAACAATGAATAAGATCAAAAGCTTGGCTTGGATATAACAAACGCCTTGTAGCAAACGCTGCCGCCATAGCAGGCACACCACGCTCAAGAGCAAACTGAATTTGGTTCTCGTGGACATCTTTTGGTGCAACAGACATTGTCAACACATCGCGTGACAATAGATAAGCACCAAAACTCGCCACACCACAACCAACGTCCATAGCAACCCGAATACTCTTGCCAAACTTGATCTCAGAAACCATCTGCAGCAACAAATTCGAAGTTCAACATCAGATCAAAAGATAAAACAGATAGATGATGTGAAGCAAGCAAGAACAACTACAACTTCTTGAAAAATGATCAACCTTGGAGATCTGGTCTAAGTACTCGCCAGCTCCATGAATAAACTGAGTACCGCCTCCAGGAAACTTGAACTTGCTCTTGTCTTTTGGGTCTCGTGAGATCCAGTTCTGGCCTCCTTTATCTTCAACAAGCCGAGTATGAGGAACATTGCTAAACCACACCTATCCGTATAAGAAAAAACCACCTCCAAACTTAAGCAAATCAATTCTAAATACTAATTAAGCAAACTTCAACACATGTTATCTGAGCTCAAATGCAAACAAGAGGAGTACCTCGTCACGGCTTTTAGGCCATGGAATCGGCTGCCGGTAGCCTTTAGGAGGAGGAACCAAGCAATTCAAGCCTTTACCTTTCTCAGGGCAATGACGCTCGAATCGTTCACCTTTCTCCGTCGATTTGAGCTTCTTAATCGCATCAGTGTTATCCAAACAAGGAATATACTCTCTCATGCTCTCAGGACACATTCCGAATTTCTTAATTCTAAACTTAGGCCTAGAATCGCCGTCACTTCTCGCTTGGACGATCTCCGTCTGGTTTCCCCAGTCTTCCACGGAGTCGGTCTCAACATCTCCCACCTCGAAATCGTCAGACATGACGCCGTTCGCATCTACTATCCCGAAGCTCTGAATCGGACCAGGCGGAGGAGGAGGAGAAGGCGGAGGAGGAGGTGGAGGAAGAGAGGGAGGAGGAGGATTAGCCTCCACTTTCTTAATCTCATTCTCCGTCTTCGTCTCCGTCACCACCGACGGAAGCGGCTGTGTTGTGGCGGGGATTTCAATCTCGGTATGATTTGCTGGAATGATTGCGGATAGATTGAAGGTCTTGTTACTGTTCGGAGAGATGGAAACCTCCGGGATCGAGCTCCCGGTGGCGGAACTGGAGAAGAAGACGAGCTGCTGGTAGCCATCGTCGGACCAGTGCTTCCCTAAGTAGAAGAAAGCGACGGTGACGAGAACTAAGCCGGAGATCTTGATCAGCGTGGGGCTTTTGAGCAGATCGCCATTCGCGAATGGCTTCATTTGCTTGCGTATGAAGGATCAGCGATCTTCTGGATCTGCCCAGTCTTCGTAACTGTGCGTGTGTGTGTGAGAGAGAGACTAGTTAATTTCCAGCAAAAACACCATTACTCGTAAAAATCCAATTTACAAGTTGCAGATTCTTTATACTAAAAGGATCTTTAATTAATTGGCAGTTGTATATAAAAAAATAAAGGTCTTTATAATAAGGTCTTTAATTAATTAATGAACATTTTGAAATATAAAAAAATAATTTATGATTTTTATTAATTTAAAAACACACAGAAATAAGGCGAGGACGATTTTCCCCCAAATTCTCATAATTTCTCAAGCAACTTCATCGTCAAGGTTATCAAATTCCGATTCATGTAATTTCCCATTTTCAAATCAGTAAAAAGATTGACGACGGCGAAGATGAGCACCGCCGGTGCGGAGCAGCTGAATCCGGATTCCGTGTCGATAACGGTCATGGAGTCGGTGAACGGGTCGCACCAGTTTACGATTAAGGGTTTCTCTCTGGCGAAAGGCATGAGCCCAGGGAAATTCATACAGAGCGACGTCTTCTCCATCGGCGGATACGACTGGGCGATCTACTTTTACCCCGACGGGAAGAACCCAGAGGACAACTCCCTGTACGTCTCTCTCTTCATCGCTCTGGCGAGTGATTCCAGTGACGTCCGGGCTTTGTTCGAGCTTACGCTCATGGATCAGAGCGGCAAGGAGCAGCACAAGGTCCACAGTCACTTTGATCGCGCCCTCGAAGGTGGTCCTTATACGCTCAAGTATAAAGGAAGCATGTGGTAAGTAATTGCTGCTTCTCTTTCGTTTCTATGGTTTTCGAATTTGGAATTATCATATAGCCACATTTTGTTAGGGTTCATTTTCTGCTTGAATTGCATGTCTCTGTTGAAGAAGAGTTTCCCCTGGAATCGTGTGTGTTTGTGCTTCTCTTTGCTTATATGGAAGTTGGTGATTCTTTTGCAGGGGTTACAAGCGCTTTCTAAAACGAACATCTTTAGAAGGCTCTGACTTCTTGAAGGATGATTGCCTTATCGTCAATTGTACTGTTGGCGTCGTTAGAGCCAGGCTTGAAGGTCCAAAGCATTACGGCATTGTGCTGCCACCGTCGAATATGGGTCAGGGATTGAAAGAATTGTTGGATTCCGAACTTGGTTGTGACGTAGCTTTCCAAGTCGGAGATGAGACATACAGAGCTCACAAACTGATCCTCGCAGCACGCTCACCGGTTTTCAGAGCTCAGTTCTATGGACCAATTGGGGATAACAATGTGGATAGGATACTGATAGAGGACATCGAGCCTTCTATCTTTAAGGTAATGGTTTGTTTAATATTTACATTGTGAATGTTTAGTTGCAACTATTCTGCTGATGACTTGGGGGATCTTGGGAATTTTGGTAGGCTATGCTTAGCTTCATCTACACCGATGTACTTCCTGATGTGCATGAGATTACGGGGTCGGCTTCTTCCAGTTCGTTCACAAACATGATACAACATCTCTTGGCGGCTGCTGATCTCTATGACCTCGGAAGGTTGAAGATGCTATGTGAAGTTTTTCTCTGTGAGAAGCTCAATGTTGATAACGTGGCAACAACACTTGCACTGGCTGAACAGCACCAGTTCTTACAGCTCAAAGCCTTCTGCTTAAAGTTTGTTGCATCTCCAGGAAACTTGAGAGGTGAGTGTTGCATATATACTGATTTTTATATGCCTATATAGATGTTCTTTGCGTATTTCTCATGGTTATATATGTTTTCTTGCTTCAGTTGCAGCAGTATTGTTATGTGATGAGAATATGAGATAGTAGAATGTATAGGTTCTGGATTGAATTAGTGTTACTATTAGTGCTGTCATGGAACTTATCTCATTACATACAACTTGAGCTGTGTCTTTATATTGGAAAATTATAGCAGGCGTAATTGAGAGAACATGTTTATGAAACTTTATAATAGAATCTCATATAGTGAAAGAAATTTGAGCCGCTTGCTTTCCTCGTATGAATGATCATCTGCTTTTGTGTGTTTTCTCTGATCCAAATTATATCTTGCTAGTATATACTGAAATCTACGTTTCTTGTTTTGTGTTCAATTTCGAAATAGGAGACACCCTGTTTGATTAGACGGCATGAAGTTTATCCTCCTCAATTAGGTTATTACTGGACTAAAAAAAGTAGTGGTGTGTTTTGTGTAGCCGTAATGAAGTCTGAAGGGTTCAAGCACTTGAAACAGAGCTGTCCTTCTTTGATGTCTGAGTTACTGAACACGGTTGCAGCGGCGGATAAGAGCTCGGCGAGTGGACAATCAAACAAGAAAAGAAGCGTGAGCAGTGTGTTGGGCTGTGATACAAGCAATGCAAATGTGAGGCAAGTGAGGAGGAGGGCATAGGATCAAATCCGAATGCAAGGAAAGCTTTGTTATAGAGAAGAAGAAGAAGAATTTTGAAAAGTGGCTTAGAGAGAGAAGCAAGAGGAAGAAGGAAGAAGGACTCGGCGAGGTTTCACCTATACATTAATGTCTCTAGTCTACTATGTCGTTTTATTATTAAGAAACCTTATGTGATGTATTTAAATAGCAACCCAAGTTCAAAGTTCCCTTATCTTATGAATGAACAGTGCTCTTCTCTTCTTATTTCTTCTCCATATCTTACCCAACTTAACTTAACTCTTTAATCACATTCTCTTTTTAATAGATATGAACCTATCTAGTTGTGCCATTGAAAGCTAGCAATGGCAACGAGTTTCGTTACAAATTCAAGTGTTCGGTATTATAATTGTCTAAAGTTTTTCTTTAGCTGATTCCAACATTGTTAAAAATGTAGTTAAAAGTTATAATATATTTTCTTCTTAGTTAAATTAGCGTATTTTATACTCCTATAGACTAACACAAGTTTTTAAGTCAAAATCAAAAGTAGAACGGGTTTTAGTATTCAAATGAATCCATATGTGAAAGGTATATGCTTATTAGTAATATTACAAAAATAACTTAAAATTTCCAACATTGTTTAAAATGTAGTTAAAAGTTTATATATATATTTTCTTCTTAGTTAAATTAGCGTATTTTATATAGACTAACAAGTTTTGATTCAAAATCAAAAGTAGAATGGGTTTTAAGTATTCAAATGCATCCATATGTAAAATATTTATGCTTATCAAATAATGTTACAAAAATAAGTAAAAATTACATTAAGAGATGCAAAATGGATGAGAGGAAAAATAATAAGCTTCGACTGCACATAAAATACACATAACACACTAAGGGGGTGTATTAAACTTAGGATTTGGAGTGATTTAAGGTGAATTGATTTTTAGTGAGTTTTAAGATGATTTTGTGTGAATCATAGAAGTTCAAGTGATTTTAGTTAAATCATTCTGAAATCTCATCTAAAACCATGTGATTTGGAGTCTCTTATTTCTAACAAAGAAATCTCACCAAATCACTCTAAAATCAAATCTATCTTTAAAAAATCTATTTTTATAAATATATTTTTAATAACAGTAGATTTTAAAGTTACAAATTCAATAACACTGGATTTTAAATGGTTTTTAGAATTCAAGTTTAAATAACACTAGATTTGTCATTTTAATACAAATCACCCCAAATCAAATCCCAATTTCGATACATCCCTTTAGGAGTAAAATAGAAAAAGTTGTTTTGTCTAGTTATGTTTGTGTTTCTTTATGGTCATAACACACGCCAATTCCTCTATGTTTGTATTAAACCTTTTATTTTTATGTTTTTTGGAAAAAAAATTTAAGCAAGGGATTAACGAGGAAAGTCATTACCCTAAAAATATGTGAAGAAAAAGAAACAAGATAAGAGTAGATGCTCCATGGTTCTTGTAATGCTCTAAAGAGATCAAAATCTGGAAATAGGACAAGAGATCGTCAGGAAGAAAAACACGACGAGAGATGAAAAATTGGAAAAGAGATCGTCGGGAAGAAAAAGAAATCGTTGAGAGAAAAAAAAACGAGAAGTTCTATAAGAGAATAAGGTTCAGTGAGACGACGAACTAGATGGTCAGAACTTTGTTGTTTTCTTGACCTTTCTTGAAAACGAACAAAAAAGAAGCTTTTAATGGTAGATAGCCAGCCAGTCCTAGTATATATCCTCTCTTTTTTATATTTTGCCCTCTCTTTTAAAAAATTAAAAAATGCTTTATTAGTTGGTAATATATCACTCTTTATCAAAACAATCTTTATTGAAGGGCAAAATGTTTAATTGTTACCAAAAGATAACACGTGAAATTGACAGGGTATTTTAACAACCACAAAATTTGAAAAGCGATAAGTGTAGTCGGAGAAAAGGGATAGCAAGGACCATTTCATGCATAGACACATGTGTTTCACATACACACTATTACTCTGTGGTTATTTGCCATCAGATTCTTTCACAACATGTGACCAACCCGAGAACAAGTTAAAGATTCGCCAAAACTGGAGCAAAATGTGAACAACCTGTTTTTTCATCATGTAGTAATGTTTCTGCCAATTATTTACATGTCTCAACTAAGAACTGATGATATGACTCAAATCAAAACTTCGACCTCTTGTCTCAACTGATTTACCATCACCAATTGCACCACTAATCACCTTACACTGGCTTGCATTATATTCAAAACCGAATCTTTGCTGCAAACCATTCGGTAGTGAATGCAGATTAGATAGGCCGGCCAAGAAAAAGTTTGGGCCCTGTGATCAAAAGGATTTTGTAGTTAATTTTTAAAAGTTGGGATAGTTTTGTAATGTTTTGGAAAATTTGGGGCCTGTGATCAAAAGGATTTTGTAGTTATTTTCTTTGTCTTTGAGTTCTCCTGATCAGCAGTTTTGGACTTGGCTTTGGATATATATGGTGAAATAGAGATCTGAAAATATATCGTTTCCTCAGAGAAAACCGCCCATACTGAAGTCGTATTTTTGTGAGAAAAGACCCTTTGTGTGTGAAGAGAGATGACTAGCAAATAACACTCGTTAGTATGCAAAATTTGTGAATTACGCACGATGGCTTGTGTTTCAAGTGAAGCCACCAGTTTTCTTACAGATTGTGTAATTACTCGCGCAGGTCACTTTATACGTACGTTGAATGACTTGACTTGTCACTGAAGTAAATTCAAAACCAAGAACAAACTTTTGTTTCATTTACTATATAATGTTTCTGTTTCTGCCAATTATTTACATTTCTCGACTTATTAAGAACATGAGAATAAAACTCAAATCAAAACCCTAAAAACTTCTACCTCTTGTTCAAACCCCCTAATCAAATCCCTAAAAACCTTACAATTCTCTTGAAGAAACATAATCAATCTTTGAAAACTCCTCTAACTTCCATCAATCGGAATCCTCGAAAGCAGCCATAGAGATCCTCTTACTCAACTGTTTCCTGAACACAAACCTTTTGGAGTCAATAGCCAAGCAAACCTTTCGAGTCGTGTAGTGCCGAAACATCCAAACCGTGACGATATCGCAAAACTCCCTGAGCTCATAATCTCCGACGAACTTCCTCCACCCCGTCGTCAAACCAAACGAATGCTCACCAAACCACATCTTCATCTCATGAACCTTCCCGTCCGGTCCATACACCGAAACCTCAATCCCATCTTTACCACTAAGAAGAGGCAGAAACTTCTTCGCCGCTTGAGATTTCGCTAACGTCAGCTTACTACTCCTCTCTTCTTCAACGCTTACGTCACTTTCCGTCAGCTGCTTTCGAATCGGTCTGCTGCATTGCTCAACCAGGCCGCCGTAGATGATCTTGTCCGGTGGATTCGCCGGCATTTCCCATCGGCAAAGTAAGCTCAACGTTTGTTCGGAATCGTCTTCGTCTTGGTCTTTCGGCTCCACTTTTACTTCATACCTCTCAGTACGTTTTCTCCTGACTACAGAGGCCAAGATCTTGTCTAGGTCGACTTCTTCTTTAGCCTGATCATCTTGATCCTCCTCGGCTTCTTTGTTCTTGAGGTCGGTTTCATCGCTCGAAGCTCTTTCTTCTTCTTCCTGATCATCGTCGTCTTCGTTTGTCTCTGTCTCCGGTTGCATGTTTCTTTGATTCTCAGCTTGGGTTATGTCTCGGATAAACGCCATGTGGCTTATCGCGAACGAAGCAGTAACGATTTCGTCCATTTCTTCTCTTGCTTTGTCTTGATTAGCGTCTTCGTCTTCGTCTTCCGGTTCTTTGTTGAGGTCAATTTCTTTCTTCGGGGGTGCTTCTTCGTACAGGTCCGCTTCGTCTTCGTCTTCATCTTCCGGTTCTTTGTTAAGGTCGAATTCTCTCTTCGGGTGTGCTTCTTCTGCTTCGTTTGAATCTAAACTTCTTGCTCGCTTCTTTGAAAACGCCATGATCTCTGTTTCTTTCTTCTCCGGGGCAGTTATTATCGTTAGAGAGACGATAAGAGTTTGTTGGGATTTGCGATCGAGTGAAATGGAATGTGATCAATATGCAAACTCACTTCCATTATTTATAGTACATATGGATGACATTCGCTATTTTGTTTTTTCAATAATACAGGTTATATTGATATTTATATATCAGGTTAATTTGGATCAGTTTAAAAAACCACCTTCTCTTAGATGTCATCCAAAACATAAAATTTAATTTTATCAGATACGTTCACAAAATCTGAACAAACCAAGAACTAGTTAAAGATTAGCCAAAAACCATTTGTTAAATATTATTTATTTTAAACAAAATTTTCGAGAATTTCCAATAGGAAACCTCTAAACAATCCACTACTAAGAACCCCTCATAGACTCAAATCAAAATCCTAAAAGCCCATTTCTTCTTCTAAAATCTCATAAATACCCTAAATATATAGAAAAAAAATCCTCATTAATCTTTTAGCCAAAACAAGATTTAATTTGGTAGAAGATTATTGAATCCTTATCAATCCTAGAATTGCCCCAATCTATTTCAAAATACCTAATCTGAAACCTAGAGCTTGAAGGCAATCTTCGAGATCCTTCTACTCAACTGCCTCTTTACAGGAAGCCTAGTGGAGTTAATAGCAAAACAAATCTCACGAGTCACTACGTGCCTAAACATCGAAATCGTGAGAAAATCGCAATGCATCTTGAGCCCATAAGTTGCCACGAACTTGTTCCATCCGCACGTCAACACAGGTGTCTTCTTATTCCACAACTTGAACATCATTTCATGAACCTTCCCGTCTGGTCCGTAAACCATAACCTCGAGCCCGTTTGTCCCACGTGGAATCTCTGATTCTTTGAGAAGGGGAACCATCGTCTTCTCCACTTGAAGCTTCCCTAACATAAGCCTGTTCTGATCTTCCTTCACGTCGCTCTCCGTTAGCTGCTTCCGTATCGGTTTGCTGCATCGTCCCACGATCTCTTCAGGTCGAATCTTCGTTCCGTTGATCCATCGGAGGAGTAGGTCTAATGTTTCTTCGGAGTTGTCTTCCTCCACGATTTTCCTCCTCTTACGCGCCGACAGAGCTTGAGTATTAGCATCAGCTTCGGTTATGTCGCGGATGAACATCATGTGGCTTATCGCGAAAGCAGCTCTAACGATATCGTCTTGGTCTTCTCTTTCTTTCTCTTCTTCTAGAGTTAATCTTCGTGTCATTGTTCTCTTCTTCGAAATCGCCATTTCTTCTCTTTTTTTCTGTCTCCGGGAAAGCTGCCGTGAAATGCAAGACTTATCTAGGGTTTTCTGTTTCCTTTTCTCTCTTGTCAAAGTCTTAAAATGTGAATCATTTCCTTTTCTTGTGTCGGTTGTTTGTCGGCAAAATCATTGCATAAATGTGTAAGGTTAATGGAAAGATTGTTTAAGGCCCAAATTATATTTAGTTTTAAAGATGTGAGGCCCAAAACATTCACTGAATCCTCTTTTATAATGTTAAAAATATCATTCATAAATGATGTGATAATTACGAAATCAAGTGGGGAGTAAAGAAGAAGTAGAAGAATCTATGGGCAAAACGTCGGTGGGTCAAAGCTGAAATCAAGGGGCTGCCTAACTCTTCAATTACTTCATGACGTTGCTTAGTTGTATTTCCACAATTTTTCTTGTAATCTTAACTTTCTTATATTGTCATTGGTGGCGTGTATTTGTCAAAATGGAATATGCTTTAAAGTTTAAACGTTTGACCCCAAAAGAAAAAAAAGAGCTTAAGTTCTCGTATAATTTTTATAGTCAAAGAAATATCTTAAGTAGTCTTTGTTCATGAATCAATTAATGTTATGTATACATTTTATGTTGTGCCGTCAACGCGTAGGCTGATTTGAATCTTTCGACAAAGAGAAAACTGAATAGGAATTTCATTTGTCTTGAATCCTTGAATTCATAGGTAATAGATAGCAACAGAAGAAGAAAGTCAAAGATTGTATTGGGTCTACATTGGGTTCCTAAACTCAGAAAATTGTACTATTGAGGCATGAGAAGAAATCTTTAGAAGCCACCACTTCAAGTGATTTCGCTTCTTAAGTGTTAAAAATTTAGAGAGTTGTGATTTTTAGTTTAGTTTGTGTTTCTTAATTCCTAAAACATTTGAACTGCTTAGATTTATTGGAGATTTTGGATTCTAGTTAGTTTTGGTTAGTATAACGTGTGTACTATGTACTATAGAGATGGGCATAGAAATATTATTTTATCCTGTCATGGTCAAATTTTTGGAGGTTTTTGATGATTGCAAGGAGGCGGTAGATTTAGTTCCTTTGAATGCAGCCAATTGGTGGGGTACTTTATGTATTTGATTCCTTCTAGTAGTGTTTTTGTCCCAAAATAGTTGTTTTTTCTTTCAATTTTTGGTTACCCAAAATCACGTTTTTAATGTCTAAATTAGTTAAAAGTTATGAAGTAGTTGACAGAAAGAAAATAAGTTCATTTTCTACCTAGTCTAATAGCTTATGCAACTTTCTTGCAAACACTTTATTTACGTGTTGTAATCTAAACATGTTAAGATACAAGAGGTCCAAAATTCAACTGATGAAACAAGATTTATATACATACATTCATGCATTCATACATTCATACATTCATACAAAGATCTAAAACCAGGATTAAACATTTTGATAGTTTAAGTAGACAAATCACTTTCTTTTAAATTCTTGATAGGCACCATTATCTTTCATTAAATCAAAAGTATAAAGAAAAATAACAAAGGTAACATGTCGATTGCACCACTATATACTTATAAAATCCAAAGTATTAAGAAAAAGAGAATAAGATAAAAAAGCCAAAGGTAACATGTCCTATCACGTGGGGAAGAAGGTAAACTAAAAATATTCAAAGAAACTGTAAATTGTAAGGTGGAGAGTGGAGACAAGCAAACAATAATTGGAAGAAACAAAATTAGGAAATGTGAATCATGTGATGGATCAAAATACAGGTATATTCTAACTAGCTCTTTTAGTGTTCACAGCCTCTGCCACGCAGCTTCTTCGCTCTTATCCAAAAGATTGCCAAATTGGCCCCCATTACAAAGACATTACACAAAACGATTATACGAATGTTTTTTCTAAATCAGGCTGCATTCGAAATAGAATCTGCAGATTCTTAAAAATCTAAGATACAACCATTGTGTAAATTTCTTGTAAATTTGGTCCACTCAACTTAGTTTACCAAAGAATTGGCTTTCTATCTATGTATGTATGTGTAGCGATAAATGTAAAATGTTTTCACTTGGTTTCGGGAAAATATGAGTTTTATGCCATGCTCGACCGGTTCTTCTTCATTATGTGGATGTCAAAATCTTTTTTTCTCTAAAACTTTTAGTTCCTTATTTTCTAAATTTATTTATTTTTTGCAATGCATGGTAAGACACTATCATGTTGGATATTGATCACCGCTATGATATATTATAGTAATATACATTTTAATTGATAAAGTAATGCTTTACCCCACAAACACACACATCTACATTGAAAAGTTAGTTTGTGGAAAGAAAAACTAACTAACAAAAATAATATCTTCAATCCCACAAATTAAACATAACTTCAATAATTACCTACACTTTAAAGATCATTATTTATGATATAACTATCGCTATCATTAGCCAAAATATGAACTTTGTAGATCTGGTTGTTGGTTTGATATATTTAAGATAGTTTATTTTAGAAATAAACACGATAATGGCTCTTCATAGAGTTAAGGATATACTAATGGGTTTGACCATCTGATATTTCTGATGAGAGATTGTGGATTGGTAAGCATTCTACGCCACAGTGGACCTTTACTTCCTAACCAAAAAAAGTCAAAATTTTTAATGTACAAATTAAAAATATTTTACAATATGGTAATATTATTATTTTTATACCATTTGTTAAATCGTTATCTCCAGTCCACGGTGTATATAACACAGGCGTGTTCTTTGATAAAACTTGCCTTTGATTTGCCAACGGACGCTCTTTCTTCATCACAGCTCAGCCTGACCGCAACTCTCAGGCTGTTCTCTCTCTCTCTCTCTTTCATTCACGGAGAAAAGGGCTTTAACCTCCAATTCTAAGCTCAGATCTTTCGATCCGCTGAGATCTCCTCCAAGGTAAATGCCTGCAATTTCTTAATGTTCTGCATGTTCCCTTGAGTTTTTTTCACCGCTTGTGATTTGAAAATTCTGTCGGTTTCTGGGTTTTTGATGTACAATTCTGCGGATCGGATTCTAAAGGATGTGGATTTGAGTGCTTGATGTTCATCGATTGTGACTAATCTCGAAAATGATCAACCTTTAGATTCCTGAAGTTTCGTTTTTTTTGGTCCGATCTGGGTTTAAGCTGAGATTTTTGATTATGCTAATGACGTGACGCAACATTTTACATCGGTTTGGTTGAGCTAATGTATCTGATCAGCAGCTGAATTTGGCAAATGTGATTGTTTTCTCTGATTTCTTAGTGTTTTTTGTTGTATCATTTTGATCTGTTACTTATTGTGCTGTGGATCTGAAATCATTAGCCTTTTCTCTCTAATTGATGTATTGTTTGCTGTTTTGAATCCATCCCATGGAGCTTCATTAGATCTAAATGCTCGTTTTCATTTGTCGGTGCTCTGTTTCATACCATTCATTCACTTGTTAAGATCTGACATTGGCCTTTACAGGGGAGAGACGAGTTTAGTACAATCAAAATGAAGGCACTCATTCTTGTTGGAGGCTTCGGGACTCGTTTGAGGCCATTGACTCTCAGTTTCCCAAAGCCGCTTGTTGATTTTGCTAACAAACCCATGATCCTTCACCAGGTACTAATCTATAATCATATTTGATATCTTAATGACTTCAGTAATTCTTTGTTTTTAACTGAGGCATGTGTTCTTTGTAGATTGAGGCACTTAAGGCAGTTGGAGTTGATGAAGTGGTTTTGGCTATCAATTATCAGCCAGAGGTGAAATGTTTATCTCTTAGCCGTTTTCTTTGCAGCTATGTTACATGTTTGTATTTACATTTTTTTCACTTTTGTGTCGGCAGGTGATGCTGAACTTCTTGAAGGACTTTGAGGCAAAGCTCGAAATCAAGATCACTTGCTCACAAGAGACTGAGCCTATGGGGACAGCTGGTCCTCTGGCTCTAGCGAGAGACAAACTGATTGATGGATCTGGAAAGCCTTTCTTTGTCCTCAACAGTGATGTCATCAGTGAGTACCCGCTCAGAGAAATGATTGAGTTTCATAACGCTCATGGTGGGGAAGCCTCCATTATGGTGACAAAGGTGGGACATTATTGAAACCTAACAATCTCCACTTACATGATAGTACGTTTGTTCATTCTAATGTGGACCTGTGTGTATTGGTTAATAGGTTGATGAGCCGTCGAAGTACGGAGTTGTGGTTATGGAAGAATCTACAGGGAAAGTGGAGAAGTTTGTGGAGAAGCCAAAGCTCTACGTTGGTAACAAGATCAACGCTGGGATTTATCTTCTGAACCCGTCTGTTCTTGACAAGATTGAGCTAAGACCGACTTCGATCGAGAAAGAGACCTTCCCTAAGATCGCAGCAGCGCAAGGTCTCTACGCAATGGTGCTACCGGGTTTTTGGATGGACATTGGTCAACCTCGTGACTACATAACGGGTCTGAGACTCTACTTGGACTCTCTGAGAAAGAAATCTCCTGCTAAGTTAACCACTGGCTCACACATTGTTGGGAATGTTCTTGTGGATGAGACCGCTAAGATCGGTGAAGGGTGTTTGATTGGACCTGATGTGGCAATTGGACCAGGCTGCGTTGTTGAGTCAGGGGTTAGGCTCTCTCGGTGCACGATCATGCGTGGAGCTCGCATCAAGAAGCACGCGTGTATCTCTAGCAGTATCATTGGGTGGCACTCGACGGTTGGGCAGTGGGCTAGGATTGAGAACATGACGATCCTTGGGGAAGATGTTCATGTGAGCGATGAGATTTATAGCAATGGAGGTGTTGTTTTGCCACACAAGGAGATCAAGTCCAACATCTTGAAGCCAGAGATAGTGATGTGATTGGGATGTGATGTGGAGTGTGTGATCTGGACTAAACTTGTTAAAGCTTTTCTTTTTGTGTCTTTTTCTTTCTCAACTTTGTGCTTTTATTTATTCTTCTTGGCTTGAATAAGCATTATAAAAAAAATTTGCTGTATATCTTTGTTAGGTGTTAAGTCATTTGGTGTTTTTGTCTCTATTTTTGTAACTTATCAAAATATTTCTCTCAAGTATTTGAAGATCCTTCTGAATATTCGTATTTGTTATGAGTTCTCTTATGAATGATTTTGTTTTTGATTTGGTTCGGTTCGGGTATTGAAATCTATTGAACCGGACTCAAATTAAATCAAAGTTTAGTTAAAAGCAGCCCTAGCCAAAAAAAAAAAGCTAAAACCTTTAAACCCCTTGAAACAAAAAAAAAAAAACTTCATTTTTCTTCACAGAACCAAAGAAGAGAGAATCCACCAATCACTGTAATGGGTTTCGCTTTGTGCGTCCGTAGGTCAGCGTTTAGGTTTGCTTCCGCGTGTGGTGGTGGGTTGGGTCGAGTCCGGTCAATCTCCGCCGTTGTTAACCGTCCGTCTCTAACTCGCGACCTATCTCCGCTGCGACCATTCGTCTCTCGTGAGTTACTTTACTCGACGGCTATTGATCGGATGAGCTCCGAGCAAAGCCTTCTCCGAGTGATTGAGTCTGAGATCAAATCTGCTCGGGAAACCGGTGATCGCGATTTGGTAATTTTGTACGCATTTTAGCTCATTTCCAATCCTGAGAACATAGAAATTGGCCTGTAACAAAATCATTGCTTTGCTTCGTTGATTTCGAAATTGAGTATTGAAAATTTTAACTGATTATATACCTCTCACTAGTTTCACTTTCTTGGTTTGTGTATGTGTGGCTGTGAGCATATGCAGTGATTACTATTTACAATGCCATTTCCTTTAGTAGCTTGTTGAAAAGTTGTCTCCTTTATCAAATCTAATCATATGCTGTTGATCTCACTGAATTGCTTTCCAGAGCTGTGAATAAACCATTCTTAGATCTTTGTAAGCAAGTAAGAATTTGGGCCTTACTAATCTGTGTAACTACATAATTAACAACGCGTGATGAAAGTTTAATTCTTTCTCTAATCCTGTTTGCATTTGACTCTGCGCCTGTACATTGTAACACACCTAAGTTGCTGATAAATTTCTTACATTTGGAAGATATTTGTCTCTGTTATGGACCAGTTTTAGACAGTTTTTTTTGTTTCTTACATTCTATTGGGGTTTGGTTTGGGAGCAGGATGAAGAGACGGCTCCAGGAAGCTTCCCTTTTAAAATTGAAGACAATCCTGGACGTCAGAGTGTAACGTTGACTAGAGATTACAAGGGTGAGCATATTAAAGTTGTAGTAAGCATGCCTAGTCTTGACGCTGATGAGGATGAAGTTGATGAGGATGATGATGATGATGGTGCTAGTAATGGATCAAGTATTCCACTGGTTGTGACTGTTACTAAGAAGAGTGGAGTCAGCCTTGAGTTTAGCTGCATGGCTTTTCCAGATGAGATTGCCATTGATGCTTTATCTGTGAGCCAACCGGGGAATACTTTGGAGGATCAGTTGGCTAATGAAGGGCCTGATTTCGAGTAAGCTTTGTGAATGAATCAAAAACTCTATAGACATGATTATCAGAAAGGTTCTAATGTTTTCCTTTGTGTTTCTTTTGCAGAGACTTGGACGAGAATCTGAAGAAGACATTCTACAAGTATCTGGAGATCAGAGGAGTGAAAGCAAGCACAACGAATTTCTTGCACGAGTACATGATGAGGAAAGAGAAGCGTGAGTACTTGCTGTGGTTGAAGAATGTTAAGAAGTTTATGGAAGAATGAATGGTTAGTTTGATTCCAAGTAGTACCTAAGAAAGACAGATAATGTTAGAAGTAAGATTGACAAGTCTTTTTTTTTGTTTTCGTTGTATGCACAATCTTTGAGAATGTATGGTAATGACTTTATTCATATGCTTCTGATTCTATACACAAAACCAAAAGCTGCAGCTACAAGTAAAAAACAAAAATGAAATATTGGAAGGAGAATGATTGATAAATGAGAAAGGTGTAGCTTACAAGGAGTTTTTTTTTTCTTTAGACAAGAAGAGAAGCTAATAAAAAAGTTCTTCATCTTACTTACGAGCAAGACCATGTGGTAAAAGGAACTTATTTTTGGTGCAAATCCCTAAACACTAGATCAAAACCACTACATAAGAGAGGGTTTCAATAAGAATAAGTAGTAATAATAGTAATAGGATATGATACTAGCAGGGGGGAAACAAAAAGCTAATCCTCTCCTCTGTGTCTCTCTCCTCAAGTCTCACACAAACACACACACACAAAAGTCTTCCTTCTTCTAAGATTCGATGGGAATGTCCTGATGGGTGTAAACAATTCCATTGTCTCCATCCACAACTTGTCCGTTTCCTCTCATTATCCTGCAACATTCATTCAATACTTTCAAAGACATTTCAACATTAAAAAACAAAATAAAGCTATGGAACCAAAACTGTACCATCTTGTTGTAAGTAATCCTTCAACTCCGACTGGACCACGGGCATGGATCCTGCCTGTGCTTATCCCCACCTATATACAATACCAAACCAAAACTTACTTCATCACTCACTCTTCCTTTTTCTAACTTTCTACGTTTTATATATTTGTACGTCTCTTATTTACCTCAGCACCAAGTCCAAATCGAAAACCATCTGAGAATCTTGTGCTTGCGTTGTGAAACACAGCAGCGCTGTTCAAGGATATACATCTTACAGTCAGTTACCAACATCATCAAAGACGGACGTATACAGAAATGTTCACGATCCTTATATTTTACCTGTCTACTTGGCGAAGGAATAGCTCTGCAACTTCGGGATCCTCTGTCACAATGCAGTCTGTGTGTGCACTGCTCGCAACAACATACAATACAAGGTAAAAAGTGAGCATTTCCCTATGTAAAGACTTACAAAAGTCTAATGTCTGTTATGTCGAGATTTACCTCCCATGTCGGTGAATGTGATCTATAGCACCATAAACGTCTTCCACAACTTCAACGGTGCAAGACTTGGAACAATACTCATGATTGAATGATCGTGCTTCTGGTATGTTCAGTATTGCACTTGCCCTCGGTCCACCATACAAAGTGACTCCTGCATTCAAATACACCTTATGAGTTACACTATTTTCAACAAGTCTTCACGATGATGATAGACCGACAAATACATGGCCCCTTTATGACCTACCATTGTTCTGCAGCGCAAAAACAAGCTCATTGAGCACACCATTCTGCTCTAGATCCTTATGCACAAGTAGAGTTTCCTGAAAAATACCGAGGGAAAGAGAAGATGGAATGAGTCAGACGAAACTAAAAACCACAATGCGTTACTGAAATCTAGAGCGAAGGTAAAAAGTTCTCTTACCATCGCATTACAGGCTGCTGGATAATCCAACTTTGCATCAGAAACTATGCGCTTTGCCATATCCAGATTACAAGACTTGTCGACATATACATGACAGATTCCATCTGGAAGTATACAATTAAGTCATCATCATTCTCTACCACAATCCAACTAAAGAGATCTAGGGGAAAAAAACAAACTTGAAACCTTACCAGCATGACCTAGCACAGGGATTTTTGTAGTATTTTTTATCTGGGAAACAAGCTTGTTGCTGCCTCTCGGGATCACAAGATCAATGACGTCATCAAGCTGTAGCACAAATGCAAATGTCGGGTTCCAGCTTAACAAAAGATATAAAGACTTGTTCCAACTTCCAGTTTGTAAATCTGTTTACCTTGAGCAAATCAGGAATCTCTTCTCTTGAAGTCACAAGTCCAATGAGTTTACCACCAACAGTCTCTGGAATTGCATCAGTGATCACCTAGAAATTAACCATGAAATTAAACAGATTGAAACTGCGTAAGTGGTATATTCTGAGAAAGCCATATAATGATATATCGAGCTTTTACTCCAAGCTATGAAGTCTGAGGGCTGTACCTTGTGTAAGATAGCATTTGATCTTCGGGCCTCCTTTCCACCCTTCAATAGAAGACCATTTCCACTCCGGATGGCAAGTGAAGCGATCTGTTTGGTTTATGGGTAAAGCATAGCTTCAGTATATTTCACATTCTAAAAAGAGAAAGGACATTGACTCTTAACATACCTGTACAAGTGCATCAGGTCGGGATTCAAATACAATCAGGAGTACACCTAATGGGGATGAGGTCTTCTCTAAAACAAGACCATCTGCCACCTGTAAAAGAATTTGTCACAGAACAAATAACATTAAAAACTATTATTTGTCAACTAGAAGGACACTCCTAGACTGTAAAACTAATTACTCCATATGATATAAATTGTCCTCTGATCACCTCCGTTTTCTTTAAAACGCGGCCAATTGGATCTTCCATATCAGCCAGAGTACGAACTGAAGCGGCAAGGCTCGAGATCTATCAAGCAAAAAACAAGGAAGCATTAGAGACAAATAGGTCACAAAGAGAGTTGAAATTGGCACAATACCACACCACGAAAACTGTCTTACCTTTCCAGTTGTCATAACTAAGCGAGACACCAGTGATTCTTCAAGTCCAGCTTCTTGTGCTGCAATTACATCTAATTCGTTCTCAGCTCTGATCGTTTTTTCATTTGCCTCAAGAGCATCAGCGATATCATAAAGAATTTTTTTCCTATCTTCTGAAGATAAGGCCTGTAACAAATTGCAAACAGTTAAAGTACATCTCTATCGAGCTAGAAAAGATTTCTGTCACTAGTCTTAAACAACGAAATCAGAAGCCCTATTAGTACCTGAAGCTTTCTTGAACTTTCCCTTGCAGCAACTGCCATGTCACGAGCAGTAGAATCTGTGATTGGAGCCCATAAACGAGCATCTTGATGGAATAAGGTTCCGACACGCAGTCCTCTGAGGACTTTATCAATGTTCTCAGCTGAATACCCACTTCAAAAGAAATAAAAGTATCAACTTTCCATCCAATAAAATATGTTTTAGCTTCTTTCTCAGTCAAACCATATATTCTGGTCAGAACTGTAAGCGAGATAAATTTGAGCAAGCATCTGCCTTTCCACAAGTTGAGTGTAAAAAGGTCCCACACCTGGTTATGATGACAGGAATCCCAGCATAAGCTGCATTCACAGCAGCTTTAACTTTTGCAGTCATACCCCCTCTTCCCAATCTTGACTTGTCGCCGAATGTAATCTCATCTTGATGCTTTTCTTTGATAAATGTGTGGATCAACTTTGAGTTAGGATCACTTGGAGGGCCTGTGTAAAGACCTTCGACATCACTCAGAAGAATCAGAAGATCAGCTTTCAGCTCCAGCGCCAATAGAGCAGCTAAGCTGTCGTTATCCCAAAAGATACCAGAAGAATCCTGCAATGAAGCTGAACATTAGTCTACGAGATTCATAGGGACCAGCTAAATTTTCTACTCCAAGTTTATTCATAAAACGTGAACTGATGATTAGCATGTCAAAAGGGACAAAAGACAGTCAATAAACCTGGTATGGGGCTCTTCTGGTGCTTATAGCATCATTCTCATTGAAAATTGGAATAACCCTCAAATCAAGCATCGACTTGACCGTTTCATTAAGTTGCTTCCTGAAATCCTTGTCTCTAAAGCTACTGTCATTCACCAGAAGTTGAGCAGCCGTCACATCCAGCTGGCCAAAGCAAACAACAGGAAACAGAGCATCAATATATAAGCTAATAAAGACCATAAATGTAACTCATTTCATTCAAGAAAAAGGAGGATCACCTGGTCGAACATAGTCTCATAATAAGCCATAAGACTGCTCTGTCCAACACCAGCACAAGCCTTGCCATCAAGTTCAGTCTGAGGCTTCTGGAGATCCGCAAAGCTACAATCCATTAAGAAACAAACTCATCAGTACAACACCAAAAACACATCTCACTGTTCATAAAGAAGCCAATGGTGTCACTGTTTATTTTTGTTTAAAGTGAAAAGGATTCATTTTGCATAACCTGCTATTGACTAATTGTCTGTAACGAAGCCTTTGCCGGCCAAGGCCAACCGCACCAGACGACACCAAGATCACCTCAAATCCATCCGAGTTTAATTCCGCAAGCTGACATTACATATATTTTTAAGAATTAAAGGTGCAATTACATCATAATCATATTCACATGTCTTTCGTGAAACCTTTTTTCACAATTTGTGTTTAAAGCAGATTAATTAATTAAAACAGGTTTTCATCATTAAAGGCAAGAGAAAATAAAAATCAAATCACCTGTTCACACAGTGCTCCCAAGCGTCCAAGAGCCAATCTTCCACCTTTTCCAGTAACAACAGCGGTCCCAACCTACGAAATATTAAAAAACAAAACTTTAATTACCAGAAATAAATACCTCGAATATTCATATTCTTCATTCGTTTACGATGACATGCAAATTAAAATTCATGAACGTAATTCACCAAAGGTTTAATTTCTGGGACAAAAATTAAAAATAATTCAGATTCACAAAAGTTTTTGAGTTAGATGCATTTTGAATTACATAATACTCGTTTCCACATTACCACAGATTAAACTAGCTCAAAATGAAATTAAAAACACTAAACCCAATCCACATCACCCAACGACGACGACGAACACTTCACAGATCAGACGTACGCCGAGAAAACAACGAAATCCAAATCAACGATTAAAATAAAAACACACAGTCGAGAGTCAAATCAAAAATCTGAGAATGCGGACGTTTCTCCACGAAACACGGATGGATAGAGAGAGAGAGAGAGACGATACCTTAACGACGATACGCTTAACGTCTTTGGCAAAAGCACGTGAACGATCTAGCTCCTCCATTGTGATGTCG